CATAATTCTTCTATTAAAAAAGTAAATTATGTGTTTTCTTTGACAAGGGATGGAAATTGAATTTTTAATTTTTGAAAAAATATTATTGTTTTTTGTATCTAAATGACTTTTCTACTTTTTCTCAAAAAAAAAAAAAAAAAATGAGCTCATATTAAATCTTAGGCTTGAGTGATACCATGGAAAAGGGTATTGGCATGGAGAAATAGATTTCCATTTGTTGCTTGCCCCTTGTGTAAGTGTTGGCGTTTGACAAATATTTTTGCAGGGAATGAGGCATGGCTCTTATGATAAATTGGATGATGATGGTCTTGCACCTCCTGTAAGTGCAAAATTTAGCATGCTGCTTCTATGTTCATCCCTTGGTCATACAAAATTAGTTTGACTTAACCACTCTTTCCTGAAATTAAATTATTGTTATCCATTAGGGAACAAGAGTTTCAGGTGAGGATGTAATCATTGGAAAGACCACCCCTATTTCTCAGGAGGAAGCTCAGGGTCAAGCATTGCGCTATTCAAGACGTGATCATAGCATAAGCTTACGTCACAGTGAAACAGGCATAGTGGACCAAGTAAAGACTTTTCAAATTGTTGTTACTAATAATTTTAAGTGGAGATATTGCGTTCATGTTATCATTTTAATTAATGTACAATTGGAGTAGGTGCTTGTGTTTTGGTGATTTCTTCTTTTTACTAACTAATTTTATTCTTTGCCAGGTTCTATTGACAACTAATGCTGATGGGTTGAGATTTGTGAAAGTAAGAGTAAGATCTGTTCGGATTCCCCAGATTGGAGACAAGTTTAGCAGTAGGCATGGTCAAAAGGGAACAGTTGGCATGACTTACACACAGGAAGACATGCCTTGGACTGTGGAAGGCATCACACCTGATGTCATTGTGAACCCCCATGCTATTCCTTCTCGAATGACAATTGGTCAGCTTATTGAGTGTATCATGGGGAAAGTTGCAGCTCACATGGGCAAGGAAGGGGATGCTACTCCTTTTACAGATGTCACTGTAAGTTGTAATCTCTTGATTTTTGGATTTTGATGAATTGGGTATTTTCTTGAATTAAGTTTATTTGATGTTTTCTGACTATGTTAAAATAGGTAACCACTAGAAAGCTTATGCATATACTGCTAGATTTGGACTAGAAAGCTTATGCTTATGCTACTAGATTTGGAAATCTAAATGATGGGCTTTACTAGCACTAGGTGCATTTTAGAGACTATGGATATAGTTTAATCTCTTTTTTCCTTGTTTGATGTTTTAGGTGGACAATATAAGCAGAGCACTTCATAAATGTGGTTATCAAATGCGTGGTTTCGAGACCATGTATAATGGGCACACGGGCAGGCGGCTTACTTCTATGATATTCCTGGGGCCCACATATTACCAAAGACTAAAGCACATGGTTGATGATAAGATCCATTCACGTGGTCGGGGTCCTGTGCAGATTCTCACGAGGCAGCCTGCAGAGGGACGATCCCGTGATGGTGGTCTTCGTTTCGGAGAGATGGAAAGAGATTGCATGATAGCGCATGGTGCTGCTCATTTTCTTAAGGAGAGATTGTTTGACCAAAGTGATGCATACAGGGTCCACGTTTGTGAGCGATGTGGGTTGATTGCTATTGCAAATCTAAAGAAGAACTCATTTGAGTGCAGAGGATGCAAGAATAAAACTGATATTGTTCAGGTAATCCTTTTCTTTCCCTTGTTTTATTACGCCCTTCTCCATACTCCACTCTTGTCTTATCTTCATATTCCCCAACCATCCCTTTAACCTTTTTAAAAAAAATGGTAAGAAGTAGAAGTCAAAGCTCTTAGGTTTGTCTCTAATGTGCCCTTGGTCGGCATCGTGATAATGTTATGCTGCAGGTGCACATTCCTTACGCCTGTAAGTTGCTCTTCCAAGAGCTTATGGCCATGGCGATTGCTCCAAGAATGCTTACAAAGGAACTGCCCAAAGACCATAAGAAGAAGGGAGCCTAAGATGCGTGATCAAGTAAGGTCCAGCTTTCTTTCTCTTCATTTAGAAGCCCTATATAGGACAATATTTTTTTTCTACGAGGTGCACAAAGACAGTGTTGGGTCTGTGATGTTGAGATGGATAGTTTTGCCAAATTTGGCTACTGGCCAACTCTTGCCTTATTCGCTGGGAGAGAAAGTGAAAGTGGGGTAAGAGGTTCTTCGTGCTTGTAATAATCTCACATAACAGAGAGTCACTCCATGTGTTTATGGTGGAGATTCTGTATGATCTAATGTTATTCCTCTGGTTTGATGTTGTTGTAATCCTATCCAGAACCAGAACGTTGTACTTATTATTGCTAATCTTGAATTTTTTGGGTACTGTTACCAAATTTTGAAAAAAGTAGGAAAAATATACCATTATATTTAATACTTGCAACTACTACTATCTTTTTTTGTGTGTTTTTAATTGGATTTTTTTCTTTATATAGAGGATTAAAGCATGAGATGGTTTTTTGTTCGTCATTGTTCTTAGGCCTGTAATAAAATATAAATTCGCTGAAAGCCCCAAGCTTCTGCGACGAATAACGCCGTCGATGCTCTTGCGTCTTCCTCTATGAACCGAGTCTTTTCATTTATGCATGGCGAGAAAGAAAAATGGAGAACAAAGAGGCTGAGACACAACAGCCCAAGGAGAACAAGAAGAAGACGAAGAAGAAGGGCCGCCAGGTTAGAAAATTAGGTGTGGGTTGAGTGTGTACATAAATATATATATATATATATATATGAGAGAAATTATCTATATAATAAAATTTTTTAATTTCACAAAAAATAAGATATGTATCATCATTTTAATTCATTTGGGAAATTAAAAAATTTTACTGTATCAAATAATATATATATATATATGTATATTTATATAAGGAAAATTAGTTGTGGGTTGGGTGACCTCGCATTCTTTCCATTCTTAAACACAAGATTTTGGTATTTTCCTCAATGTATCAACTTTGATACGTATCTAATCTAAGGTTCACGGCAAAGAAAAATTTGACCCAAATATTTTTTTGTCTGATCAAACTTGGAAATAATACTCGTACTCTTTTTAGCATGAAATTGTGAGAACCACAAAAGCATGAATCTCTTTTCTCTTCATTCTGAAGTTCAATCTCTCCTGTTCTTTGCACGGAATTGCCCCCTGAAGCGCACGTACTATGGGAGTTGGAGTTGGAGTTGGATTCGAACTTTGAGGAATCAACGATCCAGATATCCTCGACAGCAATATTAAGTGTTTGGAGTGTTCGATCAAAAGATCGGTGGGACACCCCATATTTCTCTCGTGTGCATTCAGTCTGAAAATTAACCGCAATGATCGTCCCTGGCCCCCGCTTCTGTATAGCCATCTCATTCATCTAGATGGTCAGCTTGTGGTCATTCGATTTGAACTTTCACATCTTCGGCCTGAAAATGGTAATCAATACATTGGAAAATTTACTCTTTGAAAATGGATCAGTCACGCGTTTCTCTGTGCTTTGAAATTTGCTATCTGTGATCATCAAAAAGTTATGTTTGAAGACGATTTACCTCGTCTTCTAGAAAAGTTTTCAGAAAGTATGGACTAACTTAGAACCACCCTCCTTGGAAATTTCAACTAAACAAACTGATGAGCTAAGCCACGAAAAGTAAATGTAAAATTGGGAACAAACCGACAAATAGCAACTCCTAACAACCAAAAAAAAAACAAAAGAGAAACAAAAAGCTGTTTTTTTTTTTTTTGGTTCATTTCTTGATGAGCTAAGAGGCAATTTCCCGTTCACACTTTCACAACCATCGAAATTAATTTTCCAAAGAAGGGTTATGCGTTAAACATACCTTTAGTTGTCATATGAACACGATGATCTTTTCCTGACAACAAAATTTTAAAAGAAAGAGCAAAACGACAACGTAAAATGGCGACATGTGCGTGAAAATGTCTTATTATGAGAAAAATTGCGCACACAAACAAAAAACATCAATTCAATCAAATTAAAAAACACTGAAAATGTGGGGCAGAGCCCCACCCAAAAAAAAAAAAGCTGGTCTCAACTTTGACAAACAGATAAATCGACATCTGTTACTAAATGAGCTTTAGGCCCATGACCCCACCAATATACCTTCTTTGTGGTGATGTCTTCTAGAAGGGACAAATCTTCCCATGTTTTTATCACATATCAAAATCATGATCTGGACTGTCCGATACATCGGTGCATCATATGGATGCTTGATCACCGATGATCCATTCGTAAATAATAGCACCGGTTTTCCTATTCGTGATATTTTTTAAGTGGGCCAGAATTGAGATATTTTTTTAATTTTTTGTTTGATTTTGAAAGGGGCACCTTCCTTCTAGAACTGCAGCAGAGCGACATGATTGGGGAAAAAATTAATGTAATGTTTAAATTCTTAAATATAATAAATATATTTTATAGTTACTTAATAAAGCCAATAAAAGAACGAACAAAATTAAATATATTAATAAAAATAATTTTTTTAAAAAAATTAAATACATTGATTTAGAAAAGGATCGAGAGATAGTCATGTTTCTAGTAATAAAATTAACGTCTGTTAATTTCGATTATGTTAATAAAAAATTGTGTGAGAAATGAGATATAAATAGAAAAATTTACGTATTACAAATATATGGGATAAAATTATAATTTATTAAAATTTTTTATGATATTTATAGTAAATATAAGAAGCTTTTTGGGGTGAAATTTTAATGAGAAATATATAAAATATCAAATATTCATCTCTCTAACCAATAAAAATCAAAATTAGAAAATTAATTATGTTTTCTGTCTAAAATTGGAAACTCAAAACTGAAATAAAAAACATTAGCCATTTAAAATTACACTGACAACGGGTAGCTAATTTCGCCACGTGGCAAATCCACATAGGATGGCTTCACATCCTCTAGCAGACCAGAAATTATTTTTGTTTTTTAATTCTTATTTAAACAGTAAGAGCTGTAATAAAATATGGAGCAGATTGGAAAAAAAAAAAAAGCAGTAGAAACGCTAAAAAATTAGAAAAAGATAATACTCTATAATGAGTCGGATTCCTCTATAAAAGGGGCGTAGCCGATAGACGCTCTCTTCCACTCCATTTCCAGGTCACTTTCTCTTTTGTTTATACTTTTTTCTCATAGAGCAGCCATTGATTTGAATCTTTAGTGGAGAGGTTTCAATCGGTTTCTAATTCTATCCCTTCTTTTCTTTCAAAACGAACTCAGGGGTTGTCGGATTTTCGGCTCCCTTCAAGGTACGTTATTGTTATTATTTTTTATGTATTGTCTAGCCTGGCCTTTATTGTTTAATTATGATCTCCGTGTTGTATCGTTTGATTGAGTAAGCTTTGGGTTTTTTGTTTTTGGAACTAGAATTGAAATGCAGAAAAAAAAAAGAAATTTCCTCTTTGTTTTCAAGGAAAAGTCTCGAAATTGTTAGCTAAAATATATTGGAAAATAGTTTAAGATTTGCCCTTTCGTTTTTTATTTGAGACATTGAAGAAATTAGAGAAGCCTTAACTTACAGAAACAAGAATTAATAGACTAATAGTTCCCAAAACCCTCGTTTGTGATTGAAGCCATTGATTAAAATAATTCTGCACAAAGGATCAATGTTATGTTCTCTGAAACTTCGATTTAATTTAGTAACGGGAAATTTTGTTCTTTTTTAGAGTTAAAAAGGATCTAGTTTGGGTCGGCCGTGTCCCATCGACGGCGGAGGGGTCTGTCGGTGGTGGCTGCTTGGAAGCTTCGTATTTTGTTCGAACAAGTTAATTAATTGCTGGGTTTTTTCGTGTTTCACCTAATTTGAACCTAACAAAGTAGAACACAGTGGGTTGCCGTTTGCAGTTTGTGCTTCACCTAAACTGAAGGATGTCTTAAATTTTTTTACTCACCAGTGGTTTGTGGGGGCAAAATGGTCATTTGATTTGCAGCTACGTTAATGGGAACCCCACAAATTAGACAAGTAGGTGTTGAAGTGGATCGGCTAAAAGATGCCACTGACAAAGGCCAAAGTTACGGAATACTTGATTAATGATTACTATCCCTCTTTTCTTCGATTACCTTTCTGTAGTTTTAAGTCATTTTCAGTGTGATCTAAACGCCTAATCAAAGGCTTATAATTTGATGAAAATTGAAGGATTTTAACAGCACTATGAAAGTGTAGGACTTAAAGCATCTTAACTGGAAATTAACTGTCAAAGCATTCGAATTGAATTTCCTATAGATGTTTTTCAGGCCAGAAGAAGAAAGAGCTGGTAAGTGGTAGGAAATTTGCATATCAGAGAGAGAAGTGAAAATTGAAGTAAAGTACAAACAGAAACTTTACTGAAATATCAGTGCTTACCATTGTACATCATTTTGTATTATTATAAAAAACCACCCCTTTACTGCTATTGTGATTTAAATGCATGAATATAAGTTGTGGGTCCCTAAATTTGCTTTTTATTATCCATTTGGTAGAGGGGTGCAAAAACTTTTTGGCCCTTTCTGTTAGAAAATGTGAATCAAGCTGTGGGGTGGGGCCTTATCTCTTTGGTGCTTTTCACATGTCTTTTGCATATATACTTGGGAGTCTTTTATGCTAGTGCTACCATAATCACATTCATTTTTCTGCTTTTAGACTTGTTGCCATCCTCTCTTTCTGTTGTCTAGTTGCTAAGTAGTTGCTTGTTTATTAGGTTTGTCTGGGATTTCTGCTTGCTGATCCTGTTTCATTTTTTTGTTGTCTCAGAAGTTGAGTGTCCTAGTGGTTAATCTGAGTTTTTAGAACAGATCCATGGCTTTTGAGCAATATTATGCCCAGGAATGGAAGACTGTCCCCGGTGCTTCAACATCTGAGAATTTAAACGGTAGCTTTGACTGCAATATCTGCTTAGACTTTGCACATGAGCCAATTGTCACTCTCTGCGGCCACCTCTACTGCTGGCCCTGCATCTATAAGTGGCTTCATGTCCAGAGTGCCTCCCTCGCTTCAGATGAGCACCCACAATGTCCAGTTTGCAAAGCTGATATATCCCACACCACCATGGTGCCCCTTTATGGTCGGGGCCAATCTGATTCCGAGCTTCAAGGCAAGGCACTTTATAGGGGTATGGTGATACCCCCTAGGCCACCGGCTCGTGGTACCCAAGCTCTTTTATCAACTACATCCCCGAATGGTCAGCAGCTTCCATATCGTAATCCTTATCAAAATCAAAATTACGACCCCCATGCTCCTTACTATGAAGAGGATTCATCCCCACCATTGCTTAACCTCGGAGGCACCACAGTGACCGGGTTTCATCATCCCGTAATCGGGATGTTTGGAGAGATGGTATATGCGAGAGTGTTTGGAAATTCAGAAAGCTTATACACTTATCCAAACTCGTACCACCTAGCGGGAAGTAGTAGCCCAAGATTGAGAAGGCTTGAGATGCAGGCTGACAAGTCACTAAATAGAATTTCCATTTTCCTCTTCTGGTGTTTCCTTTTGTGCCTTATTCTATTTTGAGTTTCTTATTTACCTTTTTGTACACTGTAAAGAACCACGATGTAAACTTATGGTATAGGTGGATGAGATCATATTATATGATATATAATCTTAGATTTTATCTGAAATTGATTTGCCATTTTCGACTAATATGCACTGCAATTTCAGGGAAATCGTAATTATTTTATGTTAAAAAGAGAGTTTTGTGATTAGTTCATCAAAAAAAAGGTCGACATTTCATTTGACAAATATTAAAAAAGACCCAAAGCTTCCCTCCCTTCCCTTCGCATCAACTTCGCTAAGCACATCAACGGCACAGGAAAAGCCATCGACCACTCATGAAGAAGGGTCACAGACTCACAGCTTACAAGCCACATCGAAGTCTTGAAAATCGGATAACAAATCCAAATTGCAGCCAAATCCCTCTCCCCACTTCGCCACCATCTAATACCTTTGGTTTTAAGCTATTGTTAACAATTGGGATATGAAACCAATTTGTCAAACAGAAGTCAAAAACGGCTTTATTACGTTGACAAATGTCAAAACCTTCATTTAACTCTTTGAGTGCAAATTGGACAACGAGTGTTAAAGATTATTTTAGCACGAAAGCCTCTAAACAAAGGTTCTGCTTTCGTAATATTATTTTCCTTTCATTGATATTAATGTCATAGTATTTAAATTATAATAAAATATTTAAAATAATAACTAAATTTTAAAAATAATTAATATAATATTTTACTTATTTTTAATATTATTAACTTTATATAATAACACGTAATATATAAATAATTTTTAAATAATATATTAAAAAAATTTTAAAATCAAATGTCATATTAAATATTTTATCGTGATTTTATTTTTTACTTGTCCGAAAATACAAATATAAGTCAAATTATGCACACTTTCAACTAATTTTTTATCTAAATTTTCGAATTCTCTTCACCACATTGAATCTCTTTTCTAAACCAAACTAAACTCTAATGACGAGCAACAACCCATAAAATGGGATTTCCAGAATCTTTGATAAGGTCATAAAGCCATGATCATGATAGGTCTAAAGTCCCGAAAAACTCGGTAGCTAGTGACTTTCAATCTATATTATTGCACTGATTCAATTATATGATATGAATTTTTTTTTTCTTCATTTGTCATTTTTTGCCCAAATTCTTTAATAAATTGACTCATTGTCCTTTATTTATTGTTTTGTCAGAACCATTTTATATATTATTCGTGGTATTTGCTTCGGTTAATACAAATTCACATCCAAACTTTTAAAATAATTGTTTTTTTGACTCGGCTCCTTTCGTCATCTCCCACTCTTTCAATGTGGTAGGGTCGTTTCGAACCGAGTGAATTATGGCTTGTTGCTTGCGTTTGGGTTCAATTATGTTATCCTAACAACCTATCAACCGCGTGATTACAAAAAAAACAGTGATATGTTATAAAGTTTGAATTCGAGTACAATCAATCTCAAATTACATCTCTAATATAAAAAAAAAAATTAATTTCTGTCATTATCAAATAGTTAGAGATGACATCAGATCGAAAAAATAAATTTTTGTTTGACTCAACTTCGACCTGATCCTTTAATATAGATATTCAAATTCGATTTAATATTAAAATATTATTTTTTTCATATTTAACTTGAGTCTTATATTCATAAATTATAATTAATTCGATTTAATTCGAAATTAATTTAATATAATATTTATAAAATATTATTTTTAATATAAATTATATTTTAATTATACATTAATATAGTATTTTTATTAAGTAAATATATTAAATTTTAATATTAAATAATAGTTTTATTAAATCCAACTTCAACTCAAAACGATTTAAAAAAAAATCCTACTTGATTTTGATTTTTTTTTTAAAATTCAAATTTATAAGGTCAAGACAAATCAAAATCCGTTAAATATAAAAAATTAATTATATTTTTATTTTTTTGTATAAACCATAGTAATACTTGTATCAGTAAGGAATTTTGATTAATTGAAGATAACTAATTATGTGTTATTTCGATTTATAATTGTGAATGAACGTGAAACATTAGATTTAAGGTTTTCAGTTTTCAAAATTTTATAGCACAATGTGAAAAGCAAGATAATATGACCTGAAAAAGTAACCTAAACAAGATTCGATTGATCAAAAGTAGAAGATTCTTTAGTGATTTTCCAGGATTTAACAACAAAAGGATTGATTCTAAGTTCGAATACTTTTTAATAACTTTGTGAGAAAGTGAATGATAAGGTGATATATACTTTTTAAAGTCTGGTTAAAAAATATATTCGTGATAAGATAAGCGAAGTTAGGTACAAAAAGAAGATTAAGCAGTAAATTTAATAAAAGAAAGAAAATTAAATAGTAAATTTTATATAAAAAATTATTGTACGTGTTAAAATTTTTTAGGAGAGATAGTAACCCATGCTTATCTCTAATTATATCTATGTGAAAATCTATTAATTTTATTTGTAAAATTAAAAATTTTCACTATTATTAATGTATTATTCTCAAAAGAAAGAAAGAAAAAACTCTATCTTTAATTCTTGTTATCAGTAAAAATTTTGAATATGAGATTGTAATGATCATTACTATTTAAGATCAGTGTTGGGTTATTTTGACTATGAGATTTCTATCCCACATTTCTTTTTTTTTTTTTATATGCTGATTCATTCATAACTTGCACTTTTCAGGCTCCAATAGGAAGAAGAAACACATGGATGGATAGGTGAAAGACAAAGAAAATAGAAAATCTAATGACAAGACAAAAAGAAAAAAAAAAAATATGTGCTGGGCATGTGGGTGGGTGGCTGACTGGCTAGTTTTGATTTCATGGGCATTGCTTTCATTGGTTTGACTGGCAAAACCTTTTTCATATGTTAGATCAGAAGCACTTCCAATTAAGCACGGCCCCGAAAAGCACTAAAGCCTGCCTCCACTTTTGTTAGGACTTGGAACTGTTTTATTAACTGTGTTTCATGCCGAAGTTTCTTCACCATTTTCTTCTAACACAAGACAAGCATATTGTTTTTGTTCCAACCTAACAAAGACAAAGGGTAAGAGAAAATTTGAATAGATTTCCACTTGCATATCAATCATTTTTTCCATCTGACGTTCTTCAAATAAAGTGGGATAAATGGTAATCTATATGTCTAAAGCTTAGCGGTTGGCTGGCTTTGAGAATTGGAATCTTAATGATTTCAGAGCTACAAGAGAGAAGATGATTTCATTTCCTGAACCGAAATAATTCAGCAAAATAGGCTTTGTTCTTCATTCCTTTGCGTCCAATCATAATTCTGCTGGTTTGTTCATAACTGATTGAAAGTAAACAACTGATCAGAACTAAGCATCGACTCTTTTTCATTCTAAATGTTTTAAATGCACAAAAGTATAATTTCCACCCTCTATATGATATATTTGCATGTTTGTGTTAGTTCAATCTTGCTAGTTTTTAGTATAACACATGGGAAATACTAATCACAAAGAAAGGTTGTGCTAGCTAAGTAGATGGATTTGGTTTCCCAGTTTTCATTTGCATGATTGGTGAGAAAAGATTTTGATTAACACATGCCAAAAGGAAAGTGCCATTTTTTCTCAAATGCAATTCAATTCTTTATACAAGACATCAATTTCCTGTAAATAATCTCTGAAGCTAATGGAAAAAATGAACATAAATATGCAAAGTTGCTAACCATAAGCTCCTGACCTAGACAATTCTTCAAGTACAAAATGTACCAAAATGTACAATCAATAACTTCCGGTTAGTTGTCAATTGCATGGGCCTAACTGGTAATGGCCCATTTCTTCTAAACCCATTATTCAGACAAGCCGAAGGATCCCAAAACCCTACTTGAAAGAACTGCCCACGTAGGGTTTTATTCCATCTCTCTCCCGAAATCCCCGGCAGGACAACCTTGAACAATCTTAAACTATGAACTCGACAAAGCTGTTCTCAAAATCCCTAACCCAAAATGGGTTGATTAGCAGATTTTATTATACAAATAGGGTCAACAAGGCCACTTTGTATTCCAGAATCAGCCCTTTGGGAAGCCCTGACAAAAGCGTTGAAGCTGAGCTTGAAAACTGGCTTAAAAATGGGAACAACGTTCGAGTCGCTGAGCTTCAACGCATCATCCACGATCTTCGCAAACGAAAGCGCTTCACTCAAGCTCTTGAGGTTTGGGTCTTCCTTTTTTTTTTTTTTTTTGTTTGGAGTTTCGTTTAGTGTCATTTTCCCCCTTTTTTTTGCCATATATTTATTAGAGTTATTTTCATAAATTTACTTGAATTTTATCAGGGCATGCTGTTGAATTCGATTAGCTGACTAGCATGTTATGAACTTGGGAAATTGTTGCCGTGAAATAATGTGGAAATTTCTTAGTTGAAAGTCATGGAAATGATTGAGCAAAATGTGGGGCTTTGTTTTCATGGAGTCAACTTTTCACCCGCAAAATAGAGTCTGTGTTTGACTAGAATTATGAACATAGCAGATGGGAGAGTAAAAGGTTTCGATTTTAGAAGAATGGGATTTGAGCATGGTTTCAATTATTGCTGGATGCTATATTTGATGCCTTAAGTGGAGATATAAACTTGTTGCTGTAAGATTCATCATGTCAAGTAGCTGGATTTTTAAATTGTTTGATACCGGTTTCTTAGTTTGTAGTGGTCAAATACGCATTGGCATGAAATTTCAGTAAGGAATTGCAATTCTAGTTGGTAATTGAATGTTGCAATGATTAAGTCAAGGCTAACTTTGTTTCTAATCTGTTACTTTCTGATGTCTAACGGGTCCAGGTTTCTGAATGGATGAATAAGAAGGGTCTTTGTGCCTTTTCTTCTACTGAACATGCTGTGCAGTTGGATCTCATTGGTAAAGTTCGTGGATTTCTTTCTGCAGAAACCTATTTTGATAAACTGAAGGACCAAGATAAAACTGAAAAGACTTATGGTGCTCTTCTCAACTGTTATGTGCGGCAGCGCCAGACAGACAAGTCCCTCTCTCATTTGCAAAAAATGAAGGAGTTGGGTTTTGCCTCATCAACTCTTACGTACAATGATATCATGTGCCTCTACACAAATATCGGAATGCATGAGAAGGTACCTGATGTAATGATGGAGATGAAAGAGAACAGAGTCTCCCCTGACAACTTCAGTTACAGAATCTGCATCAATTCCTATGGTGTAAGGTCTGATATTGAGGGAATGGAAAGAATTTTAACAGAGATGGTGAGTCAACCTCAGATTGAGATGGATTGGAACACATATGCTGTTGTCGCCAATTTTTACATAAAAGCAGGTCTTACTGAAAAGGCCATTGATGCTCTTAAAAAATCAGAACAGAAGCTAGATAATAAAGATGGAACTGGTTACAATCATCTAATATCACTATATGCAAGCTTGGGGAATAAAGCTGAGGTCTTGAGGTTATGGGGTCTAGAGAAAGATGCTTGTAAAAGGTATATTAATAAGGACTTTATTACCATGCTGCAATCTCTTGTGAAGCTTGATGAATTTGAAGAAGCTGAGAAAGTACTCAAAGAGTGGGAATCATCTGGCAACTATTATGATTTTCGGATACCAAACATTGCCATTATTGGGTACGCTAAAAAGGGTCTACATGAAAAGGCAGAAGCGATGCTTGAAAACCTGATGAAAAAAGGGAAGGCAACCACTCCTAACAGTTGGGGCGTTGTGGCAACAGGTTATCTAGATAAAGGTCAGGTGAAAAAAGCTTTGGGGTGCGTGAAGGCTGCTTTATCTGTAACTGTGGAGAATAAGGGTTGGAAACCCAATCATAAGGTGATTTCAAGCATCTTAGATTGGCTAGGTGATGAAGGCAGTATTCAAGATGTGGAAGATTTTGTAGCGTCATTGAGGAAAACCATTCCAGTTGACAGAAAAATGTATCATGCCTTGTTGAAGGCAAATATAAGAGATGGTAAAAGAGTGGATAAACTTCTGGCGGCCATGAAAGCTGATAAAATAGATGAAGATGAAGAAACAAAAACGATATTGGCGATGAAGTCTCGCTAAAATTCCAATGGCGGTGTTCTTCGTCATTCATTCATCTATACATGTTATTCCATCTGGTGGCCATAGTTTCTGTTCAGACTTAGAACGTACTTTTCTTTTTGTTAGTTCATTTTGAATTTTTTTTGCAAGAGTGGTCAAATTGAACACTGCTTTTGAGGAGCATTTCACCTAGTTACAATCTTGCATTTATTCAGTCATAACAAAGACTTGCAATTGTTCTAACAAAAACAAAAAATTATATAAAAATGAATTTCAAAACTAAAAATAATCCATAAATGTTGTTGGAACTTTTATCAATTTTATCTATGGAAATATGCCAAAATACAAGGTTTAACCTTTAGGGCTTCAGGAATCAATACCGATAACAGAGTTTTAAGCTTTCATCAATTTACCAGGGCTCAAAAGATGCAAATTGTGCTATTACAGGAAGTACTACTTAATCATAACCCAAACATAAGTTGTGGGAGTTTGAAGACAAATTAAAACCAGGAAAAAGACCTTTTAAGTAATGTAAATTGACAAACATTCAACTTGATGACTGAAAGATCTGTAATTGAAGCCAAGGATTGTCCTAAAGTTTTATTTTAAACAAATTGAAGCCCACCCTACTCAGACAGTGTAGCTTTCAGCTCAGCATTGGTTTGCAGCTCCAGGACAATATCACAACCTCCAATAAGCTCACCTTTGCAATAAAGTTGAGGAAAGGTCGGCCAGTTCGAGAAGACTTTCAATCCCTGTCTCACTTCATCATCAGTTAAAATATCAAACGACCCAAAACTCACACCTTCCTCCCTTAGGGCATTGACAACTTTAGAGCTAAAACCACATCTAGGAGCATCAGGGGTACCCTTCATGAAGAGCATCACTGGTGAAGATGAAATCAAGCTTCTCAGACGGTCCTCTAGAGTCTCTTTCTTAATGATGCCTTTCTCAGCTAAAATCCTTTGAAGTTCACCACTTTTCTGCATCTCTAACACAATGTCTGATCCACCAATACGTTCGCCTTTAATATACAATTGGGGGTAACTAGACCAATTTGAAAAAACTTTCAGCCCTTGATGAACTTCATCATCTGATAGTATGTCAAAACTATGAAAATCAACCTTCTCTTGTTTAAGGATTTCAACTACCTTGTGGCTGAAGCCACACTTTGGTTCATCAGGCTTTCCCTTCATAAACAGCATAACTGGGCTTAAATTAATCAAACTTCGCAGCCGAGATGCTAGGTTTGTACTCAAACCAGTGGGTTCTGAGATGCCACCAACTCCCTCGTCAGTCCCAATAATATTAACTCCATGATCTCTGAAAACTTCTTTCAGTTCCCCACTCTCATGCATGGCAATTACTATGTCACACCCACCAAGAAGTTCTCCTTTGCAATAGAGCTGAGGAAATGTTGGCCAGTTAGAGAACTTCTTTAAACCCTCTCGAATTTCATTGTCTGATAGAATATCAAACATTCCAAATTTGACTCTTTCATCCTTCAAAATATCAACAACTTTTCTGCTAAAACCACACTTGGGTTCCTCAGGGCTTCCTTTCATGAATAGCATCACCGGATGAGAGTCAATCAGCTGCTGAAGTCGCTCTTTAACTGTGTCACTAAGGCCAGGTTGCACTTGATTTCCCATCTGGGATGAACCATTTTCCTTTGCCAAATCTTGAACTGTCTCAAGGACAGTGGGTCCAGCAGCCATCCCAAGGCTAGCAGGAGCTGCAGCTTCTCCAGGGTTAATTGACCCAGCAACCTTAGCAACTTTGTTGGCCAGACTGGAAGGATCTGCACCCTCCAATTTATCAACAACCTTAGCATCCTGATGGAAACAAAGAAATACATACAGATTCAGTGTAATAACAACTTTAAACAGAACGAAAGAAATTCATTTTTACCTCAGAAATAACATCGAAAGTACAAGAAAGAGCAGCATAGCAACTAGTTTGTGGGGGGTTTGAGAAAATTTCAGAGCCAATCATGACAGAAAAAGACAGTAAACACGGTAACAAACAGTTCAAACAAGAGATAAAACAATAGCAAGCTCAAACTTCTGAGAATGTCTAACTAGCTAAAAAGAATACTTATGAACCCAGCAACATAACAAAACTTACAGAAAATTATTGAGGACAGTATTAAAGAAGAAAGAAGGGGTATGATTGAATAGGCCAGCCACAAACAGTAGTAACTGGAAAAATGATTGCCTTTAGGTCAAAGGCAAATAAAGTTAAATGCCTAACAAGCCAATTAGTCTCATCCCTCACCGGCAAGATGAGCTTAGAGTGAATGCAATTGACCTCCAAGCTTCCACGTTTCCATTTATGACAAGCAACAGTACACATATGATCATAAGTTTTCTTTCGATGGCTCCTAACACTGAAAGATCTATCTAGCTATAGAAAGTCTTCAACTATACCAAATGCAAAACTCTTAGCCTAGAAATCTCACGTGTAAGAACAAGTAGCTAAAGATAATTCCCCAACCTATTTATTGAGGAAATAAGTATCTATTCGCATTATTTCATAAGATTTTTTCCCTCTTTTTTCCACAAACTGGTTCAGAGTACATTCATGAATTAAATTGACTTCAGTGGCATGCGCTAGCATATAGAAACACGATGCTAGCAAGTCAGGGATGACACCATTATAGATGGGCTGCCTTAAAAATCCACTTTTTTTACCCCCAATTACCTACGTTTGGAAAAGCCATAAAAGAGAGCAACAATATTCAATCATGACAAATCCACATCACAACAAAAACTTTAAGGATTCTGCTTGGTAGGAAGGATAGAAAGGGATGAGGATGGAAAATTTTTTAATCCAACGGTTACACTTGATACCACTTTCCTGCTTTGTGGCTCAACCATCGGATTAAACACTTTTTCATCCTTACTCCTTTCTATCCTCCCTACTAATCAAAGCCTAAGGCTACTAATTTCCATCCGTATAGAGTATAGACACTATAAAATTCAAAAGCATAGGCATAACGTACTTATTCAAAATCTTATTCCAAAAAAAAGCAAACTTTTTAAGGTGATTATTACACTCATTGCTAAATTGATACCCTTTTAAAGTTGTTTAAAACAAATTTAAACCTACCATTTACAGGACAGCAAAAAAAAAAAAAACAAAGATACCCATCAAAAGATTTACCTTAAAGAAGACAAAGTAAGGCACAGCAGAAACTGAGTATTCCTCAGATATCTCAGGTTGTTCTTCTGCTTCTACCTGCAAAATAGTCGTTATTTACCATTCAAATAATTTCTTTTTTTAAAAGGAAAAAGAAAAAACCAACGAAAAATTTTAAATTTAATCCCTAAAAAGGTAATTCCAATGTGAGAGGGGAAGAGAAGAACTCTAAGGAAGTGGGAGTTGGGGAAATCTGTGGAGAGACGGGAGAAGACTTGGTCCATGTGCTTGGAAGCCTCACACCAGGAAGCCCAGAAGTGAAGGATAACCGGTTCGCCACTCTGCCGCAGGCCATCAAGCTCACCCTTAGACGTCACATCTTTTACTGAACCACCTCCTCCTCCCATTACTATGTTACTCAATGATCTTTGATGTTGGATTCTTCTTCTTCTTCTTCTTCTTCTTCTTCTTCAAAGAGAAATTGAGAAGAGACAGCCAAAGGCCTAGAACCCTTGTTTTTTTTTTTTTTTTCCCCTTTTAGCAAATTACTTTTTTGCACATCTTTTGATAACGCTTTTAAACGGTGGATCCTAGATTTCCCGTTTGGTTGACTTCTAAACGCCATTTTATCACTGATCAAATCATCGTTGGTTTTGGTCATTTGATTAAGCTCTGATAATCAGGGCCCCATGGCACTGTCGTATGACACATCATCAATAAGTGCTTTGGGCTTAAGCAAATACCGATGATGATAAGCCCCAGTCCATTTTTTTCTTAAATTTAACATTGCAATTATCATATATTCATATAGTATTTGAAATCATCCTTTTTTCATGCATCAAATACATTAAAAATAAGAAACACCCATTGTAATACAAATTATTTTCAAATTCCATCACGATTGCTTGCTTATATATGTAGAGTTTAAAAATGCCAAAATTTGGAATTCTAAGTCAGAAATACAATTTCCAAAGTTCACTGATGCATGCCATTTTAGGGTTTCGCTTTGGAGGGTGGCATTTCTTGGCGGTGGCTGTGCAAGAGAAATGGAATTGGAGGGTTTTGGAGGGAAAGGGAGTGGAAAGATGCATGAAGATTACTAATTAGATTTTAAGTTAAATGGGCTTTTTCTTACCAATTTCAGTTATTTAAATCCAATCGGTATTTCTTCCATACTATATTTTTTTTCTTTTATAATCGGAAAGTTTTTCCCATTTTCTTGGTTTATGATTTACTAGAAATTGGCCCGGCTATGCCCAAGGCATGAATGTTAGGAAGAAAGATGTCAAGTAGTAGTATAATACAACAAAGGACGATTGTTGTCACTTCTCATTGATTGCTTGTTGTGGTGATGTTTATGAGAAACCAATAATGTTTGCCTTTTCTATGTTGCCAGGATTGGAGTACCACAGGCAGCTGGAGCATGATTCCCTTCTTTGTAGACAAGGTTCCCTCTTACAAAAGTCGCCAACACTTGTCCCGATAGTCTTTTTCCTAGATAGGCAGAGATACTCTGCATAGCAAATGGGAGGAAGAAATTCCAAATTAAAGATGGAACCGAGAACAAGAATCACATACGCAGCCACTGAATTCAGGATAATGCCTGCTACCACTGCTATGCAAAAGCTCACTGTCAAATCGACAAGAGACTGAAAGTAAGGCATCTCATAGGTGGACGAATAACATGCATAGCAAAGCACATAGCAACTCACTCAAAACTATGAATGAATTAAACACTTAAAAGAAAATGAAAACAATGAAAGACACAAGGAATACCGGATACGTACCGGATTTTTAACATACATAGGATGATCATCATCGAGGTCAAACTCCACTTCAGGTTCCCAGACGACGATGTCTGCATGGTTTCCAATTGCAATGGCTCCCTAAACAATGTGGTTATAATCTCCACATTATTCATTCATAATGCATCTAAAAGTAAAATGGAAGTCCATATAAAAAGATAATTCAACAAATTGACCTTTAAATATTGTCTGGCAAGCTTCGCAGGCCTTTCACTCCACCATAAAGCTAACTGTTCCAATGTTACTCCAAATTTTCGTCCATATGACCATGTCACAGGAAGAACAAACTGCAGATGTCTCAATAGAATGTCATTGATCAGTCCACACCCAGTAAGAGTATATATTGATCAAAGAGAGAACGTGATAAAATGATGACTAAGGTGTATAAAAGATAGTAAGAAGAGTCATACAAGCAATTCTAATCACTGCCTAATTTTAGTTTCTGAATTCTTTTTCCTATGCTTTTAGTTTATTACTGTGTCAAGTTCTGGCTTACTGTTAATCAATCATATAGATAACTATCTTGACCAAACTATAGGTACTTAATAGCTTTTCCCAAGAGTAAAACTGCATAATTGAAGTAGACAAAAATGGTTTTCATCAGATGTGAACCTTGAATCCAGATGGATAATATTGAGGGCTGTAGTAATTCACATGCCAAACTTGATCAAAAATTAGAGTTGTAATATTTATAAACTAATGCTACTGTGAGATGGTAGCTAAATTTTATATAGAGAAGAAAGTAAACCGTTACTTAAGATAATATTTCTGTAAATGAACAATCACCAACCTGTATAGATGATATGCCACCCCAAGCCCTCAAAAAGTTACCATCATTCAGAAGTTTAAGCTCTGGGACTGTTGGTGAATGATCAGAACTTAGCATATCAATATGCCCTTCCTGGAAGAGAATAGATAATAGAGAAGTAAAGGTTTGAAGAAACTAGAATTATGATGACTAGTAACACCCTAAAAATTACTGGTAATACCATTAAAGCTTTCCATAATTTTTCTTTATTGGCTGCATCACGAATAGGAGGAGCACACTTGAAACGAGTATCTCCATCTGGAATCTCTTCTGCTGCAAAGGCTAAATAATGAGGGCAAGTCTCAACAGTTATGCTGTCACCTCTCATTTTTGCTTCCTGACAACAACATAGAAACGCCATCTTGAAAACATATTACCTTCGTCTTCCTAGAGGAAAAAAAGGGCGTGGGGAAAAGAACCTAGAAAGGCACTAAGCAGAGAATTAAAATACAGTTTAAAGCAGATTAACTTTAAAGTTTATCCATTCATACTAGAAGTGAAATTTCAGAAATGTCCACAACAAGTAATTTATTGGCAATTGGAATAATAGAAAGCAGAATGAGAAAATTAAGCGATGATCAAGCAAGGGAGTTCTATCAAAGACATGGTATCATAGAAGATACCTTTATAAGATCTAAGGAAGAAATGGCATCAGACAAATGAACAACATGAAGATGAGCGCCTTCCACCGGACCTCCGATCATTGTGTCCTTTGTGACAGTCAAAAGTTCTCTAATAGCTGCCTCCTCCCTATATGGGAAATAAAGGAGTAAACTAAACTATGTAAAAGAATACAATCCAACGACTTATAAATGCAGCAAAACATGGATAGAAGCATTGAGCCTTTGATAGAATTATTTAAACATGCCCCTTCCCAAAGAAGAAAATTCAACTTACCAAGAAGGTGGCCTTGTCTTAAGATAAGTTGAATACGATTGGGGATCATCACCACCATCTTCAACTTGTAAGTGGCTTTCGACATCTTGTTGAATCTCTGAATGTACAAGTAAAGGTCTTTTGTATTTGGCCAATACAGAGAGCCCTGCCTAAAGCAGCAAATAGTTATGAATTTCAGCAGACACCCTAAACATTACTGATGTTTCAAAAACTGATTCAAGTGACAATATAACTTTTCTGCATTACTCAAGAGTAAAGAAAATTGAAAAAGAGAAGAGGAGAAATGCAAATGTAAATTCTTCCAAAAGGAAAATCAGCTTTACTATCTGTTGAGTTCAATTCAGGTCTCAAAAACAAACCTTGATATGAGTGGCATCTGTCATGGGAAAGTCATCAATCCCTGATGGGCACATAAAAGACTGCAAGCAAGAATGATATAGTTGTAAGATGAAATTTCGATGTCAAAAATGATCAACACCACATTTACAGAGTATTGCCCCTTATTTTTGTTTGGGTAAAAAGGGGTGGAGAAATGAAGGTGGTTAAGTTCTAACGATGTCATTGAATTCTCAGCTCACATGTTGAAAAAACATTATGCACATTATGTCTGGCATCCAATGATTGTGCATTAGTTAAGTTTCATAGATAATGCTAAGATTATTCTTACAATATTATTGGTGGCATAAAGGTATCAGAAAATACAAAGCAGATAGATACCCTGTTCTATGTAAATGATGAAAAGCTGAATCATCACCACCCTCATTAGATGCTTACCTTCAGACCAAGGACACCAGCATTTAAGAGGGCTTCCAGAGCTGTTGCATTGAATGCATTTTCAGGAACTAGACCTCCCCAAAAGCCTGGTAAATGGTATATCTGTGAGACTTAAGCCTTTTACATATTGATTTCTTAAGGTACAGTTCATGGAACATACCTACATCAACATAAATACTCTTCTCTGCAGCCTCAATCTGTCCAAAAAAAAGAAAAAATGAAGTTCAAATACATGATATATAGCATATCTATTACCTTATCACATATGTGTATGATTACTAGGCATACCTTGAGTTTCAAAGTTTCTGTTGAAATGGTAGAAGGAAAGCTATTTAGAGGCATGTCAATCAATGTTGTAATGCCACCTATAGATATGCAGTAATAGAAATGGTTAAGGGTATGCATACAGGGTAGCAGACCAAAAAATAAGAAAGAAGTATTCCATTTAACACAATTCAAAAGGACTGACAATACATGAATGTATTTGTTGATCATGAAGGAAAAATGAGGCAAAAAACAGATTTATCTGAACAACCAATATTTAAACATTTCAATTAAAGTCTATAGGTAAATAAGTAGAGAAAAAACCACTACTGAAATTGTAATGTTTGCTCATGAAGAAGATGAATTAATAATATATACTTTGTATTTATAACCGATGGAAACCTCCTTTCATACAAGTTCATTATACATGTAAACCAATATACCTGCAGCAGCTGCTTTAGTCCCTGAAGGAAATCCCTCCCATTCAGCTCTCCCTGGATCATCTAGATGTGCATGCCTACCATGGACATAATCATAAGCATCTTTTAAAGTATCATAGATTTTCCTCTGATCCTATCTACTTCATGCTCGCACAGTTATATGTCTCAATCATTGCTTACAATTTAAGTAGATATTAAATTTTGGGGAACGGACCAATTGTGAATAAATTATTAAGTAGCATGAATGGCAAGAAAAAAAGATCTCTTACACATCAATCAAGCCAGGCATGACAACTGCATTTCCGTAATCAACTACTTGTTTAGATTTTCCATTCCAATCCTTGTCCTCAACTACAGATATGATATGCCCTCCCTTTACCTCCACTGTCAATTTATGCATCCAGAAAAGAAGCAAAACGACTGGTAAGTACAGTGCAACGATCTTGTTAAAGAAGGAGGTGTAGCATTATGGTAACATGGATAATATCACCATCATAATGAATTAGATTCCCATGTTTCCTCTTGCAAAACTTCTTACTCTATTCGCAATCAGTTGTTTTACATACCTGCACCAGAAATAATCCCTAGTGGTGTCACAATGCGCTTGCTTGCAATCCAATAGTGACTGTGAGGAAGAAGACTGCAACCACTTTGAGATGGCTGCCAAAAGCATAACAAAATCACTGAATCACTTCATAGTTATTAAGAATGAAAATTCATCAAAATACTTTAGTTTTGAGATCCTTAAACCACAATCCTTCTTTTGCAAAGTTAATAAATGGTTCAAAAGGGGAAAAAAAAAAAGAGAATCGAAAACCTAAACCCAAATTCTAGATATTGCATCTAAAGAAAGTAAAAAATCAGAAAATATTCATTTCATCTGTTCAATTTCTCATAAAAAAGAAAAGTCAGCTCACTGATGAATCATGAAAGAAACAAAAGCCAAATATAAAATTATATTTGAAGAAACACTCAACATTTAATAGTTAGACTGTAATGAAGAGAAACCTTGGAAGAATCCTGGATGTATAAAAGGAAAAGAAAAGAAGCGAGAAGCGTCAACAGCGGCAAGAGCCTCCCTTGCAGCAAGTCCATCGCTCTCCCGCTCTCACTTTCTCTCTCTTGTTCTTGTTAATAAAAGACCCAAATAAAAACGCCAATGAGATTGCCACATCTTGATACACGTGTGATTTCACGAACTTGGAAGTGGGAGAAAACAAGCGTTACCCGTCCGTGGAAAATGCAACGCAAAGGGCTATCTCGATGGCTACATCTGGATTTGTGATGAAATGTGAACCGTCGATGAAAGTTTGATGGGGCAATGGTATCATTGCTGATTTGGTTAGGAAGATTCTCCGTTAGGAACTGAATCTCTTGGAGAGTGTAGATCACTGCCCAATAACCTATCGACAAGTATACTATGCTGTAAAAAACGCAATCGTTTCATTGGTTCGTGTACGCTCTCCCTCTCCGATGACGCGTACTGATCTGCTTTTTTTTTTTGAGAAGCAAATATTTAAGAAATAAATAAATTGTTTCCAATCATGAAAATTAATAATGAAATATATACTAAATCAAAATGTGTATTAAGCCATTTGCCCATCTTTGAGATTCACGAGAGGAAGGGAAATTTAAAAATAAATTAAAATGTTGGAGGAAATGAAAGAGAGAATAAAATTATACATTATCAACATTTTCTAATTAAAGAATGAATATTGTCTCCATATCAGCAGTTTTTTATGTATAATTTATAAATTTATTATAATTTTTTAAAAAATCTGTATCATACTTTGATTTTAAAATGAGATAATTTTTTTAATTAAATTTTTTTTATCAAAAAATAAGAGAAAACATTGTTAAACAAATGATAACATATTATATTATTTTTCAATAACATTGTTTTATATGTTAAAATATTAAAATAAAACCAAAATTGCATGTACAATATATGATTTTGTGATTGGAGGGAAATTTCATATCTGTAAGGGACATGTAATACTCAAAATCACATATTATTTATTAAAACATTTTTTTAGAGAATGCACCACTTCTCATTTATTTTGTTCAATCCTTTTAAAAACAAATTGTGTTAAGTATTTGACATAAAAATATTTTTTATGTGAAAATGTTATAATTTAAACAATAATCATTAAAATTAAAAATTATCTTTTTCACAAAGCTTAATATAAGGATATTTCAATTAATAAAAAAAATAAAAGATAATATTTCAAAGTATAAATATATTACGATCATGTATGATGTATAAAATTACAGATAGAATAAGATAATAATCATTTTACATCATATTTATTTGTATACAAAGAGAATAATAAAAATCATGAAAAAAATTAATATTTTATTTGTATAAAATTATTTAATCTTCTCAAAATAGAGAGAATTATTTTTAATTCATAAAATTAAATTACATATCTAAATATATACTTAAAAATTATCTCAATAATTAAATTATATAAATTTTAATAAATATAATTTTAATAAATAAATAAATTATTATATTTTAATCTTTATATATATTGTATATAAAATAAAATAATTTAATTTATAATATTATTTTATTTTATCTCATTATATTTTGTGTATCGGAGTTATTAACGCTAAATAAAAAAGAAAAAGAAATGAAAATATTTAAAAAAAATAAAAATAAGCTAGCCGCCTCGAATGGAAACAATAATTAGTCGATCCAGTCGGCTTACTAGGCTCACTACTTGGGACTTAAAAACGAATATATCCGACCCGACACCCAAGTGACCCAACCGTCTTGTCACCTTTTCGCCTTTTTCAATAAAAAAAAAAAAAAAAAGGGAAAGAACCGCTGAATGCAAAGGATTCTCAATTGTGTAAAACGACGTCAGAATTAGGGCTTTGTCTCACAGCTTGCTCAGGCCGCTACAGAGAAAGAAGCAACCAGAAAACAATAATTTCCATTCATCAAAACTCGATTTGTGCTCCGATTCAGTTTAGTTTACAGTGTGCAAAAACAAAACGCTAAAAATCGAAAGAAAAGAAAAAGTAAATAGAAGAAGAAAAATGCCTCAAGTGAAGATTATCGCCAAGAATTTCATGGACATGGTGGCGTCGTTGCCTGCCATTAAGCTCGACATGCTCTATCGTAATCAATTCATTTGCGAAGCCATTCTCAGGTCTTCCTTCCTTGCTTTTTTTTTTTTTTTAACTATTTTCTTTTTAAATTTAAATTCAGGATATCGCTGTTGAGAATGCTTCTCACCACTCCTTAAAACCAATGAATTTCTGAATTGATCGAAGCATTTGTTTATGGAGCAGATCGCTGCCACCTCTGGCGAAGAAATACGTGTTACAAATGCTCTACATTGATGTGCCAATAACATCCAAGTCGTTGCAGGAGTGGGTGATTGCTGATGGATCCTCTAAGCACAAAGTTGCCATCGATCGGTTGATTCAGTTAAGAGTGTTAGAAGTAATTGATAGGTAAGCAACTGCAATTATTTGTCGTTTCATTTACTTAGTTTTAGCTTCTTTATAAGATCAAGCGGCTACTTCTCCGTAACGATCAAGAGGAAGCATAGAACAGCTTAAGCATAATAGGAAATTGGTTGTATGTGCTATTTGCATTAATCAATACTTTCTTTTTTTTTTGGCAGGAAGAAGGAAACCGCTTACAAGTTAAATTCCACATTTCAGACTAACCTCAGGAAACATTTGATAAATGGGTAAGTCTTTTTTTATTTATTTATTTATATGGTACTTGTCTTGATATGCAGTTGTCAATATTAAAGGGACTAAAATTTTGCCCTTTGTTGTGTATTATGAGTTTGCATACTTGTAGAACCTTCAAATTTGCTGGTTTAAAATTTATTCCTATTATTTTTCCTATTGGTAGTACATCAATTACAGCCAGATCTATTACTCACGTAGTTGATTGTCTGTGATTTCATTAGATTCATTCTGCTGTGTTGTTGTTGTTATAGTTATATAAATGACTATTATTTTGCAGTGGGATTTTGCCAAGAGAACCAATGCCGTCAAATGTTACTGCAAGACTCCCAACCTTGGAGGAACTTGACGCCTATGCACATGGGCAATGGGAGGTGCGAATTTCACCTATTTATTGCGATTGTTTTATTGCAGAATTTATTTCAACCATATGTTCCCAAGGAATTTGTGTTTTTGACTTAGTGTATGTGAAGTCAAATGTTACTTTTGCAATTTACTCAATTGTTTAGTTTTATTGTTTGAGCTGCTTCTTACTTCTTCAGCTCTGTTAAGCAGTGTTTCTTGCTGCAACTTATAAGTTCAGGACAAGCTGAAAGATCGACAAGCTTTAGCTCTTCCATGATGAGAATATTTCAGCGTGGTCTTTTACGTCAGAGGTGTTATTTCTTGCCATTCACTTAAGCTTTATTTCTTTATGCATTAGATAATGAGGGTTCTACATCCCACGTTTGGTATCATACTGTTTATGTGTCTGTTTCTGCAGAGAGAAAGAAGTTCCAAGATTAACTGAGAGTGGTTTCCAGTTCTTGGTGTGCATCATATAAACCATGGCCCTTTTGCATCTTTTTTTGGTTCCCTGTCACCTAAGATTACTTCTCATCTGTAATTTACAGCTGATGGATACAAATGCTCAGCTTTGGTATGTTATCAGAGAATATATCTCCAATTCAGAGGTATCGTGCATGAGATCTTTTTGGTGTTCTCCTTGGAATTTGTTTGTTACAGATATTGTGTTGTTAAGTACTTGGAAAGGGGAAATTGGAATGGATTTATTGTCAAATTTTATCTGGCATTGTTTTCCAGTTCAGAACCTTGATTCAGTATTTTTTTTGGTACATAGAACTTCGATTCAGTTTTGTCAGTATGTTTGTTCCTCATATACAAGAATGTATCTTAGGCTGTGCATATGTGGAAGAATGCTAGAGCTTGTATGTATATATATATGCTTGTGTATGCCATTGTGCATCAGGTGTTCATATATAAGTCATGAAAGCTACTTTAATGCTAGGAGAAAGGTATTTTCTGGCCATTGCCTATAGATCTATCATTGTGTCTGTGTTTGTGGATGGGCAGATCCATCTATTGACCGTTTTAATGAAGGAAAAATAAAAGTTGGTCCCAAATTATGGCCTTCTTTACATGAAATTAAGGTCATTGATGCAACTCCTGTTCTGTCATTTTGTAGCAAGTGTTTGTATCTTATGCTTAGTCTTTCTTCTTTGGTACAGGAGCAAGGTGTGGACCAAGCTGATTTAATTGCATTTCTGCTAGAGCTTAGTTTTCATACCACTGGTGAGGTATGCTCTGTTGATTTGTAACTTTTATCTTCATGCATACTTGTTCATTGAAAAGTTTTGCTGGAAGAAGTCTATGCTTGCCATTTGTTTAATCTGTGTTGTCTTAGCCAGAATCTACATTAATCTTCAGGTTTTACTGCTTACACATTTTGTTGTCCTTTGTTATTTGCATAGAAGCTTTTTCCCTTTTGGTAATGCTTTTCTTGACTTTCCTTGAGGTTCTTTAAAGCTAATTTCTTTGACATTTTCTGGACTAATTTGCTTTGCCTTGTCATAGGCATATAGTTTAAATACACTGACTGATGACCAGAGGGCTATGATCAAGGACCTTGCAGACTTGGGATTGGTCAAACTTCAACAGGTTCTCCTAATTAAAGCTGTTCTTTTTATGGGAATACATGGAGTATCTGTTTTAAGTAATGCTTTATGATGGTTCTGAGGTATTTGCATATGTTCAGGGCAGGAAAGAGAGTTGGTTTATACCTACTAAATTAGCCACCAATCTTTCAGTGAGCTTAACTGATTCATCATTAAGGAAACAGGTATGGCTAAAGAAGTTGCTTGTGTGAATACATAGTCTCTGATTGTAGTAGCTGTTATCTTGGCTTTCTCTAGCTGGGTTACTCTTGCTCATACAGTTCTTTTGCTATATTTTGCCCCAGGGATTTGTTGTTGTCGAAACAAACTTTAGGCTGTACGCATACTCGTCATCGAAGTTACACTGTGAAATTTTACGTCTATTTTCAAGGTATGAGGTAGTGAATCCTTGATTGTTGTTGCTGTGGAAAAACTAAGAAATAAATCTGTGTGAAAAACTAAGAGTAAAAACTGAACGTATATTGAAAAACTGCTCATTAAGAATTATACAAGAATCTTAGGTTTATATACAACTAACTAGGGGTTAAACTAGAAAACTAAATCTTCCTAAAAACTAATCCTATAATTGAGCGATTGTTTATGATTGTTTATCCTAATTTTTTGTCCTTAATTCTGAAGATATAAATATAAATATACAAATTATAAGATTACAACCAGCTGTAAATAAGTGTTTTCCCACAGTTGCTTTTTGGAAAATGCTGTATTGGTTGCCTTATAAATGAGCCAAATTGCATTTAGTCGGAATAACAACAAAACAATCTTCAAACAATGAGCAAAGTGATAAAATAAATAATTAATTTTTTTGGAAAAATGGCCTTCCCTTGTGATACCTTTGAATATCATTTTCAAGAGTGATTCCAAGGAAGAAATAACCCTGTGTTAAAAGCAGAAAATTTTATTTTCCTCAAAGATTTGGGGTCTTTGGGGCCAATAGGCGGAAATACAACCACAACCTTTTGATGGTAAATTAATTGTTCCTTCAATACCACAGTAAAAAGTATTACAAATTGATTTGATGCTATTAAAAGTTATAGAAGATGATAAAATGTAGTAATAAATTTTTAGTAAGTAAATGATGAAGCTGTTTCTGCTTGATTCAAAACATAGCTGATTAATCCTTCTCTCTTCTGATTCTAGTTCTCCTCCACTTCATTATCTATTCACTGAATGCCCAAAGGCTCTTCTTGACACCTGCAATCTGCTGATTGCCATTTATAGCCAACCACTTTAACCTGCTTCTTCTAAAATTTTAATATTTATTACTTCTATATTCACTATTGATTTCTTGCTAAATAATAATGTGCTCAAATCTGTAGGGTAGAGTATCAACTTCCCAACCTCATAGTTGGTGCAATAACAAAAGAAAGTCTGTATAATGCTTTTGAAAATGGCATTACAGCTGAACAGGTTAGTATCCATTTCTAGTTGCTCTTTTATTTCCCAAGTTGCAGGATCTGGACAAGCAAGAAATCACACTATTGATAATAATAAAATCTGAAGTCATCCAACCTAGCCTAAGCAGCTTCATTTGCTTTGTGTAACCCCTGAATGCAGATAATTACGTTCCTTCAGCAGAACGCACATCCTCGGGTTGCTGAAAAAACACCAGCTGTACCTGAAAATGTCACAGATCAGGTTACACACTTATTATCTTAAATATTGTGGCACTATCATGTGATCAATTCATTTAAATCTATACATCCTGACATCTACAGAAGCATATTGAGCCTGCTATTTTCAGTAAGAAAGTAGATGTTCATGTCGTTTCTCGCTTTCTAATTTTGAAATGACTCTTTGTTGCAGATAAGATTGTGGGAAACTGATTTGAATAGAGTTGAGATGACTCCTGCTCATTGTTATGATGAATTTCCTTCAAGGGTAATCTGAAACTTCTTGATTTGAGTGATATTCCGATGTTACTGAATATTTTGTGATCATATTTTGGAGTTCATGTCGTCTATTGGACAGGACGTCTTCGAGGCTGCTTCTGACTTTGCTCGAGTGCATTGTGGCTTACTATGGGAGGATCCTAAGAAAATGCGCATGGTTGTCAAGGCGGAGATTCATATGCTTATGCGAGAGCATCTTCGTGGAAACAAGTAGAGATTGTTCATCATTCAATCTCCTGATACTGCACGCTGAAAGGGATTGTCCAAAGTTTTGCTGGGGAAAAGGCTACTAGGAATCTTCACTTAGCAGGGTGGTTTGTAATTGAAATTCCTTTTGGTTGGAGGCTGTCAACCTGAATCTGCCTTGATATGAATAATTAGGGGGAGAGGAACAACTCTTTCTTGACTGAAATCAAATGTCGACAAGTTCCAATCTTTGTCACTGAAATCAGAGGTGGGGGAAGTATCCTGTGTGTATTTGCGGGGATTTCGACAGAATCACCTGTCAATGGTTACCTGTGTCATATATCCATATCAACATATGGTAGTCAAAGCAATGTTTTCAGACAATGTTTAGATCCAAGGTTCTTAGTTTTCAACTCTTTTTGTGTCTTTAATTTTAATTCGATACCTTCTTTTTATTATTATACATATCAACTAAACACTTCCCGAATTTTGGAATAGATCATGGAAAAATGTATAAATGAGCAAAACAGCACCAAAGATATGAACATAGCATTATCGAAGCCACCAAAAACAAAAAAAAAAGAAAAAAGAAAAAAAGAAAAAATTTCGGCAATCAATTGATCAAACTCTCCAAGTGCGGGTCTGGTAAACGAAAAAAAAAAAAACCTAATAATGAGAATATCAATTTGTTGCTGCCCAGGATCGAACTGGGGACCTTTAGTGTGTAAGACTAACGTGATAACCACTACACCACAGCAACTTGTGCTTCCCAGGATTAAATCTTATTTATAATATGCTATTCTTTGATGGAATCACCATCATTATTTGCTACCATAGAAAGATGTGAAGCCAAGCTATGAAATGGAACAATTCTCACATTTATCTTTCAAGTCTTTGTTTCCCAATTATTTGAAATGTACAGAAATAGAAAATAAAAACAATCTCAAATGTCTCCATTATTTTGAGTATTTTAAGGTAAGAGAGTATCCTGCATAACTCAAGAGAAACAAACTGTAACAACATAGCCTGTCTCAAATGTCTATAAAGGTGTACATAAGTGAAGAAAATAACTAATTTTTAAATGGTTAATCAATGAATAACTAACTCGGTCGTATAAAACCACATAATAAAACTTGATTCCTCTTGAATGTTACAAACAATAACAAAACTGAGGTAAGAAATGTAGTAACCCCATACTAAAACCAGGAAGGGCGGATATGGAAAGGGTAGCAAATGGGGAAACAGCTATTCAGATTTTTTTGAGAGTTTCCTCTTCATTCGACTAAAAGGTCCAACGGTTCGATCCATAATATACATGTAAATAACCTGGCTCCAAGATTTATACGACTCTAAGCCATCATAATATTCTGGAGCAATCTCCTTCACCTTATGCAGCTTGTTCCCAGGAATCCTTGGGAAATCATGGTGCTCATTGTGATAGCCAACGCTCCATGTTAAAAGATTGAGGGGACCATAGTAAGAATATGTCTCTTGATCAGGCTTGAATACGTAATGCTCAGAGATGAAATGGCCGGCCATTGGGTGCATTCCACCCCCAACAAATGTTGAAAGGATCAAATAAGCAAAAGATTTCCAGCCCCATAAATAAACTAAGGTTGCATCAAGAGCAATCTGAACAACCAAGTTGATGAACTCCCAATAACCAGGGGGCTTTGGTTTGAGAAATAGAGGGCGGAGCGCATAGAAGAAGAGTTGGAAGATGACCCATATGGCTTTTGAGACAACATTTGTCACAAGATGGGCTTCAGTGTAGCTTGGGACATCCATGTCCATGCCATCTACCCCTTGGAAACGATGATGCTCAAGGTGATACTTCTGGAAAGTAACAGACATAGGCACGCCAATAGGGAGGTTAGCAAAAATCCCAAGCCAACGGTTGTAGACAGGAGTAGAGAAAGCAAGATTGTGGCTGAGCTCATGGATGGCTAAGAAGAGGTTGTGGTTGAGGAAAGCGCCAAAGAAGTAGGCAACTACCAATATCTTCAGCCAGCCAGCATCATAGAGGGTAGTAGCGGTCCATAGCTGGAGCAAAACAACCACACTAACCTGCAATGCCACGGTTTCAAGGAGATGAGTATGCACATATTTGTTTATACTCATCCACACAATTCATTCAAATGGATCTATCATTTGAAAGTTCTTAACGCATAAAAGACCAGCAATAAGGATTGGGGGGGGGGGGGGGGAACCAAAAAAGTAAAGGAGATAAGCTTAAAAAGATGATGGTGACTCCAACTAAAGGTGATGTGAACCACCACATTCTGAAATGCCAAAGCCACTTCAAAGACAAAGATGTAAACTTTGGAGCTAAATTAATTAATGAGATAAAAGGAAAAGATGCGTTCCACCAAATCTACACTACCCAACATGATCCCCAATTTGGAGTCCATAAAAGAAACACGGTTCATGTCAACCACACACAAAAACAGAAAAAAAAAAATGAAGCATCAAAGAAAAGAACCATGGAATCAAATCGCTTAAAGAGCCTCATTCCAATCAATGTGACTCGAAAGATGACTTTTTTTAATCCAAAAAAAAAAGGAAAGACCCAGATTCCCATTGTGGTAAATAATAAAACAGAGAAAAAATAAATCAAAATCAAATGCGATTATCCAGTGGCATTACTTTGGATCTAAAAGCAGTAAAACAAACAGAATGAAGAATGAGAAGAAAAAGATACAGAACTTTTGGGATACCTTAAGGAAAGCCAAGGGATCAGGGCCAAAAAGCTCTTTGATTTGAGGGTACTGAGACAGGATCTGACGTCTCCTTGAAGCATGAGGCTCATCTGTATATGACCAGAAAAAGTCATTTGCCATTGCTACTCCTTTCTCTTCCTCCCTCTTTCCCCCCCTCTCCATCTCTCTCTCGCTCTCTCTATAAACCCTTTGTTTATCTTTTCTTCCTTTCCTCTTCTTCTATCTCTATTCCAGAGAAGAATATATTTTTTAGGCATAAAAAAAGGATTTTTTTTCTTCCCCTAATTCTCAGTCACTGAACAGGAGCCTTTTACGTGTGGACGGTGTTGGAGTTTCTTGGTTTTATACAACTTGAAAAATCCAGCTTGGATTTTTAGGCTCTTTTTTTTTCTTTTAATATTTATGCCAACTCTGGTTTTTTTTTTTTCTTTTTTGTATTTTAATTTACTCTATTTTTCATGGGCCAAGTAGATTCAACAGTGGCAAAGGTGATACAAGGCCCCACTTTTTATAGCATTAAAAAAGAAAAAAAAAAGAAAAGAATAAAAGACACCAGAGTGAAAATGAATATGGATGATAGACATTGACATGTCCAAACTAAGACCTGGTTTATGCTCAAACCTCAGTAACAGAAACAACTGATCATGTCATCACTTGACACAATCATGCAACAAGCAAATGAAGCATGTTTCATTGTTCATCCTCCGTATTCATGTTCTTGAGCATTCATCAACACGCTTTTTCCAGTCTATTCAAGTTGTTGAGCACATTCCTTCAAACACCTTGCATATTACAAACCTCAAAGACAGCAAGTGCCAAAAATAATAGCAAAGGGCAGATATGACAGAAAATGATTTGGCAAGGATTTTTATCATCAAACTTTAGGCTATACAAGCATGTACAAATGTACTAAATACAATTTATGGGATCCTAGATGAACTACCTCAACTTCAGCACCAGCCCACAATAACTCAGGCATGGTTTCTTCTGGTAAGCAGTGGGAAGACCTAATTTTGCCAAATCAAGCGATTTGGTCTTAATGTAATCAAGAGAAAACGAACAGAAAATACTCAGACCAGAGAGAAGATATTTTAGAATGTACTTGTCACCTTAGGTGAGAATTGTAAGTATAAAAAATGGAATCAGGGACAATCAGTGACAACTTATCTATATACATGAAAAATCTTCTAAGATTCTCCCTTGCCACTGTGGCCATGTCAATTATATCCTTACCGTCTGTATATACCCAGAGATCTCCAGAATTAACTCTCTTAAGAATATCACAACAGAAGGGGCACGACTGTGATCTTGATCGCCTGCAATTCATAGCAACAGATCTTTATTATCATCAAAAAAATCAATTATGCAATATCAAAGGAAAAAAATAAGAAATCCAAGAATCAATGAAGGGGGAAACTAGTACTATACACAATTACACATAATGATTTTATCACATGCACTTAAACACATCATCATTTTTTAAGGCAGCCTGCAGGTAGCCTATCCATTGACAATCTCTAAACACCAGATAAGTTGGAAACAGTTTTGAGGGTTCTAAAAGTAAAACAAGAGACAGCATTGCAAAGTTATTGCAAAAAAGATTACTGGATACCTTATTACAAGCACCAATACTTTTCAGCTCTACTTTCAGTTGTTCAGAAGATCATGTCAGAGGAGGCGACAACCAACAAGTATCATAGATAATCAGAAAACTATATGAAGCACATTGGGAATCAACCCAATTTAGATTCAACAGTGCTCCCTTAAATTTAAAGGGAATGAAAAAACATCTTTACATCCCAGACCAGTCAGTAATCCCTGTTTATTTGAACCACAAACAGTGAGGTACAAGTTTTACTTATATGGTAAAGCAACACCTTGAAGTGATGACATCAACAGTTTTTAAACTTGACTCCTAGATGGAGGATACACAATAAGTTAAGATATAGTGTTTGAAAAAAGTTTGTTGTCGAAGTCAAGACGCTAGATAGAAGACCCTAAAACATTTTAAAGCAACTGGGAATCCTGGATGACATGTATGATTCCATCTCACAAAGGTATAAAGAAAACATAATATTCTCCAATCCACATGCTGCACCATCATAAGCTTTAACCATAAGTTTCAAAGTTTCAAATCCGTCAAACTTCAAATAGCATTTGAAGCAACACATCTACCTGTCACTTCAATTTTACTTTACTGCCAATTATCTTCTTTTATTCTCCTCCATTCCAGTCACAAGAAACACATGAAGCAAGGTTATGAAGGCAAAGCAACAAAACAATCGAGGTCATAGAGTGGTCATTATTTTCTATACTATTTATTAGTTGGGAGTATGGGACTGAAATTATCGTCTATAGTATATATTAGTTGGGAGTAGGGACTGAAATTATCGTCTATGGTATATATTAGTTGGGAGTGCAGTCCTATCAACTCTTGGGATGTCAAAACAGGAGAACTTTATAGGATGTTTGCATGGTTGATGTATTATATGAAAAAAATCAAGTAACTGCTTTAAGCAGCAGAAAGATACAACATATAAGCAAAATAGAGAGGGATAAGGGGATAATGGGAAGCGGTAGGAAGAATACCATTCACATTAACATTTCAAGCACATGGCATGGTTGCAGTTAGGTAGCACGATTTTAGTGTTCATCTCCATGCAAATTCCACATCCTTCTTCTCTTTCAAAATCAACATCAGTAAGATGCCTATACTCTTCATCTTTTCTTCTTCGGTACCTTTCCATGCACACTGCTTTCTGTTTTTTATCTTCAGTATCAGTGACACCCCTCCGAAGTTGCAGTAAAGAGGGATAGATAACAGCTGGACACAGAATGAATTCAGAAGCGTTAGTATAACTTAGAGTAAGTACTACATTCTACATATTCACCAAAACACTCAGACTTGGAAAGATACCATAGAATTCTCTTATGCTTGCTTTCCTTTCATGTATAGACATGGTGGTAGTACCACCCACATAAACCTGCAGAATGTGATAGGATGATGAAATCAGCTAATTTTCATGATTACAATATAAGCTAAACGCAAAGTAACAAAACATAACCTTGTAAATTAGTATTCTTAACATTCCAAGGGCTCCTGCAAGGTGACAGTCAGTCCACTGCACCAAAAATAAGAAGAGGTGTGCAGCTGGACTGTATGACATTCTCATTTGAAGGCATGCACCATCATACACCCTTGGAAAATCTGAAGCCCTGCACCTTGCATTGCATGATGGGAATTTAAGCAGAATGAGAACATAATGATAATATTAAGCAATATGGCTCAAAATATTGGAGAACACGCACTGCTGCAAGCCAGTTTTTATACAGAATGATCAACAACTATGGTTTCTTCTAGCAGTTCACTTCTATCCAAGGGCTCAAACTCAAAGAACTAATTGTAAAACAACTGTATTAGCTACTTTTAAGACTGCTGTTTCAATAACCACAAAGAAATGTATAGCTTATCCTCTAGCTGTTTAAGATGTCAGGTATTTACTCCACGATGAAGGTTTTCAGCATCAAGAAAAAAAGAAATCTCAGGAACTTAACCAACCATTGTCTTAAGAATAGTACTGAATTATTCAAGTTACAAGCAATTTACACCGAATCTATGGATCAGTTTAACAATCCAAAAGGCATAAATGGCATAAATGTATATGTATAAGAATCAAAACACTGTATTCATGCATTTATTGAGCTGGGACCAGTAATTGATGATTTAATCCTGATGCTCGTATTATAGTGAAGAAAAGATGAAAAATGACACTGAATTAGATGGAACCCATGGGCCACGTGTAGTTAGATGGATAAATCTATCAAGATAATGAAAAATGCCCCACACAAACATGCAATCTTGCAATCTCTGAAAAGACACCTTGTACCCTTGCCCTACTCCAACATTACAAAACAACGTTTATATACAAAAATGCCAATGAGAATTAAGAAATATCTAGTGTCCATTTGGGGGAAAAAATGTCTGTAGAAGAAAAAGAACTCAACCTACTATAACCAGAAGCATTAAATGCATTACCGACTTAAGTAAGCTGAAAGAAATAACTTCAGCCAAAAGGTACAAGACTCAAAAACTAGCCTTGTCAAAAACAAAAATGCTCTTCAGGAACTAAACAAATGTTCGTCACCCAAATTATTGTTTCTTAGAAAAATCGCAAAGAGTCAAATATGGAGTTATGAAAATCAAATGCTTTAGCTAAGAGCATCTGAAGAGAAAGAACTTTGAGCTTAAGTCTTTTTTTTAAATAATAATTAAATGTCAAAATGAAAGAAACAATTGTTACATGAAACCAATGATTTCAACATCATGTAGAACAAGTAAAATAGAATCCACAATCATGATCTGAAACCCAACGTTCTAATTTTTTCAAAAAACTAAAAAGTTTTGTTTTTTGTTTTGGAAAAAAAAAGTTTCAAACTTCATGAACCATAACATTCATTCCAAGAAGAAATTAAAACAAAGACAACAAAAACATCACAAAAGAAGAGTACCCAAACCGCACAAAAGAAGAAGAAAAAAAACCTTCTTTTAAAGAAAAAAAAAAAGACCTACAGAGTATTAGCATGTTGGATATCAGCTTCAAGCACTTGAAAACCTATGCACATCCCTCCCCCCACCCAAAACAAAATCAAATTCCCATCAATCTCCCCCAAAAGAAACCCTAATTTTTTTCTCCAAACCAGTTCTGTGACAGTCTTTGGGTCTCTCTCTCCCCCTCTCCATGGTGGGTGATTCTGGGTGGCGGTGACAGTGCCTATTCCATTCTAGAATCTAATCTAATTAATTTAGATGTAATTTTTGGAAAACATTTTTTATTTTCATTTTATTTTTTTCCGCTTTTTGAAAAGGTTTTGTTCCCCACTTTTCTTTCAACTTTGCTTTCGGTAACGCGCACTCGTTTCTTTATTTTTCTCTCTTTTTTGTTTGCCATTCTTTCTTCTAATTATGTATAAAGTTTTTTTTTTTTCTGAAATTAATGTCTCTAACAGAGGTAATAAAGATTTTTTTTTTCATTTCTTTGATAATAAATAAAATTTAAAAATATTATTTGAATTTAAATCAAATTTTTATTTAATTTAATCTAAATTAAAATTTATTGTTTAGTTCATCGATTTTTTTTGTTATTTATATATTATTTAAAAATATTTAAATAATTTTAAACATAAAATAATTATTTTTATTTTATACAATTTTAAATAATATATAAAAATGAATAAAATATATAATTTGATTCAATTTTTTATTTATAATTAATTTTAAATTTAATATAATTTAATATTTAAATTTAATTCAAATTGAAAAACAAATCAATCCAAATTAAATATCACAATTTTAATTCAATTTTTAATTTTTTATATTTTTTCTCACATTAATTTATAAGTTATGACTAAAACTCCAAGAAGAAAATAACATAAATAGGAGAATGATAAGATTTAATATTACTTTTAGGTAAAATATTGTTCAAATCAATGAAGAAGAAAGTAAATAATGCTATTAACTTAATCTTGTAATTGATATGTAAAGACAAATAGAAATTGACACAATGTATGTCAAATGTCAATAAGATGAAGGATTAATCAAGCAACTATAATTTTGTCAAAAAATGAGGAAATTAAAAACATGATAACACCTAATTGTTGGTTAATAGAATAAACAAATAGTTTAACTACACGAGGAGTTGGTAAGTTGGCATGTAAGCTATAAATGAGTAAATTCCAAACCTCAACCATAACTATGATACTATATAATTAGCCAATATTTGTTATGGTTCATCATTAAACATTATGTAATATTTTTTAATATTTAAATAAATTAAAATTAAAATTTTATTATCGAAACTAAGAGTTTAACATTTTATTTATAAATCACAACTAATACTTTAAATGAACATTAGTCATAAATTTTAATAAAAAAATATTAGTTGATGGATGCTTATAAATATTAGAAAAACAACTAATAGGTAAATTATAAATGTCAAACTTACATTAATTTATTTTTTATATGATACCAATTATAATTGTGTCAATTTCTATTTGTCAATATAAATGATTTTTTTTATGAGATTGTTAATTTTGACTTAATATAATTTTTTTTTATTTTTCATACAGTCAATTTTAAAATAATGAGATATAAAATTTAATTTATTGTTGTTGTATATTATTATAAGAAAAAAAGGGGAAGGCGTTTTTTTTTTTTTTGTTTAATACTAAAAATTAATTTCATTGATATTTTAACTATTTATTTATCTATTTCGTGTATTAAAAATATAAATAATAAATAATAAAAACATAAATCAAACCCCATTTAAACAAATTTAGGGCTTTTAAATGCAAAGAGAACGATCAAACCAAGGGGGGCTCGGCCTGATAAGAAAAATATCGGCTTAGGCCCATTTGTTTTAAACATTTAAAATACCAAATTATCCACAAAGCTATTCATAATTTACGAAATAGCCTCTAAGTTCAAAATTCTGTTCATCGGCTCCAACCTGAGGCTGTTGTTGGCTTGTTGCAACCGCGATAACCACGAAAACTGTTCGGACAATAATTTCCTCTCATCTCCCAAAATGAAAACCCTAATTTTTAAAAGTCCAATTAAAATCAAAATCTTAAACTCCCAAATTTCGCCTTCAATTTTCCCCTTCCGTGCTCCATCACGCCAAAATGTAAGGTTCCGTCACTTGTACCGTAGAAAATGCTTCCAAATCCACGGAAGCCTCAATGTCTCTCCAGCCAAGGCTTCTTTATCAGCTGAATCCTCGAATTTCGGCGGCTGGGACGATTATGAACTCGGTAGTTGGTCTACTAACCCCGGTGAGTCAACTCAGTTGCGTAATTTCCTTGTTTCTATCGGAATTGACGATAAGAAACTTGTCTTTATGTTTTTATTGGGGCTTGTTTGTGCCTTGGCGATCTCTAGGGTTAGAGTCTCCACAATTATCATATTTCCAGCTTCTGTTTTGGTTTTTGGTATTGGGTTTTCAGTTGGGTTTGTTAAAGGAGGGAGTTTCAATGAGCTAAGTTTAAATAAGAGGAGGTCAAAGGAAGAATATTTAAGAGTTTATAGCGAGAAATTGAAGAATTTAGTGGATTTTTTTGATGGGTTTGATGTTAAAGTTAATAATTTGAAGAATAATATAATAAGAGCTATTGATTCTAACAGAATTACTATAGGTGATTTGGAGAATTATGCTAGTTTAGTGGAATCAATGAGGGCATCGGCTTCAAGTGCTAGAAATGTTGTTGAAGCTTCTATGGATAACGTGGGGAACTCTTATAGAGAGAACCAGAAACCATCAGGTAGAAAAAAGGAGGTTGGTGAAGTTGGGTTTGAGTTGTTACACTTTCTTGGGAGTTTGTTTGGTGAAAAATTGGTAGCTTCAAAGCCTAATAGAGTAAAAGATGATGTTAAGTCAGAGAGCGTGGATTCTGATTTAAATAATCAAACTCGAGGAGATGTTTCCTTGCCTGTTCTTGAAGATAGGGTTTTTAGTTCACCTAGTAACAGCAAAAGAGTTTTAAGTCAGGGTTTTGCTCAAGATTCTTTGAATAAGTCCGCTTTGAATCAAGATAGAGATAGGAGGATAGATATAAATTTGGAGAACGGGAAAATAAGGTCTGAGTTTTTGGGTGGAAGATCTAAGAGATTTGTTGATAGTGAAGAGTATAATTATGAGAGTAACAGATTGCAGTTTGTGAATACTCATGACATCTCTTTCAACACAAGTCATGACAATGAGAGTAAAAAATGGAAATCCAATGATAATCTACTTGATTCTGTGGATTTAAGTGTCAGATTGAAACATACGAAAACTGAAGCTTCATTTGTGCATGAGCAGCTCCTCCAGAAATCTAGTATATCTTACAGGTCTGCCTACAACCCAGAGAAGAGTGAGAATGAGGCATATGGAAAAAGGCAGTGCTATGAAGGTGATTCCCACTTGACTAATCACCTATCTGCACATGAGAATGAGGTCAGTTCTTCTTCATCATCAAAGTTTGCTGATGATGTGCTTTTCGATAAGTATCTCACAGAAGCTAGTGAACTTCTGAAAGAAGCCAAAGAGTGTATGAGGGGTACACATGATGAAGAGCATGTAGAAGTCATCTTGAATAGGTCTGCCACGTTACTCTCTCAGGCCATTGCAATGAAACCCATGAGCCTGTTGGCTGTGGGCCAGTTAGGTAACACTTATCTTCTTCATGGAGAATTGAAACTACATGTCAGTCGGGAGCTGAGAACTCTTCTTGCTAGAAATGATCCCATAATTGGTGAGAGGACACCAGGAAGATTACTAAATGGACTAGTTAATCAATTTTCGAGTAGAGATAAAATTGTATCCCTCCTAGTTAGTGTTTGTGAAGAGTGTGAAGAGCTCCTTGTGAGTGCTGGCCGAAAATATCGGCTGGCACTATCAATTGATGGAGATGATGTGAGATCCCTGTATAATTGGGGTCTTGCTCTGTCATTTCGTGCACAGTTGATTGCAGACATAGGACCGGTAAGCATTTCCTTCAACTGCAATTTAATTTGTTGTCTGTTGTATAGATTTTCTTGGTCGAAAGGGAAACAATTTGATCAACTTTATGATGGCTGATCTTCATCAGGCTTAGATCATTTACACTTTTTTTTGTGGGGGTGGGGGTGTTTTTGATGGGGGCTTACAATTGTTTATTGCAGAATGTTATAACATTGGATTATATTTTTCCAATTTCAGGAAGCAGCTTTTGATGCTGACAAACTATTCTTAGCTGCCATTGATAAATTTGATGCCATGATGACTAGAGGCAATGTTCATGCACCTGATGGTATGTCTAATTTTTTTGTCAGTCTAGAAGTGTGATGTTACAATGTTGATATGTTAACTGAATTAAAACTCCTATGACCATTGACAACTGATTTATGGCCAACAACAATTTAACTGAACATAACCACAAAATAGATTATGTTCTGCAATGTGCTAATTAAAGTGAAGTCATTTTTTATTGAGTTAAGAAAACCATTTATGTTAGACTCTAAATGGTATTAAAATGTAGAAGTCCCTAAAATTTATCTTAGCACTTGGCTGAGTGTCTACATCATTATGTCTTCTGTGTATTTTAAGGATTATGGGAATAGAGCAGTCTCTATTTGCTGGACGACAAGTCTAGTTTAATATACATTGAATGAATAGTGCACATGGAACTCCCCTTACTCTTGCATATGTTTGAACTACAGCCCTCTTTAGATGGGGAGCCATATTGCAGCAAAGATCTCGCTTAAGGCCCAGTAATAGTAAAGAGAAGGTGAAGTTGCTACAGCAGGCGAAGAGGTTTTATGAAGATGCACTCCATGTGGACTCCAAAAATCTGCAAGTAAGAGATGCCTTATCATCATGTATATCTGAGCTCAACTATAAGTATTTTTAGTCATTACGATAGCAGTCATGAAAACTTCAATGATTCATTCTGTCTAAACTTTCTCTGCTTGCCCTCATTTTTTGGTGTGTTCTTTTTTCTTTCTCATGCAAAATACAATGTGCATGACTTCTTGTCATCATGTAAAATAAACAATAATATTGATAATAAGAAAAATTTTGAATATACATCTTCTAATAATTTTCTTGCATACCATGAAATTAGCTAACTGCAGTACGTCACTAAACATCCCAAGGGTGTCTAGGTTTATGGACACTTGCGATTCGCTGTTAAATTCTGTTGACTGTAGGAATGTCCTTATAGGATCCCATGCTCCAAATATTTGGACCTCCTTGGATGATGTTCTTTTATATGGTTTCTCGAGTTTGATATCTCTTTATTCATTTTCAAAGATCTGGTTAATGTTTATCACGCAAGATACTACTTTATAATAAAAACTTAATGGATCTAGTATTTTCTAGAATTCTACAAGTTTGACATTTCTTTAGGGTCCTTGTCACCAGAGAGACAAGGTCTAATTGATGAAATAAACATATGCCATTTCTTGAATTCAAAATCAAGCTATATAATGAATGTCTTTAGCCGCTAGCAAGATTTATATTGTGATACATGGTCTTGAATCTGTTTGATTTTTGGCATAACTTGGGACAAAAAGGAATTAAGCAGTGAGAAAACTCCTGTCCAAAGGATTTTGTTGGAAGCTCTAGAAACCATGCATTAAAGTCATAAATGTCTGCATTAAGTCAATTACTTGCAGCCAGGTTGATTTTCTTTTAGAATTCTGGATCTCACTGAATTAATACATTTGAATCATATCACCAAATATAGGTTTAATTATGGATTTCTTAGTATTTTTGGTGTTATGTTCTGGATCCAGCTTCAATACTACCCTAAGCCATAGTCCTCAAATGCTCCCGGAAAACTTTCATCATTCCAGCGAAGGTAACAATCCCAGCCAAAGTTCCATCCTCTTCGACAACCCACACATAACTTACACGGTGTGCAAGCGCCTGAATCATCACTGCCACCAACGAGCTCCATGGATAGCACACAATTGCCTCTGATCTCCTCACCACCCTAGCTGAATACCCGCCTGACCTCCAACTCCTCCCCACCCCAAACTCCTCATCAGACGAAGAGGAATAAGATGATGAAAATGAAGCTCCTGATGAAATCTCTGAATCTTCTTCCATCAATTCCAAAGCTTGCTCCAAATTCCTCTCTTGCAACCTCTCTTTCACCAACTGAACTATATCCTCCGGGGGTCCACCGCAGTCTATATAAGCCATCAAATCACCAGCCGAAAGGGTAGCAATGGCAGCTACTACATCCTCATCACAAGAATTCAACGTGAATGGCGAAATTTCGCCAATCAACTTGCCGTCACGGTCGACAATAGCAACTGAAGTTTGCATCTCATGAGACCGAGCAATGAAGGGTAAGGCCAAAGATGCCGGATCATCATAATGGACGGCCAAGATGTTCTGTGCATCGATGATGTCAAGGGAGTTGATTGGATTAATAGGAGTGGGGCAGAAAAGGCCAATGGAATTCAGAAGGTAACGAATTATGTCTTCTTGAGTGAGCCAACAATATTGGCTGCTGTTATGAAGGGTTGAATTAGACACAGTTTTTTGAAGAAGCTTTTTTCTTGAATTCCTGTTGCCGATTTCTAACGGTATCACGAGATTTTGTGCTCCTTCCAGAATCAAATCTATCCCTTCCACCAAGCTGAAAAATCATACAACAATCCAATTAGATACATAGAAAAAACAAATATAACGGATGGGGTTCTTCACCATATCTTAAGAAACTGAAAAAATAAATACCGAAACAGAAAAAAAAAAAAAAAAAACGCGTCATTAAGAAGAAAAGAAAAAAAAAAAAAACCGACCTTGCTTTAGGTTCCAAATGTCGGACAAGGCCAGGTGCCTTAGGAATTAGGACAGAAACTGGAGCCTGAAGAGCAGTTCCAGGATTCGACAGGTTTTCTTCCTTACATAAGAAACAAATGATATCCACCATGCAAACTTTGCCTACACAATCATGACGATTATCACAGTTCCAAACACTGATATAGTTGTCTCCGAATCTCTTCAACGCCGACAACGCGTCGCCAACCGTGGCGGATATAGAGAGGAACCTCAACGCAGGCTTCCCAAGGCATAGGTCGGATACCTCACCCGCCAATAAACTCACTGCCATGCACGACCGGAGAGTAAATGAGAACTTTTCTGCTTTTTTTTTTTTTAGTGCTAATGGATGTTTCTGGAGAAGATGGTGATTTGAACAAAGAGGTGGAGAAATTTTCGCTAGGATTGTATGATATTTATAGGAAGTTGGTTACCGGGAATACCCGGTCAGCCGGGTAATAATTTTTGGAACGCGTTTGGGTTGAAGTGGGATTGGGCCCGAATCATAAGCGTTTTTCAAATGACAAATAGAGCATATACGATGATGGTACTTATTGTAAAACGTAAGTATCAATGTGTTTCTTAAGTAGTATATAATATAAGTATCAATGTGTTTTTAAAATGAGAGGTGCTAAATGCACCAAGTCTTTTTTCTTTGCACTTTTTTTTTCCAAATTTTTTAAAATAAAATTATTTAATTATCTCTTTTTTTTTCATATAAAATTTTCAAAATAAATTTTTGAAAAATCATATAACTTTTTGAAAATAAATGTTTTCAAAAATGAATTTTAGAAAAATCAAATAATTTTTTGGAAATCTATTGCCGAGAAATAGGAAACTAAAAATTTAAGAAACATTTTAATAAAAGTTTTACTATTTTACCTTTCGAAAATGAATTTTCAAAAAATTATAAAATTTTTCTAAAAGTTTTATGATTTTTTAAAAATTTATTTCCGAAAAATTAGATAATTTTTCAAAAATCCATTTTTAGAAGGTTATAAAATTTTAGAAAGTTGTAAGAAAGATAATTAAATAATTTTATTTATGAAATATTAAAAAAATTTAAGGTATGAAAAGAAAAAAATGAGAGTGCATTAAGCATCTCTTATTTTAAATTCTTCACCTCAAAGGTTGATTATCTGTCAAAAAAGAGGAAAGCAAATCAACGTTAGATGACGTTCAATCATAAATCATATTTTTTATACCATAAAAGCATTTTCATCAAAAATTTAAATTAAATTTAAATTACTCATAATTAAATTAAGTTTATGAATTGTCATCCAAAAAACGTGTTTAAATGTTTTAATTAATGAGGATCCTTCTTAACACGGCTTAAAACGTGAGGATATTATTGTCGCCAAGACACAAACAAATGATGTTGAAGATTTGACCTTGACCCATTCGAATGGCATTTCAGGATCCAAGACTTGAGGTCTTATTTGGCTTCTCGAAACTATGCAGGACATGATTTTGACTTATAATTTTGATTAACAAGTATGATTTGCAAATTTGTGACTTCAGTTCAAAGATTTAGATTGGGTTTTATAAGAGCAATAGTGTGGAGATTTACACATAATTTATGAGATAATCAAATTTAATTCAAAGATGTTTCAACAACAGGGATTCGTACTAGTGAAAGACATATGCGGACTATCCTTTTCTTTAAGCAGGATATATTTTTAAGCAACGATTCCATTGATGCAAAACTTTTCCAAGACAACGGGGAACTACAGATCAAAAGGTTCGAATATTGTTGTGGGCTTCACTCTCTGCAGGAGCTGAAAAATTAGATGCCATGGCCGCTATGGCTACCTCTCTTTTTCACATGTTTCATTCCTGTTTGCATGCAATAATTGCTTAAAAATAACAGTGGTATTCCATTTCTTTAATCTGGGTTTGCTGACTGGTAGCTGTAATCCTGTCCTGGTTTAGTGAATGATTGAGAAAGAACAATTTAAAGAAATTGTCCTGGTATTCCATCACTCCTCAGTCATCATAAGCTCCGTGAACCTTAGTCACATCCACAGCTGAGATCACTTTTAGGCCTTCCTGGCCTAGTATTGGCCATTGACTGTTGTTCATCGAATCGAATATCTACCACATGACTTCAACTACTAAACGAGCTTTCAGCTGATCACTGGGACATGCAGAAAAAACAATTTCCAACTACTACTGTATATAATAGTAATTCTTTTGAATCTGGTCCTGCAGTTGTTTCATTTCTTTTTCCAACAACTAAATTAAAGATCAGGACTTTCTCCTCCATAAGTTCAGGGTTCAACCTGGGCAGGCAGCTTCTTCCTAGTTCCTCCCAATGAAAGGGAAAAAAGAGACGGAGAGAAACCTAGCTAGAGCTCATTTGTGAACATTTATCATCTGTATATTGACATGCAAAATAAAATTCTTTTCAAATTTACTTATGCCTATGTTATATACATAGAACAATGGATCCAATTCAATCGGACAAGGTGCCATTAGAAAGAAAGAAACCATCCTAGTCAGTTTTCTCGAGCAGTAATCCATTTATAATATATATATAAAAAAATATTGAAAGATTTATTGATGTTCAAGAGAAAGTTTTAGGGTATTTAGGTAAAACTTTAAATTTTTTTGTTTTCACTTGTTAAGAGTGCCTGAAGATTTTTTCAAATATCCAAAAAATTTGTTTCTTAAATTTTATTGTTTTTCATTTTTTTAAAGTGTCCAAAACATCATAAATCAAGCTTTGGATCTGCCACTGATAATCACATCAATTCTTCACCAAGCGAGAGCAACATGATCTTTAGTCTTTATTATATACATACATATATAGATATATATACACATAAATACATATAATTAAACGTTTAATTTAAAATCAATTGACAATAAATTAAGATAATTTATTTTAACAAGCTTACATTACGCATAAACAAAAATTAAAAAAACCTATCACGAAAAATCAATTGATAATAAATTAAAATATCTAACTTAAACATAAAATATTATATGTGAGATAATCCACTTTAATATATCATAATCATATGTAAGTGAAATATAAAATAAACTTATCACGTGATAAATTAAAAAAAAAGCAACAGAAAAAAATTTTAATTTTGATATAATGTTAAGTATTTAATTTAAAATCAATTGATAATAAATAAAAAAATTTAATTTAAATATAAAATATTAAAATATTATTAGATATAAAATAATTTACTTTAACGCATATATATTTACTGAAACTTTCAGACCTTATCTATGTCTGTATGAGTTGTAATATCTTATTTATATATTCATGAGTTATAATTATAAATTATTTTAATTGATTTCCCTTAAAATTTCTGGCCACAAATTATAGAGGATAAGATAAACTTGTTTAACAATGCTTTAAAAAGCTCCTAGTTGTCTAACAATGCTTTTAAAAAGGTCCTTCAAACAAAAAAACAATGCTTTAAAGAGAACATATTTTATATTATATTAAAAATTTTATAAGAACAATATTTTTTTCACATATTGGTGGAAACATTCATTCATATCGGTCCAAAAAAAAATGATTTACATGAAGAATATTGAAAAAGATTTACACATTACCCCATGAAAATGACCTAGTTTTGATTATGAACAACAATATTTTTTAGTGTGTATGTAGCTTTTGATTAGTGAGGCTTCGCTAAGGTGTGACGTTCAAAAATCTTTATTATATTAAATTATAAAATTTTGGCTTTTTTTTTATCAAAATTTCATCAAAATATTTTTATTACATTCATTTTATTATATACAATCTTTTGAATATTTTTTAAAGAAAAAAATTTTACTAATCATATCAAATATGAAAATTGATAGAATATCCGATGGATATTTCCTTCAACGTCTTATTATATTAGATCCATCAATTGATCATATTGATTTTTAAATAATTTAAACAAAATCATCTCTAATTACTCAAACTCAAACAGTTATCACTTTCAATAGGAATCGATATTTTAAGGAATTTTGGTGTATTTATCTTATTATCAATCATGTTGTGATAAAAATTATTTAAATTTAAATAATTTTAATTAAAATATTTATGTCTTTGATTTTATATTATTTTCAAGTTTAGAATATAGTTATATTTAAGATTTTAATTTTTTTAACTTTAAATTGGATTTAAGACATTTTAAGTGTCTTTTTTTCATTTTATTTTAAATTATATATCAATTGTGTTTGCATAATGGTTGAATTTAGATAATGAATCGACATTGATCTTTCTTTTTTATTTTAAGAAAAAAAAAATCAAGCCTTATTTAGAAACGGGTGCAAAGGAGCAGCCGAATCGCCTGCTGCGTCAGCGCTGACGTTTTTTGAATTCAACCGGATGTGGTCCCACAAAATCTGACGTGGCTAATTACAAGACAAAAACAAAATGGAATGGGGGCAGTGCACCGAGTGTCCATGCTACATGTCAGGTTAAGGACACGTGTGGGTAATAATCAGTCATGACTTCCGTGTTTAGGACGCTTTTGGTTTCACTCGATAAAGAATATCCAAAGGGGTAGAAGCTATTCAAGAGGTGAAACCAAACAATTCGTTGTCCCAACCGCACATGTAATCGTAGTACTGTACTCATCCGTACGTACGTTAGAACAATATGCCATGTATTCACTTATTATTGAAGGTGTTGGTATTTTTAAATGATAAATCATAACCCAAATGATTAATGAAAATGGAAAAAGAGAAAAATAGGGCTTTTGCAGCAAAGACTTGAAAAATAAAACTTTCTTGATCTTGAATTTCAGAAAATTTTGGGAAAGTGTAGCAAAACGTGAGGTGAATTGGGCGTTCCAGACCAGTTATAATGTTTTAAAACTTCAAAAATGGGGTACATTGTATGTTCATTGTGGTTAAAGAAACAGATATTGCTATGTACTTGATTGAATAATAGATACATGATATTTTTTTTTAATTTAAAGAATATGCTCGAATCTCCTTTTGCCGTGACAAAGATGGCAAAAAGACGCCCTTGCCATGAACTAGCTTGCTGCTTCTTCGCTGCTCTATCTAATTAATGCCAATGACACTTGACACATAAAAGCATCGTTAGCTGAGGTGATAGATGATTCAACCTTTAGAAAGCCTAGCCAATCAGACTCCACAAAGATCTGCAATGCAATCAAAGATGCATTAGAATTTATAGTACCAATTTGAGATGAGAAGAAAACATATTAGTCTGTTAATTAAAACCTGCAAATATGATAACCCACCTCAACATCTGGCAATGGGTCAAAAGTTTTCTTCTCTCTTGTGTCAGACACTGTAATTCCACTTATTTTCTGAACTCCGAGTTTAACTGCAATCAGGTTCTGCATATGCAAAGTAGAAGCCATAAATTACAAACGGAGCAAAAAGATAAACAGAAACACAGCTTATGTGCAAGAAGTTGCAGATGGAACAGCAGCACAATTGGCAGACGGTAATCCAATTGTGTCTTCAGCAATTTATACAAGGGAGAAGAAGTAGAGTAAATAAGTATCAAATAATGCAATATCTTCCAGTTGATAGAGAATGATTGCATATCGAAGTCCAGGCTGAAGCCATAGCTAAAGCAACCTGATTGAAAATGTATGGTCCAGAAATTTTCTTCATACCAGATGGAAATCAATGGAACCAAATGCCTTCACCTGCGGTAATGCCTGCATACAAGTGCCAAATCTGTAGATAAGTATTGCAGTAAATCATAATTTGTATATGTTACACAAAAAAGAAAAGGAAAAAGCATTATTACATATGTTTATTTATGTTACTCAGAAGCCAATAATCTTATTAGAAGACAAACCAAAGCAATTTATCTGAGTTATGCTTGAGGTTCAACATTGAAAAAGGCAATCAAATACCTCATAAATGTATGAAGTACCTCATGGCAACAAAGAAAGGAAAAAGATAGAAAAATAAATTACAATCATAATATCTAAAGAAAGAACCACCATCCTGTTATTTTGTGGGTTGATGCGCCAGGTTTAGGTGATCCTAACCTAATTACGTGAACAGAAATTTCCACTACACCTTTAATACATACATCTCATGCAGACTGACCAGATTACTTTAGATGCCACCAACCACGGCTCCCTCTTAATCAAGAAGCTCTAAGAATGCCAGGCTCAAAAGAACTCCAACCACACCATTCATGTATACATGTTATGAGGTGTGACATATCACTTTAGCCACCACCTACCACATATCTCTCTCCGTCAGAAGTCTAAGAATATAAATTTCAGGACCAAAACTCATTTATCACCCTCTGCCACTCCCTATAGAGGAAAGCGTTAGGTATATATAGGCTTCCAGAAATTTTCTAACAGAGAATGTTACAATAGTTTAGGGGCAAAATAAGCTAAAATAATATTGGAAGTCAATTAAATCAATTACCATAGTCTGAAGCCCATAAATCGTAACAATCTTCTCCTCGTGTGCACTATTTTGTGATAACCAGACTTCGAATGGACCCAACTCTCTATCTGTGTGATTTGTGAGATTCAGATGTACCTGCAAAGCAGTGATTAAGTCATTTAAAAGTCAATTAAAAATTCCTTCAAGATGATGCTGAAGACTAAGAAGCAAAGGGAGAAACTCTAGGCAGCCAGAACTTGACAGCAGAGACCTTAAGTTTTGTCATTAGGATGAAAAGAATTTGTTAAAAAAGGTTTGCCAGAATGCAACAGAATTGAACCTAACAGTAAAACATACCAAAAGGGCCTATCTAAATTGATTAGAGATGGAATCTCCAGAACTTGCAACTCAATCTCTTTGCGACTGATGGGCTGAAAAAGAGGAAGAACATATCAGAGTGAGTTTGATAATTTTTTTTTTTTTTTGTATTGAAATTTATGCAGATCTCAAACTCTCAAAATAAACAGAAAAGAGAGAATTCAACAGTGTTTTTCCTTTTTCTTTTTAAGAAAAAGAATAAAAAATAAATTATTTGTTTTACTATAGTACAGATTTCCCACTAGAGAATATGAAACTGGGTCTTTGTAAGAAAGCTTAACTTACAGTGCCAAGAATTTGCTGTGTTTGCGAGCGGCCAGGTTCACCCAAATTTGTATGCCATGTTATCTGAAGGTTACCTAGAATATTAGTCCCCTCTAGCTTCACTTGTGCAGAACCAGGTGAAGACAATTTCAATTGATAAAGATAATTGTGAATTCCCCCGCCAGATCTGATAAGAATAGGTGGCTTAAATATCTCGCTGCCAGTAAATCATTATTAATAAAGGAGAAAAGATTATATTAGTTTAGTTTATAAAATCAAAGAGAAAAATGATTAGAACTTCAAAGCATTGCACTGACAAGCTTCTAACATTAAAATAATCAAAATGATACATCCATGTGATATATCTGCTACTTACCCAGTTGACGAATTATCTGCAGGCGGAATTTCATCAGCTTTTAGTATTGTAGCAATCCAATGAGGTGCTGGTTCGAACTCAACTTGGTCCATATAAAGGTTTGATTTTGTATGATTCTCTATGCAGGCCTCTAAATAGGTAGTTTCCTGAGACAGAAAAATTCAGCTATTACAGAAGGATGAAAACCCAAATTGACTCACAACTTTTACGATTAATGATGCAGACTTAAACAGATGTTAAGACAATGGCGCAAGTATTGGCTGCACTTGTCATAGATCAACAACTATAAAACCAAATGAGTCACTCCAATCATGAGATGATAGCTTACATACCGCTGAATCAGACTAGCAAAAGAAGGAAACACACACATCTACACACTTACTTTGCTTTTAATGCTACAAATGAGAAACAACAAAAAGAAAGAAAACCAGAAGAAAACTCAAAGGCTGGGATACATAATGAAAGTTAGCCCTTGCCCTCCTCTCGCACAATGCTCAGTGAAGGATAAAACACTGAGGCTGTAAAAGATAACTTTTAGCTTTAGGAATTGTTCTGATATCAACTTCATTTATAAAATCACACTGTAATTTATACATGCCAAGCCATTTTAACCCTTTGATTTCTATAGTTTGCAAAACATAACAAGAACCTAATAGCAGCAGCAAGAATATCTAGGCTTTATAAACTTACATTAGAAAATTCAAGCCAATCTCAACCTACCTTGACAGTGCGGACCTGCAGAACAGAGACGAGAAATATTACAATTTTGAATGGAAAATTAAAAATAAAAGCCAAGTAAGAGAGAGTTTCAATGAACAAAGTATAGGTAACAAATGCCCCTGGAATTATCTAGGGGCAGCTTGTACATTAGATTTATTTTATTTGTTTCTTAAGCCATGGGACGATACCTTCGTCCTAACTGATAATGGGTTTGCAACAACAAATTTGAAAAACTGTGGAAGATATTTTCGTTTGCCATCACCATGGTACAACACAGTGCAAACCAGCCTAAATTTTGTTATGCAACAAAACATGGTCAAGTTCTGGGAAAATAATTAATGAAAGAAATTACAGGAGACAGCAGAATCAGTCAGCTACTACATACGTATGAGCTCCAAGTTCCTTGACATCATGTTCCACAATGAAATCATAACACCCGCCTGCACGTATTGACTCAACAGGTGATTTTGATGTATCCAAGAGAAGGATCCTCTGCCTCTCCGTTTGAATTTCTGCCTGTAATAAACCAAAGACTTCTTGATTTTTTTCATCAAATTAAAACACATGTTTTGAGTGTAAAAGAGTGTATGAATGAGCTTGCAAGTGAAACCTCATTTAGGCACTTATCTCAACAGAGATGAAAAAAAAGGTAAATAGAAAAAATTGAATTTAGATACTCAACAAGCTTAAAAAAGACGCACATGATCTGGGACTTTTTGATTTTCAATGCTAGTAACACAAAAACTTGATCAAATTCAATTAAAGAGGGGAAAGAACAGATCCTACCAAACTAAAAAAGAAAATGTCAACAAATATTCAATTTTTCTTTCGTTCCAAACACATTATCAATGCAACAGGTGAACAGTTGCTATCAGCTAAAAATTGCGGCAAATTCATAGAAAAACAACAAATCAAACAGACCGACCTTAATAATAACGTCCCTGACTTCAAAATTAGAGCTGTTATTGATGCTAATATAGCTGAAGAATGTCTCTCCCAAATAAATCGCCTTGAATTAATTTAACCAGAAAAATAAATAAATAAATAAATCAGATCTGAGAGAAATTAAAAAACGATTAAGAAAAAAAAAAAAAGAGAGAGGAATTTAGTGAGACCCGATAGATTGGGGTAGGACGAGGAAGCCAGAGAAGCCCATGGCATCGGAAGGGTGGTGGAGGATGAATCTGTCACCGTAGGTCAGATCGGAGGAGTCCGTGGACTTACTGACGTGGCTAGAGGCGGCAAGTGGATCGTCGAATATGTCCTCGCCGATGAAGAGGTCGGAATGGAGGTTCGATGTGGAACGATGGCTTGCAAAGTCGCATCACCCTGAACGCCAGGGAGTGCGTTCCTTGTTGTTGCGTAGTGCTCGTGGCTTAACGATTTCCAAATTTTGGCCTTATCATCGTTGTTCTTTTTGCTAAATTGAAGGCTTGAGAGATTTTGAGACAAAGAGGGAAAGAAACCAAGTAATGGAAGGAGCTCACTCCTCGGCTAGGATTTTATGTGTATTTGTAACCGACGTCGTTTTATACTCCACTGTTGTTTACCTTTTGTTTTTAGGATATTAATGCCATATTATTTCGTCTGGCATTTTTCAGTTTGTTTTTCATATTTCCAAGAATGATGTGTTGTATATGTTTGGACTGAAATGAGGACATACTAATAAAAGTAAAAGACAGTAAAGCAAAATCAATTTAGATTATAGTAAGTTGAATTTCGCTCCAACATGAAACTATGATATATTGTTCATGGTTTATTTTGAGACTAACTTGGATTTTGCTCTTTTGAGCTAATGTGTTGCATTTAAAAAAAAAATTTCAAAAAATATGGGATTAGCACTATAAAAATGTGGTTTTATTATACCTTGGTTCATTAGGTCATCTCATTGCCTCATAACTCACATATAATATTAAGATAAATAGCATATTTATTGTTAGACACATCAACGTTTATAAGATATAAAAAAATATTAAATTATACGTATAATTTGTTTGATTTGAATGTTGAAATACATCTCTAAATTATAATTTTGATATTCCTTCACCTTCATTTCTTAATTCATCAAAATCATCATCCTTTTTTTTTCTATTATTTTTTCAGCTCAATTTCTTTTCTTTATAAATGGTTTTTTATTGATAGAAGTTCAAAGATTGAATTTTGATTTTTTTTTCATTAATGATTCAACGTAAAGCTTCTTAAAATTTTTCTTGAAAATTTTAATCAATTTTTAAATTTTTTCTATCAAATTATATACTGATTGAAGATGATATTATATATTTAAATTTTTTTTAAATTTAATATTTAAATACTAATTTTAATAACATATCAACTAATTAAAAAATAATAAGCTGAAGCTTCCAAAATTTTAATCGCCTTATAAAGAATAAAATTTAGAAGAAAACGGGTTTTAGAGACAGCATGTTTAATTATTTATCTTGTTCCAAAAAGGAAAAAAAGAAAAACTCAAATGGCCGAGTTCTTTGGGCAGTATGTCGGCGCCCAACCAGAGTCCAGCCCATGTTAGCAGTCCCTCACTCGCCTGTCAAACGGAGATCTCTCTTTCCACAGACGACTCCCCCCGTAAACTGTTTTTATTCTTCCCGTCCCCCACCCAAAATTCACATTTCCACTCTCCAAATTCTTCTCCAAAAGAAGAATTGCTCTGCTCCCCCGATCCCAGGCGCCCCAACCCCAAAATTTTGACAAACACCAACTTTTTTGTTTTTTTTTTTTTATAAGCCAACCGCCAAACCCAACCTATCTGTAACACCTGGAATCGCCCTTTTCTCTCTCTGACTTAGCATTTTCTTCTTTTTCTTTTCTTTTCTTTTGTTTTGTTCCCTCACGCAAACCCTAAACAAACACCACTAATCTCAAAATCCACACTAACCCCACTAAAACAAACACACACTCTCTCTCTACAGTGCTACCTGTCGCCTTCAATTGCGACTTTTGCACCACTCAACTCGCATTTGTCTTTCTCTCTCTTCCATTTTTCGCCTTTCCTTTTTTTTTTTTTTTATATAAATAAGGAGATTTAGGGTTTTTTTTTTTTCGCTATGAATCAACAGCCAGGCTCGGGCGATAACAAGAAGCCAGAGGAAGAGCCCGTGGCCCAGTCGGTTGACTCCACCGTTAAGACTGGCCCGGAGAAACCGGTTGCTCCTGAGCCGGTTGCTGTTTCTCGAGAAGAGGAGGTTATCGCTGCATCGGAGAAAACGGAGGATACAATGCAAGACGATTCGGTTAATCCGGCTACAGTGTTTTGCATTCGCTTAAAACAACCTAGGTCCAATTTGCAACATAAAATGAGTGTCCCTGAATTGTGCCGCAATTTCAGGTCAGAATTCGAGTTCAATTCCGTAATTCATAGTCAGCTTTGTGATTTACTTTTTACAATTGTTTTTTTTTTTTTTTTTCATTTGTTATTTCAGTGCTGTTGCTTGGTGTGGGAAGTTGAACGCTATTGCTTGTGCATCTGAAACTTGTGCTAGAATTCCAAGGTAAGTTATTTTTTTAATTGTTCATTTTTCCAAGTGAACTGAGAGTGATGAACTTGATTGTAAAAAATGGATCAATTTTTTTTTTAGAATGGTAACATATCGTGAATTCTTTTTATTCTATATTTCATCATATAGTTAACTATAGAATTATTTGCAATTCATGTTTCTTAGGAACACTAATGTTTTGTAATACTCATTTATTCTATATACCTTTTTCTTTATTTGTAGTTCTAATGCAAATCCACCGTTTTGGATCCCCATACATATTGTGATCCCTGAGCGTCCGACCGAGTGTACGGTGTTCAATGTCATAGCAGGTAGCTTAAATCTACATTTTCAGCTCTTATTGTTATAGTTCTAATGAATTTTCATCAATGGCCAAGCTGAACATTTTGACTAATGTAGTGGTGCCAAAGTGTCCCTTTCATATTGTTGAATTTCTTGGTTATCAATCTTTTTGGTTATGCAAGGTCTTTGTTTTAGTGGAAGCATGATGATGAGTATGCGTTTATTCTACATCTTTATTTATTTAACAGGGTTGTGGTTGTTGCTATCATTGTCATATCTGCTTAACAAGTATCAGCTCTGACACTATTAATATGTCAGGTGCAAAATTGTATATATAATCAGTTGACCTGCACGCTTTTTGCAGATTCTCCTCGTGATTCTGTTCAGTTTATTGAATGGTCACCTACTTCTTGTCCTCGTGCCTTATTGATAGCTAACTTCCATGGGAGGATAACCATCTGGACTCAGCCATCCCAAGTAAGCTAGCTCACGAGATTATTTCTTCCAAATACTTAAGTGAACTCCCTTTAAGTCCTTAACATGGCTTCTCTCTATATAAGTCCACTTCAGACTTAGTTACACTGACAACGTTGGCTTTTTCTTAATCTTTCTGTCACTTGTCATTTTGGTTTACCTTTTGCTCATTTTTGGTCATGCATCTTACCTTGTCTTAAAATTGAATGTTTAAACGCAGGGTCCAGCTCATCTGGTATGTGATGCTAGCTGCTGGCAGCGTGAGCATGAATGGCGACAGGATATAGCAGTTGTTACAAAGTGGTTGTCGGGGGTGTCTCCAGTAAGTTTTTTTGCTGTCTGCAAAGCTGATATCTGGAAAAATAGATCTTTAAGGCATGAATTATCATGTAATTTATGCATGTAGTACAATTTTTTTTTGCTGTTGTCCTTAGAACTAGCCTTATACTTCTCATTATATGTAAAAATGATAGTGATGGCTCTCCTCTCTATCACTAAAACCTTCAAAGGAAAAGAAGCAAGCTGAGAAGGGAACATTCTTCGTGTTGTTCCCTTATTATTATTCTTTTTGATTCTTTCAACAGATACCTTCTGCTCATTTGTGCTCTGTTTTGTCCTTATTACTGCAATGTTTGGTGATCTGATCGCTTGTGCTATTGGTTTATGTTGTAATAATCAGTATAGGTGGCTTTCCTCAAAATCCAGTAATCCTGCAAACTCGAAGTCAACTTTTGAGGAAAAATTTCTTTCGCAGCAATCTCAAAATTCAGGTTTGTTGCTTCTTCTTTATTAAGTGTTTGCTTTCTGGCTTGCCAGAGAGAGTGAGGTCTAGCTCACAATTTTTATTATTAGTTGCAAATTGTGCATTGTGGTCTCCTCATGATGGAGCAAGAATTAAATTTGTCATTCTTAATTTCGAAGGTTAATTAATTTATATGACAATCATATTTTGCTTTTGATGATGACTTCTTTGCTCTTAACTAACTAATTGGTCTGTTCTTTTTGTTTTTCTCATTACTATCATTATAAAAATATGAATGGTACTGATAGTCTGTATCTGATGAAAAAATGTTTTTCTTTTCAGCCAGGTGGCCGAATTTTCTTTGTGTTTGTTCCGTCTTCTCTTCAGGGTCTGTTCAACTTCATTGGTCCCAGTGGCCCCCTACTCAGGGTAGTACAGCACGGAAATGGTTTTGCACAAGCAAGGGAATATTGGGTGCTGGGCCTAGTGGGATCATGGCCGCTGATGCAATAATAACAGACAGTGGTGCCATGCATGTGGCAGGTGTTCCAATTGTAAACCCATCTACTGTTGTTGTCTGGGAGGTTACTCCTGGTCCTGGAAATGGATTTCAAGCAACGGTGAAGACCAGCACAAGCAATGGGATCCCTCCCTCAGTTAATCCTCCCAATTGGGCAGGTTTTGCCCCATTGGCTGCATACTTATTTAGTTGGCAAGAATATTTGATATCTGAAGCAAAGCAAGGGAAAAAGTCTATGGATCAAGATTTTAATAATGCTGTATCACTACATTGCTCGCCAGTTTCAAATTTCTCAGCATATGTGAGTCCTGAGGCTGCAGTACAATCCGCAGCAACTACTACTTGGGGCTCTGGAGTAACTGCAGTTGCCTTTGATCCAACTCGTGGTGGTTCTGTAATTGCTGTTGTTATTGTTGAAGGTAACTTGTCTGGTGTTTTAAGTTAATTTTTTGAAACTTCTTGTTATTTCTATAACGGAGCTTACATATAATGTTTGGTTAATTTGTTCTTCCTGCATCTTGAAGAATCTTGCTTATCATTTAATAATGACTTAAGGTGGCATTTTCGAAGATATTAATCTTCGACTTGAATGAACTGTTGACAATGTTGAAGATCCCATAACTTAGTAATGAGAAAATAACACTGGATGAACTGTTGACAATTTCTGTAATGGCCAGTATCATCACATTTTGGCAGTGATTGAACCAATAAACCATTGGCCTAATAATTGATAATTATAGTCTATACTTCCCTTGGGACCGAAGCTTCTTTGCTGTTGATAGTCTTGGTTTCTTAATAAGATAGTTCATCCTTTAACAGCTATTAATCTGCCATCTCTAAATTCCTTGTGTTTGTGTCATCTTTTTTATTGAGCAGATCAATCCAAATTACTGATTTCTTATTTGCAGGACAATACATGTCTCCATACGATCCAGATGAGGGTCCTACAATCACAGGGTGGAGAGTGCAACGTTGGGAGTCATCTCTTCAGCCTGTTGTTCTCCATCATATATTTGGGAACCCTTCTTCCAGTTTTGGTGGGCAGGCACCAATGCAAACTGTTTGGGTTTCTAAAGTTGATACAAGCATACCACCAACTAATGACTTTAAGAGTCAGCAAGCAGCTGCAGCAGTACCGACTTCTGATGCCCGAAAAGCATCTGATTCAAGTGCTGAGAAGGTAAAGAGTGTCAGTTTTGATCCCTTTGATCTGCCAAGTGATGTTAGAACCCTCGCTCGAATTGTTTATTCTGCTCACGGTGGCGAGATTGCTATTGCTTTTCTTCGGGGTGGAGTCCATATTTTTTCTGGTCCAAACTTTACTGCTGTTGATAACTACCAGATTAATGTTGGATCTGCAATAGCTGCTCCTGCCTTCTCTTCAACAAGCTGTTGTTCAGCTTCTGTTTGGCATGACACTGTCAAGGACCGTACAATGTTGAAGATAATTCGTGTTCTTCCTCCTGCTGTTTCAAGCAGTCAAGTAAAGGTTAACTCATCAACCTGGGAACGTGCTATTGCTGAGAGGTACTTTATTAGCTAATGCCTGTTCAGGTACAGATTCCATGGATCTTTTTTTTTTTTTGGGTTAATGTTTACCTTTTGGAGCAGGTTTTGGTGGAGTCTTTTGGTTGGCGTTGATTGGTGGGATGCTGTTGGCTGTACACAGAGTGCTGCTGAGGATAGCATTGGTAAACAGCACTATTTGTTATTGTTTTTTAACCTAAGTGCAAATGCTATTTTCCTTACCATATTCATTTTACAGTACCATCTATGCGTAATTGTCATCTGTTTTTGACGATCCTTGTCTTTTTCAGTTTCTTTGAACAGTGTGATTGCTGTCTTAGATGCGGATTTTCACTCTCTCCCTTCTATTCAGCACAGGCAACAGTATGGACCTGTATGTGTTTCCTTGAACTTTATTATTGCACTATTTGGTTGTCAGTTGTTATATGATTAATTGTAGTTGGTTCTTAAGTTATTTTGTCAACTTGCCTATTATTACAGGATGAAAAGAAAGCGATTCTATCAGCATCTTAAAAAGAACCCTGCCTAGATAGCCTAAAAATTCTCCCATCTGTCTAACTCTGTTGCCTTCTCTAGGGTGTGAGAATATAAATGTTGCTTGGAGGGTACGAAACAGATGAAATAGGAAGCTTGAATCTTTTGTATTTTCTGGACTAATTGTTCCAAATGGTTGGGTTGGAAATTCAATATCATCTTTACTTGAGAATAGTCTGATTAATTCTTTTATTGATTCTTTTTACATATTTATTGAGCTGTTTTTATACATTGCAGAGTCTGGACAGGATAAAGTGCAGGCTACTGGAAGGTACAAATGCCCAAGAGGTTAGGGCAATGGTTCTTGATATGCAAGCAAGGTTGTTGCTGGATATGCTAGGGAAAGGAATTGAATCTGCTTTGATAAATCCTTCAACTTTAGTATCAGAACCATGGCAGGCATCTAGTGATACATTAACCAAAATCGATCCTGAATCAATGGCTGTTGATCCAGCCCTTGTTCGGAGTATTCAGGTCTTATCTCTATCTTTGAGTTGCCTTCACATGTATTGAGTCTTTGGTCCTGTCGAAATTTATCTTTTGAAATAAAATGGTGTCCATTATCCATTATATTGATAATGCGTCTATTTTTTCCTTACTGTTTTTCATGTATAACATTGGCAACTTTTTGGACTGCAGTATAAGGTTACATGGTGGGTCTCTGACCAGACATTCAGGCTTGTAACTTTTCCCACCAAAACCGTTCACAACTTGGCATATGAAAATACTCTATATGCTATACCACAAGCATTTCTTTCAGCAGGGAGGTTGTTCCTTTTCAGTTATCTTATGCTTCCTATTGTTGATGCAATATGCAGGCTTATGTTGATGCTGTTCTTGATCTGGCTTCACATTTTATTACACGTTTGCGGCGTTATGCAAGTTTCTGTCGCACATTGGCAAGTCATGCTGTTACTGCAGGTACCGGCAGCAACCGCAATATGGTAGCAAGTCCTACCCAAAGTTCAGCAACTCCAGCAACTAGTCAGGGTCTGTAGAAACAGTTTTTCATTGAAAATTTATTAATAGATTTTTTTTTTTTTTTTGCATTATTGGGTTTATTAACTGAGGAACTTAAAGTCTGTTACCCTTCTTGATTTGTAAGTTTAGATTTGCTGTATTTATCTGCCTAAATCACGGAAACATTTACAGCTGGTCAAAGTGGCACCACAAGTTCGACTGGAAGCACACAGATGCAAGCTTGGGTACAGGGTGCTATTGCTAAGATTAGTAGCTCAACGGATGGAGTCTCTAATTCAACTCCAAATCCTATAAGTGGCCCATCCTCCTTTATCCCAATAAGCATTAATACAGGAACTTTTCCTGGAACACCAGCTGTTAGGCTCATTGGGGACTGCCATTTCCTTCATAGACTATGTCAGCTTCTACTTTTCTGCTTTTTCTTTCGGCGAGCGCAACAATCTCGCTTTGCTCAAAGAAATGCTGATGCAAATCCACAAAAACCTCAGCCAGGGGCATCTGGAAAAGTGGAGGAGGTCAATTCTGTTTCTGCCAAGCCAACAACTATGGCTAGGCCTGACGAAGCCCAGGGAGCAAGAGCTGGACAGGTAGTACCTGGAGCTAAAGGTGTTGAGGAAGGTACTACCGGGCGAGTAAAGATGGGCTCTGGGAATGCTGGTCAAGGATACACTTTTGAGGAGGTAGTATCGGAGTATTATTATTGCTACCATTACCACTATTGCCACCAATAGTTGTCTCTGCTTAGAATATTTGAGTAACTTGTTGGAATATCATGTTGATATGTTGAAAATTTTGCCTTAGATATTGTCTTGAGGAGTCTCAAATAACTTTTAAGATTCTGCCTTGAGGAATCAGTGATGGCAGCCTTGGTTGATACCTTGATGTAATAAACCTCATATGTTGCCGTGCAGGTGAAGGTTCTCTTCCTCATTCTTATAGATCTTTGTAGGCGTACTTCTGCTCTAGCGCACCCATTACCAGTTTCTCAGGTGGGGAGCAGCAATATCCAGGTGCGGTTGCATTACATTGATGGAAATTATACAGTGTTGCCTGAGGTAGTAGAAGCATCCCTGGGCCCACATATGCAGGTAGGCAGATTGTATCATCCAATGTTATGGAGACTTAGTTGCAGCAAGGCTGCCAATAATTGTTAGGCAACTCATAAATACAGTAACTCATAATTTGCATATCTGTAGTTAGTGACAGGTACTGATAGAGCAAATAATATGTGTCTATCTCTGTAGTTAGTGATGCATGCTGATATAGCAAATAATTTGGGTATTTATCGTTATGTTTACAAACTGTTCTGAATCCACAGAGCACATTGTAGATATAAGTTAATAAAAGCAGTTTTACGTATCATAATGGAACCATTATTAGAACAAACTTAGGAAAAAAAAGAGGTAGCACAAGGTTTTTGCATTATTAGACGTTTGGTACTAATGTTGGTTGTCCTTCACTTTGTTCTAATTTTTTAGAGTTCCTAACTTGTGTATTTATCGTTATGTTTACAAATTCTTCTGAATCTACAGAGCACATTGTAGATATAAGTTAATAAAAGCAGTTTTACGTATCATAATGGAGCTGTAATAAGAAAACGTTAGAAAAAAAAAAAAAAAAGAGAAGTAGCACAAGGTTTTTGCATTAGTAGGCGTTTGGTACTAATGTTGGTTGTCCTACATTTTGTTGTTCTAATTATTTAGAGTTCTGAATTCCTTTTTATTAACATATGTAATATCTGTTATGTATCTCTGCACAGAATATGCCTAGGCCTAGAGGTGCTGATGCTGCTGGTCTGTTACTGCGGGAGTTAGAATTGCATCCCCCATCTGAAGAGTGGCACAGACGGAATATGTTTGGCGGTCCATGGTCTGATCCTGAGGATATGGGCCCAATAGATGATTGTCCCAGGTTAAGTAATTCCATTGACTCACTTGATATGATCTTCACGGAAAATTCTAACATCCATTATGGAGCCCAAACCCTCTGGCCAAGGAAGCGCCGGCTGTCTGAAAGAGATGCAGCATTTGGCTTAAACACTTCTGTTGGCCTGGGTGCATATCTTGGTATAATGGGATCTCGAAGAGATGTTGTGACAGCTGTGTGGAAGACTGGTCTTGAAGGTGTTTGGTACAAGGTTTGTTAAGCCTTCATTAACATTTTTCCTTCTCATTTGTTGGATCGTTAACTTCTGAGTTTGTCTGTGTTGTTATTACTTGCTCTAGGATTACCACATAAGAATATGAAATAACAGAGCTTATACTGATACTTGGAAAAACAACTTATTTTATGTAAAAACACATTGAAAGGTTGCTTTGATCTATTTTTCAACTATGATACAAGTCTTGGGGCACAAATCTTTCATTGTGATATTTGCTTTTTCTTGTTTGTTTGGAGTTCCTCTCAGCTTTGACTCTGCACAATTGAACTTCCTTTAACAATCTATTGGGTTATTTCTGCTGCTGCTTGTGCAGTGCATAAGATGTTTGCGACAGACTTCAGCTTTTGCTTCACCTGGTTCAACCAATCAGCCTGGTCAAAATGAAAGGGAGACATGGTGGATCAGCCGTTGGGCCTATGGATGTCCTATGTGTGGTGGAACTTGGGTTCGAGTTGTATAGTGGATGCCTTTGACTGTTTGTTTGTTAGCTGGGCACATTTTGATTCCTCTTTTATTACAGCAGCTGTTAATAACAATTACTAGAGTCTTGATTTTGTTGGATTGATGATTAGTTAAAGAAGTTCGTTTAAGTCTGGTCAAACTACCTGTTGATCGAATTGCTCATTCCAGTCTTCAATTTATTTTCGACCTATCATCAGGTAGGTTACTCTTTTCCATGAAAAGTTGTTTGATGTTTCTCTTTGCTCATATTTATCTTTATAATGCTTTGCAGGTATAGTTCAAAAGTTGATTAATTCGCGTTATTTCCTTGTTGCAGATTGTAAATATTCTTTTATGTACCTGGCGTATTTTTTGGGAGAAAGCTTTCTGGTAAATTCGTCTATCCTCTTTGGAGTTGCTGCAGTTTAAGAAATCCCGATGGAGTGATTTGCATTTCGTTTGTGATATCAATCCAAACGTAGAACCAAATGATTTGCTTTAAATCCTCGAAGTTGTTTTACTGTACCATCTTGTTAATTTTGTTGATAAAAGTGATTCAGAATACTTGACATACCGTAACTAGAATTTTCTTTCTGAGCCTCCAAGAAGGGATGAAAATGAGATATGCATGGTTATAAATTCCCTCTTCTAGCTGATTGTAGTTAGCATTCCTTGTGTAGAATGCAACCGAATGAATGTTGAAGTACAGAGTTTCATGAATAACTAGTAGTTAAGTTGTTTGGCTGTTATGAGTTCCAACCAGACTGATTGCTTTTTTGGTTGCAAAATTTTAAAATCCATTCCCTCGAGTTCACAAGCATGTGCATTTGTTGATTCGAAAAGCAACAAAACCCCAACAGTAACTGATTTTGTAAAAAGATTAAACGATCGGTGTGTTATACTGTATATTTGTGTGAAATAATTCTTGTATTTATAATATGATTTATATGTAAATTTTACATTAAAATTCATGTCGACAAGTACGAAATATATTTTGTATTTTTACTAATATATATTTTTTATTGAAATTTTAGCTTGTGTTTTATTTTGTTTTTTGGGTGTCGTCTGACCGAGGAATTTTAAATTCAGGTTAACAAATTGTATTTTTGGCTGATATGCACACTTGCAACCAATTTTTGATACTTTGCCCAAGCAACGCAATAAGTCCACAAAGTTGATTCAGTAAGCAGAAATAAAATGATGACATTTGATACCCAATCCCATGAATTGTTTAAAACCCCGATTAAGAATTAGGCTTCAGTAGAACTAATGGTACTAGACCATTGTGAAGAAAATACCATGGCCAAATGGACTGCAATAAAAAATCAAAATCTTGAGGAAAACAGAAGGAATGGGGCAAGCAAAAAAAAAAAAAAAAAACCATGGTAAATGTATTGTAAGCAATTAGGCTGTTGATGTTGCCTCAGGTTCTGCAGCAGGTTGGTCCTTAGCAGCAGTAGCATCTTGTTCAGGCACGGAAACATTTGCGGTGGCAGCTTTTGCAGCTGCCCCTTTCTCTGCAGATGCAGCTCCATTTGAAGCAGCAACTTTTCCGATTTCAGCTTCTTTTCCATCCTTTCCATCTTTAGCATCCTTTGCTTGAGGGGGTGGAATCATGTGAGGTGGGGGTGAATGCTTCAACTTCACAAGAATGTGTCTCATTCTTGAAAGATCAGTCGATTTTCCAGGCTTTGGTCCCTGGATTACAGTTATTGATGGCTTCTTCTCTTCGTCCTTCTTGCCTCTTTTCTTCTCGATATTAGGGACCTCACAAGGAATGAGTTCTGCTATCGCAGTCCAGTACTGTTTGTCCGCAGTCTTATGGAACTTCTCTTGGTTAGCCAAGTACAGCTGTTCCAAGCCCAAAATATCAAGTGCTAAGATATAGCAGCATGTGCATCTGCATGAATATGACAATTTGTTGGAAACATTACCTTTTCTCTCTCTTTGTTATTAGTTTTGTTGGTCTCAATTGTTTTTTCCCTTTTCTCATAGAATGCTCGCTTATACTCCTCGGCTTCTTCAATAATCTGATTCCTCAACTCTTTCTCCTTCCTCTCCTTTTCCTCAAGCAGAATGGCATTTTGACTGCAGCAAGAAATCGAATATCAACAATTAAAACTTTTTGACTGGCAACTGAAAAGTAATGGAATGCATATATATAAAGAGAAAAGTAAAGAAAGGCTTCATCCATGCATCTAAGAGTATACGAATAGTAAGTAACTCCCAAATACAAAAATACGTGTATTAGAGGTTATATTATCAAACTTATTTCAAATATATGAACAAATATTGTAAAAACAGACAAAGAAGCTATTAAAATTATCTTTGACATAGGATAAAGTACTCCTCATAAGTTCATAGATCTTTTGAAGACAAACTCAACCAAAAATTAGAAAAAATGAAGAGTTCAATAATGCCATTAAACTATCAGTCAGCGAAGGATTATGCAATAAATGAATACAATATAAAGCACTTGAGAAATTTCACAGATCAGATTTAGAAACCAGTAATTGCAAATGTTGAGAAATGAAGAGTTCAATAATGTCAGTAAACTGTCATGCCAGTCAGCTATGAAAAGGATTATGCAATAAATGAATACAACATAAAGCACTTGAGAAATTTCACAGATAGATTTCAAAACCAGTAACTGCAAATGTTGAGAAATGAAGAGTTCAATAATGTCATTAAACTATCATGCTAGTCAGCTATGAAAAGGATTATGCAATATATGAATACAATACAAAGCACTTGAGAAATTTCACTGATCAGATCTAGAAACCAGTAACTGTAAATGTTGAGTTCATTATGTGGCATTGTCCCTGGAACTAAAGTCATAAAGAGGTTTAAAGCAAAGCATTTCAAACCTTATGTGCTTTTACAGATACGAGAATATCCTCACAATCTGCAATAAACAACGTAATTATTGAATGTTTATCCTCGGTATTATCGTTGCGAAATAAAAGGCTAAGCACTCCATCTATCACAAAATAAAAGAAAACAAGCGATTTAAACCTCCACCAAGAAATCAAGTGTTTCCAACTATTAAAAAGCGTTTAAATTAAACGCTTTACAAACACAACTACCTCAGGCCTGTGAAAAATATTTCTCATATCATCAAGGTGACTACAATAATGCAAATGATCTTTCAAAAGAAAATAATGTCAGCATTAAAGCGCTAGCAATCGTCATAAGATTATACACTATTCAAAAACTATTCACACATCTCCTATTGGGAAGTTAAATGTGGATCTAGATCTTCTACTTCAATTATCAAAATCTATGTCTAATGCGATCATAAAAGTCACGACTACATGCAAAAGTTTCCTAATTTGTTCATCACAGCCAATGAGCTCTCATGGATTACAATGAAGCGAACTATCAAGTAAAACTAATATAAATTGAACACAAAAGGTTAAATTTATAACAAGAGAGATCAACAAATTTGAACTTCATAAATAACAGGAATGAAACGAAAAAAATAAGAAGCTAATTGCCGCAAATAGTTAAAACCATGGCAGATCTAAAAGCAAGGAAGGATTGGTAAATCTTAGTTCAACCAATGCAACAGTAAAATTTACATAGCCGACTCAAAAGCACTGCAGATCTAAGATGTGAAGAATTGCTAAACCAACAGATCTAGTCAAATCCACACAACAAAAGTCAACAAATCAAGCGGTTCAGTTTGAATAAAAAGAAATTACTACTACTCACCGCCGCCATTCGCGAAGAACGATGCCTTCCTCTGACTCCATCTCAGTAGGAGGAGGAAGCACCGGTCCATCAGAAGCGAAGACGTGATCGTTTCCAGCACCAAATCCATTGGTTCCAGTTCCGTTATCACCATCAGCGAAAGGAGATTGCGAGTCGGCAGGGGTTGGATCGGAGGATCCGAATCCGAAGATATCAGGAGAGGAAGTTACGTGATCCACCACCACGTCACCCCCATCCACAGGGAATTGCTGGTTGTCAGTGAAATTGGAGTAAGAGCCGTAATTGGAGTAGCTCTCGTCGTCGACTTCAAAAGGATGGTTATTCGAAGCAGCGTGAATTTCTTCACCTGCCATACCGTACGCTTCAAGGGACGCCATCTTTCTCTAGGAAGGTAGAGAAAGAAATTGAAATGGAGATTTTTATTTTATTTTATTTTTTGGTTTCCTTTCTTAGAATGCAGTGACGGTGACGAGAAGAGACTTGTTTTTGGCAAGAAAAAATTTTACAATGACTACTTCATTCATGGAGTTGATAGACAGCTAAACGACGCCGTTTGGAATAGTTTTGGTGGGACTAACAAGAAAGACGTTCATATTGGTTAGCTTGTCATTACCAAGTTTTTTGTCCTGAGTTTTGTCATTACCCTGAACATTGAAATTGGCCCGCCATCCAAAGCAAAGGAAAACAAAGAAAAAGAAAAGGGCAAAACCAACCTACTGGATGAAGCAGCTGACAAAATGAGAAAAGCCAACTCTTACATCAGTTCAGTGAACTACCCAAATTTCACCAATGCCAGACTCTTGTTTTGAAGTGTGTAATTTTGTCACGGATGGACGGAGATAGCAAAACAGTTAGTTGGGGCTCTGGACTCTATGGTAAAAACTGGCTATGGTTAGTGGGCAGGGTTGACTGTTTCCATCAGTGCCCCTGTCCCGTTGATACTGCTTCCACAAATAACCAAGCTCCACCAAGAATTTGGTACTAGCAGCATCAATCGAGGAAGAGAGGGGAGGGCCATGTGGCACCGGCACCTCCCTTTGCCACCGCGTGGGGCTGTTAAGCATTTTGAGGAGAAAAACCAATACCAAATTTATCATCTGTCTGAGCTGAATGAATGTCCCGGACGCAAGCATAAGATGGTGAATACAAATCCTCGCGTTCCATCCGGGAAACACTTCCCCTTGCTTTCCGGCTGAAGTTTCTCCACTTGGAACAGTTTGTCCATCTTCATAAAAAACAATCTATTAAAATTTATCACCAAACATACAAGTTAATCCACTAGTTAATTATTCTTGGTTCAAATTATTTTAGTTTATAACATTTTTCTTAATCATTTTTGTAAATTAATAGATATGCTCTAATTAAGGGTCCATTTGTAAATTCCTAGCCTATTCAATATTTTTACAACTTTCAAAATTTTAAAATGTATTAAGATTTCATTTGAATATGAACGATAAGATTAATAATGATGAAATTAAAAATAATAATAAAATTTATTATAATTATAATTAAAAAAATTATTATAATTAAAATTAAAAAATTTAATAAAAATTTATGTTGATTTAATTTTATTAAAATTGACCGTTTGAATTTAACTAAAAATATAATGAATTTAATCATACCATATTGAAAATATGATGGGATCCAAATTACTATTAAATCACTTTGATTTCCAATCTTAATGATAATTTTTCAAACATCCCAAGTCCAATAACCTAATGGTTAGAAATTAATAATTTATATTTCGTAGTAAATATCTCAAATGAATATTAAAATATGTACGATGAAATTTATTGAGTACAAAAAGATTATAATAAATTACACGGCTTCAAATCCTCATAGAAAAAAATCGCAATCTAACAACAGCAATAAAAGTTTTTTTTTTTGCCTTTTATGAAATTATGTATTATGAGTAAAAAATTAAATCACAATTTAACAAATAGTACATCAATTAAATAAATTAATAAATAATTAACATAATATTTAATTAAACCAACATATGATGAGAGTTAAACTTGACTTTCTTTTTGTAATTTCTTCTTTGCCCATATTTGATTTGTGTTAGTTTTGGATGTTATGGAAGACAAAATTTATAAGAAAATTTATAGATGAAATTTATAAAGTTTTTTATTAAAAATAAGTAAATAAAAATTTTAATAAAAAATTTAAATTATTAGATTGATGAAATTTAATATGAAAATTAATAATATGTGAAAATTTTATTAAAAATATTATTTGTAATTTAAATTTAATAATATTTATTTAATGATAATTTTTTTAAAAAATTACACGTTAAATTTATATAATAAAATTTTTTAATTTTAATTTTTATATATTTATTTTTAATCAAAAATTTCATATAAAATTTTTTTGAGCTATCTAGTATAAGGGTGTAAATGATATATTAGTGTTCGTAAACTATTCAGGTTCGATTCAAATAAAATTCAAATTCGGTTCGATTATTATTAAGTTGAGTTCGAACTCGAATAACTTGACTTATCGATCGAGTCGAATTTGAATATTCTTATACCCGACTCGAGTAGCTCGAATAACCTAATCGAGCTTTTATATTTAAATATATTTTTATTATTTTAATTAATAAAATATCTTAAACTCAAGTTTAAGCTTAAACACAAATAATTGAACTTTTTATCGAATGTAAGAATTAAATTTATTTTTACATATTAATTAAACTTAATAGAGTAAATTCGAATAATTTAATTTTTATTTCAAATTAAGTTTGAGTTAAAAAAAATTATATATAATTCAAACTGAATTTTAAATATTAAATTTTAAATTAAAATTTAATTTAAATTTAATATTATATTAATTCGAATTCAATCTATTATACTTATAATATAGCAATAAAATGTAATAAAAAAAAGTGTTTTAAAATATGACACTGAAATTCATAAATAAAAACCGGTCCCAAATCCAAATCAAAATCCCAACCCTAACCCTAACCCCAACCAGCAAACACCCAAAAGACTCGCTCTCTTTGTCCTAAAGCCTTCCTCGCTTCTCTCAGCTCGCAATCCAAGAAAGAGAGAGAGAGAGAAAAAGAGAGCTCTTCGTTCCGTTTCAAATTCTTGAATCCTCAAAACTTTTTATCTCTTTGCCAAAATTACCCTTCTCTTTCTTTTCAATGCCAAATCCAAGATAACTCCACCGGGAAGGAACCCAGCCCCCGAAACATGATCGTTCGAACCTACGGTCGCCGCAACCGTGGTTTAACCAGGACATTTTCCGACTCCCTAAACGACGACGTCTCTGATTCGCCTCCCCTCTCCCAAGAAACGGTGCCGTCTGAGGATATCTACAGTTTCCCTTTTACCACTCAAGAATCCTCTTCCTTCTGGCCGTCCTCTCAAGAAATCGACGACGGCGATTACAAGAACCACATAACATCCGTCAAAACAACCCAAAGTAATTTTGATTTTGACGATTCGAGAAACGGCGTCGTGAGGAGATCCAAGAAACAGAAGCAAACCCAGAGCAAGAAAGAGGTAGGATATTCTTCTATGCCCTGGATTCCGCCGAATTCGACTCTGATGGAGGCCCAAGAATTCGGGGAAATGATGGAACACCTTGACGAGGTTAATTTCGCGCTTGATGGTTTAAAGAAAGGCCAGCCAGTGAGGATCAGAAGAGCTAGTCTCTTGTCTCTGCTTTCAATTTGCGGCACGGCCCAACAAAGAAGGCTTTTGAGAACTCATGGGTATGCTAAATTCTTTTTGGGTTTTTAGTTTTGAGGTTTAGTAGTTGAAATTTATTGATTTGGGCATCTGGTTAGTGTTAGTTTTGCGTGGATTTTTGAAATCTGAACGTACATTTGATCATGAAATTGTTTTATTGATTCAAACGGATTGAGGGGTGTTTTGACTTGTAGTTTTAGGCTTTTATGCTTTTAGGGATGCATGGATTAGAATTTTTAGGAAGATTTTGAAAATTTAAATTCCCTTCTGTGAATCTCTACACTCTTTAAGTATATTTGAAAATTTAAATTCCCTTCCATGAATCTCTAGACTCTTATTTGGCTTTTCGATTTTTGTTGAAGGAAGATAAAATTTATCAAAGGTTTGGGTCTTCGATCCTATTTTATGAGGAAATTGTAAAGATGGTTGGTGTTTTGCATTCTTAAAAATGGAAATCAGTTAGGAACATTGGAGTTCTCTGTCATGATGGATAGTTTTCTCATTCTTGTTTTTTGGGGTTAAGTAAGTTATTGATGTTTTTGATAGTGTATGGATGAAATTTGATTTGGTTATTAATTTAAAATCTAGTAGTATTAAGAATGTTTGTTTCAGTTCTGTTCTAAAATATAATTTTCCCATGTTATTGAAAGCACAGAAGAGTTCTATAATTCTAAGTAGTATAATACCTTCAATGACCTGAGGGCCATAAAACATGGCATAGCCTTTTTCTAATAACTTCTTAAGGGGATGAAAAATGATGAGGGAGAAGATATATAAGACATATTTTGACTGATCGTTTAAGGAAGCAGTGAAATTAATTTTTGTTTGATGTCTTCTTTGACTATTTTCCAATTTCAGTAATATTTTCAAGTTTTCTTAAGCTTGTTATTTATTGCTTAAACTATATAACCGAATTCAAATTCAGTACATTTAGATTGTACGATTGGTTCATTTAGTATATGACTTGTTTATATACGTACATCTAAAGATACATGTATCTTGTCTTTACAGCACTAACTTCATTGTAAGCACCAGGATTTGTGTTTTAGTTTTTAAAATCTTTCTAAGAAAGTAGCATAAGGTACTTTAGCATACGAAGTCATCCATGATAGGATCAGCTACCCTTGAAATTTGTTAATTGTGTATCGTCTTTGTTTTTTTTTTAATCCTTTGAAGAGATTATCAATTGACCTTTTCAGCTTATTTAATTTTCTTAATTTATACATTAAATTTTTACTGATTGAATACTTGTTTCATTCTCTAACTAAAAGAATGATATTGATAAAAGATTGAGTGGTTTTCTTGAGTGTTATTTTCTCTTTTTAGACCCAGCATATGCATTATGCTTCTATTGTCTCATGGAAGGCAGAATTACTGTGATTCACTCTATTTTCCTTGCACTGGATTTGCAAATATGTTCATTTCAGGGTGGCAAAGCCAATAATTGATGCTATTTTAGGCCTCAACTTTGATGACACCCCAAGCAATCTGGCTGCTGTGGCCCTTTTCTATATCTTGACCAGTGATGTAAGTTTTTAAGCACTTGAAGTTGCACTTCAGTGATTAATTATGAATCTACATGTAATTTCTGCGTGATAGTTGAGGATTTTATGCACACATAGGATTCTTGTGAGAAGATGTGGATCCAGGATTAAATTGAAAGTTAACAATGAAGAATCCCATATTTATTAGTACTATTATTTCTGCATATGTAGTCTTTGCAAAGATTCTTCTAGTGCACTCTTATATGTAATGCTATACTATAACTGGTTAAAATTAAAGGTGGATGTTAATGTGTCCTGCCACGCATTTATTTCACCTTTATCTTCGGTTGAATTTTATTCTTACTGGGTGAGACGAATATGTCTGCATGTTTATTTATTTTAAATAATTTTGAAATTCAGATGTCGAGAAATCCATGCTTAGATGCCTGAAGAGCAATATTTATTTAAGGTAAATGCATTATTTCTAGATGTTCCTAGAATATCAGATACCATTTATGCATCATAATTTAGGAGTTGTAGCTTTTATGCTTTTTGCTTTGTTTGCATCAATTTTTCTAGACTAATATTTGTATATAGTTGAATCAAATGTTTTGAACATGTCAATAATATTATTCATCAATATTTGTACAAATTTATTGCCAGGGTCAAGACGAGCATCTCCTGGAATCACCTAGTTGCATTGGTTTCCTAATTAAATTATTGAAGCCAGTCATTTCCACTGCTAAAGAAAACAGAACAGAGAAAATGGGCTATAAGCTTTTGGCATTACAAAAGGATGCCGATATCTCACGGGATACAACTAAAGTGTTGGATTCAAGCTCTGCTGCCATTATTTCCAAAGTTGAGGAAATTCTTATTAGTTGCAAGGAAATGAAGTCAAGATGTGGGGATGACAGTGGTTTAAGAAGGCCAGAGTTAAGCCCGAAATGGATAGCTTTGTTGACTTTGGAGAAAGCTTGTTTGTCAAAAATTTCTCTTGAAGGTATCTAATGGAAATATCTAAGAGGTTTAAACATTTATGTTATAGATTGTCTTATAGGAACTGTAATGGTAGCTCAATATAGACCTAAACACAACCACATATGTGCATATAAATACATACTCATGCAGTCGGGTACTTTTTTTACTCTTTGCTGAACGCTTTCATGGTTTTTTTTTGTTTTTTTGCGTTGGTTTCATTCCTTCAGATACAACGGGTACGGTAAGGAAAACTGCAGGCAACTTTAAAGAGAAACTAAGAGAGCTTGGAGGACTTGATGTTGTCTATGAAGTGGCCATGGAGTGCCATTCTGTTATGGAGGTGTGAGCTTGTATGTTGTATCTCATTTCTGTTCTGTTACATTTCAATCGAAGGAGCTAAGACATACTTCTTTAAATTTTGAGAGAATCATGTGGTTCCCTCGCTTACTTTTACATGAAGCCATTCACAGGGAATTAGCAATTTTTGATGTATAGATATGTTTGAAATAATTCATTGGTGACATATTGTGTTAACATCTCTGCAGGGTTGGGTAGAGCAGAGTTTATCTTCTCCTCCTATGGAAGATAAAAAGGATGTGCAGAGCCTGGTGCTGCTTTCAAAATGTCTGAAAATCATGGAAAATGCTGCATTCCTCAGTAGCGACAATCAGGTACTTGAGTTATGATTTTGAATTATTTTGTATTTTATTTTTTTCCACTTAGTTTGTATAATTTGAAACTGCCACTTATGTAAGCTGTTAGACTCTAGATGTTTTTTTTTTCTTTTATTGTAGAGTCATCTGCTGGAAATGAAGGGGCAATTGAACTCTCATGGATCTCGGCTATCTTTTACAAAGCTTGTCATAGGTGTAATCAAGTTTCTCTCAGGTTATTGGTTGTGCAATTACTACTTCCATACATCTTCTCTTTTCTTTTTTCATCCTGTTTTTATCTATTGAAAGACTTTTTGCATTGTGATTTACCAGTGTTATTGCTTCCAGGGCTTTATCTTAAGAGTTCATCTGCATTGTCCGGTACTGAAAGGGCTTGTAGCAATTCTAAAGCAATGGGTGATGCTGATAAATTTGCTCTAACTGCAGATTGTAAAGGTATTGGGCAGTCTGATATCATTAAATATATCTTTCTAGCGGCTGCTGTCAGATTTGATTCTCTCTAACTTTGCAGTGGATAGACATGATGTTATCTCCATCAGTTCGTCCGAAAAATCCTCTAGCATGGGCCAGTCCTTCTCTGCAAAGAGCTTCAATACATCTCAGAATGACTCAGGGCCCTCCACTCACTGTTTGGGTCGTTCTGTATCCAGTTCTCAAACTGCAACTACATCCACAAATGATAGTTGTTTACTAAAGATGAGAATCCATTCTTCCTTGTCCAGCTCATGTAGTGGGAAATTCGGAAGTTCATATGGTGGGATACCTCTAACAAGCAATGAGAGACCTGATGGTACAAAGGATGGCAAATGTCAACTTTTAGAGGATAGTCAGGATCCTTTTGCATTTGATGAAGATGATTTTGTACCTTCGAAGTGGGACTTACTATCTGGGAAAAAAAAGATATCCCAAACTAAAAAACATGAGAAAGTTGGGCTACGAAATAGAGAAATCCATGATGAGCCTCAATACCAATTTACAATGACCCAACAAGTATCAAGTAATGGGGAAATTGGGCCAGCAGAATTTCTCAATGAAGAATATCATCATTCTAATGCAACTTCTGGTTCTCAAAGTGCTGACGAAGAATATTGCAGCCTTCTGTCAGACTGCCTTCTTGCTGCTGTCAAGGTATTCTTGACTATGTAGTTTACATTTTATCCAACTATTGCAGTGCTTGTTTTTAGCTTCAATGGGTTAATCATGTGTATGATTACAATGAGGTAAAAAAAAGTTACCCATTGTCCTTATTCTGCTTCTTGTATCCTTCAACGGTATTGATTGGATTGAATGGGCATGTGCACTTTTATAAACAATATATAACTGAATTTGCTGTGAATAACATCTTGATGTCTTGCATGTTTTCTCTCTTACACTAATGGTTTTTTATCTTGGCAGGTTTTGATGAATTTAACAAATGACAACCCCCTTGGCTGTCAGCAAATTGCTGCCTCTGGGGCCCTAGAGACCTTGTCTATGTTGATTGCCAGCCATTTCCCTTCATTCTGCTCATATTTGCCTTGTGCCAGTGAAATGGAACAGACTTCTCTCAGTTTAGAACTTGATAACCAGAATGGCGGACCGCTTTCTGATCCAGAGTTGGATTTCCTTGTAGCAATACTGGGTCTGCTTGTAAACCTAGTAGAGAAGGATGAACACAACAGGTTGATTTACATTCTTTGTATTCAGTGCCGTGTCTTACAAAGCAGAATAGAAGCCATAATAATAATTCAGTGATTTACCTTTTTATGTCTTTTTTATACTCATTGTCACAGGCACATAATAATTAGGTGCCATGTTTCTATGCAGATCACGGCTTGCGGCAGCTTCTGTTTCTTTACCAAATTCTGAAGGGTTAAGAGAGGAGAGTCACATGGCTGTAATTCCACTGCTATGTGCCATCTTTCTTGCGAACCTCAGAGAAGATGATACAGCTGGAGAAGTTATGCCTTGGGTGAGGACTTCTCTATATGATGCAGAATATTTCCTTTATCACTCAGCTTTCTCTCCCGTCCTTTCCTCTCATTCCTCATGTCACAGAGCATTATTATTATATTTTTTTGCTAGTGGGCTTGAAGAATTTATCATGATTGACATGCCTTAAATCTCTGTTGTATTCAATTATACAGAATGATGAGGATGCTGTGCTACAAGAAGAGAAAGAAGCGGAGAAGATGATTTTAGAAGCCTACGCAGCTTTGCTACTTGCATTTCTTTCTACTGAAAGGTTGGTATATTCCTTGTATCTTTCCCAGTGCTCAGTTTCTATGTTTTCTTACTAAACTTTTTTTTCCACTTTGTCATTGACAGTAAGAGCACACGAAATGCAATTGCTGATTGTCTCCCAAACCACAGTCTGTCAATTCTGGTGCCTGTTTTAGAGAGATTTGTGGTATGTCTTTAATCAAAGTACCATCAAATAATGAAATTAGCAGCAACATAGCAGTAGGTTGACATTATTTGAGAGTTGATTGTAACTCATTCATGAGGAAGATAAATTGGACTTAGGCCTAAAGTTTAGGCCTATAGGGTTTATTAGTTGGTCATGGTCATCGCTGCTTCATGGCTTGATATTCCCTTCCATTGACTGGAAAGTAATTTACTGCATTTAGGCTTTGGAATTATGAAATTATTGGATAGCTTTGGGAACATATTTATGCAATTTCATTATCTGTAATGCATTTTCTTTTCTCCTTGTGCAGGCATTTCATTTTACATTAAACATGATTTCTCCAGAGACTCATAAAGCTGTGAGTGAAGTGATTGAGTCATGTAGGATACCATGAGAAAACATTTTGTACAGCCTTGTCTTCCATTTTAGATTAGCAGTTTGTTTTCACGCAAGGACGGTGCCCACGAGTATGGGAGTGGGCAGCACACTGTATCAAACTGACCGCAGACCTCTGTTATAGTATCTTTTGTTTGTTTTTATCCCCACAATTTTCCCTTTCTTGTTTTTCTTTTTTTGACAATATTATTCTTTGTAGCACTATTCTATCGTCTTGATGCAGGCCATGACTCGTGTATATGAAAACAAAAGTATAATCAAGAAGTTTTCTATTGCCTTGTGTATGCAATATTCAGTTGCATATCTTTGTCAGCACGATGGGATTGAAATTCAGACTTGCTTGTATATTTAAAAAATGGCTTGACTTCACGTGCTTGATCCCACATGCCTGTCAAGGAAGTTGATAATTGCCTGATTCACCCTGTCTGGGAATTGCTCTTGCATGAAATGTGTTCCATACGGCAAGAACTCTATCTCCAGGTCAGCAACATAGTCTCTCACTTTTCCGCTTGTTACATAGTCTTCAATACTGGGGAACTTGAGGAAATAGTCCTTTCCACCCACGATTAGAAGCACCGGCACCTCCACTTTCGGATTTTCTATGGTGAATTCTTCGGGCAGTCTCCTACATGAATATAGAACTTGGGCATTTCACTAAACTTCTTAAGGTGAAAATGGAGGCTATGGTGTTCATTCTTTAAGTTCATAGAAGACATTGACAAACATTTTACTCGACATTGATCAGAGACGGTAAAGATTAATCAGCTGCAATGTTAGAAAAATCTTACTTGTAAGGGACTCGCATTGGAGAACTGAATCCAGAATTTTCATATGCTTTAGCATATATTGTGAAATCTTCATCGTTTAACCATGCTGGAAGTGGGTTAGATGGATCAACCAAATCCATAATCTCCTTGTCTTTCTCTGCCACAGGAATTTCACTTCTTGAGAAGAGGATATAGATGTTTCGCCAGACGGTTTTCACATCAAAACGCCTAAAGTCAGCCTCCGCTCTTCCAGGCTCCTGAATGGTCAATGACAGGGAAATTATCAACCATATAAAATAGTCCATGGCTACTTCTCTTAGATGCTTTCAAACACTCTGAGCTTTGAAAGAACTTAGCGGGGTTCAAATGTCAAATTGAACGATTTAAAATTGCCTGTTAGCTGGTGGAACAAATGGGAAAGTCAATTACCTTCCACCTGGAAATGTAGAAACCTTCAGGAAGGTCCCGGTACCTTTGAGGCCTAGGAACAAAGAAAGGCACACCCAACGACACAACTCCAAGAATCCTTGTTGGATGGAGAAGGGAGAGCAGATAAACAGGCCAGGATCCAAAGTCTTTCCCGATGAGGAAAGCCTGTCATCATGCAGGATGGTTTCAGGTAAGATTTGATATAATAACAGCTATTATAAGGACAGCTATCATCCAAAGTGTATACCTTGTCAATGTGAAAATAATCAAGAATGGCTATGGTGTCCACAACAAAATCATTGAAGGATGCTTTTTCAGGTTCTGGGTGGTGTTCAGATAGTCCATATCCCCTAAAATCAGGCGCAATTGCACGGTATCCAGCATCGGCGATTGCAATCATTTGATATCTCCATGAATACCATATCTCTGGAAAACCATGGAGAAATAAAACCACTGACGAACCTGCAGAGAAGACTGAACATATGAAGCATAGCAAGATAACATGGAATTGTTTTCTCAAAAGCAGAATGAATGTCAATTGAAACCTGTTCCAATTTCAGCTATGTGAAGTTTCACTCCTCTTGCATCAACGTGCGTGTGCTGTATTTGATCCATTGTGGGAGGGAGAGGAGAGACAGAGAGCAAGAGATTTGACTTTAATTTCCAACCATATGAGGCTTATAATATTCTTTTAGCGATTCCTGAAACTCGAGTTGGTATTTCTTGTTTGTTTTGTCCACTCATATTTCAACTTTCAAATTAAAAATAAAATAAATAGAAAAGAAAAAAAATGAAACAGATCCAGGCCCGGTTCAGTCCAATAGGAGATGAAGTTGGGCCTAATGAAACTACAACTGAGGCTCATAAATCAACAAGGTGGTCCAATGACACTGACTACGGGCTGATCAGCTGAAAATCTAACCCAAGTTTTATGCCGTTCCCCGATTTCTTTCCGGAGGCAGCACTGCAGCAGGAAGAACGGGTACATGAGAGAGAAACCTATACTCGATTTCTTTTTTTATTAACAGGAATTATAATATAATTTTGTGTGTAAAATATAATCAAAATATATAAAATTTAATATTTTACGGCATGAATTGTTAAATCTAATATTCTGGGAGTGGAAGTGACTCTTGAAATGACGATTCAGACGATGATCAGGGCTATCAAGCAGAAAACCATCTGGAAGGAAAAACATGGTATGTTTCCTCAAAGAAGCCTACTTTTTCAATTCTATGGCCACATTATTTTTTGTCCTTTTCTTTAACATTTCGACAGTTCTTTAAATTAGTTTTTTGGGATTGCTTTAAAGTTTTAACCATTGGGTGAGGACCAATATATTAAACGTCTGACAATCGCATTCAAGAGAGTGAAACCCCTTCCTGTTTGTACTTGTCGTTACAGTGGGTTACCTCTTCCCGATTTCGCTTAAACTTAATAATTTAAAGTATAATATAAAAATATGATATAAATATAATAATGAAAATAATATGATTTAAAATTATATTAATAATTATATATAAATTTATTAAAATAAAAAAATAATTTTAAATTGATATAAATTATAATATATAATTTTTATATAAAATATAATATAAAAATATAAAATTTAATATTTTAAATATTATAAATAGATTAATCGTCATATCTAGCCTCGAACGGTGAATATATATATATATATATATATATATATATATATATATAAAACATATAATGGCTTTATGATTAGAGGAATCGGGCCTTCAGCCCATTAAGAATTATTTGGGTAAAAATTTGTCCCATTAAAATAGCCCACTGAAAGCCCAGTTCTCCCATTACAATCATAATTTATAAAGCCCAACTTTTCTCACGTGCAAACGTATCCACACGTGCGTATCCCTCTCCAACCACCATCAGCCCACGCCGCGAGCGTTATCGTTTCCCTTTCCCACTCTCAAAACCCGCCCCCGTCTGTTCGCCCGATTAAACGAAGGATATGACCGCCGAGGTACTATCGCACCAAAACGGTGCTGTTGTTTCCAACGGAGATCTGAGTACAAAAAATTCAATCCCTAACCCCTCCACCGACTCCAAGAAGTCCCGCGAGAGCGAGCGACGTCGTCGTAGGCGCAAGCAGAAGAATAAGAAGAACAACAAGACTTCCCAGTTAGAAAGTGAGGCCGCTAATGGTACGGTTTCCGAAGCCGGCGACAGCGACGTTGGCGAAGACGAAACGAAGGAGAACACCGATCATCAGCAGGTATCTAGAAACCGTTTTCTCTCCTGAGATTTCTAGGGTTTTAGTGAATTTCGATTGTTTCATTTGGTGTTTGCATGTCCTCGTATAGAATACTGTTCTTATATGCTATTTGATAGTGATTTAAAGATTCTCGATTGTCTCAATCAACTTACATTTGTGATTGTTTGTAGGTAACGGAACAAATTGTGGTTGAGTATGTTCCCGAACGAGCTGAGTTAGATGATGGTATTGATGAGGAATTTAGGAAGGTTTTTGAAAAATTCAGCTTCTGGGAAGCTGCTGGTTCTGAGGTAAAATGGAAATTCGGTTGGATATTATCAATATTATTATTTTTTGTATTTCCTAATTAATTCTCTAAAAAACTTGTAATTCTATTTATACAGGAGACAGATAAGAAGGATGAGTCTGCTCAAGATGCGGACTCGAAGATGAAGGATGAGTCTGATTCAGAAGAGGAAGAACAGGATGATCAACAGAAAGAGAAAGGCCTATCGAATAAGAAGAAGAAGGTTTTTGTTTTTCTCCTGTTATTTTCTAATATTTTTGTTATTTTCATATTCTGCTGGTTTTGATGAGACCGAAAAGTGAAAACACTTTATTGTTATTACTGACAGCTTCAAAGGCGGATGAAAATTGCTGAACTGAAACAGATTTGCTCAAGGCCTGATGTTGTAGAGGTATGTTTTCCTCTCACTGTTTATTTGGATGTTCTTAATCTTTCTGCACTTGTAGCTGTTGATGTTTGGTTCTCTTTATGTTCAGTCATTTGAGAAACCTGTCTAGTTTGTTTTAAAATCAGTGTTAAAAATTTTATAGCCCAATGTTGAATTAGAGCATGTTTGCTGCTAAATTTCTTGAGAGGCTATGAATTTTTTATTTTTTTTCTTTCAAAATGAAGAAATCTGTCTTTTTTACAGTTTCTTTTCATGGCTAGTAAGTGCTTTTTTCTATTATTTCTAATGTTCTTTGTCATGCAATGCTGTTAGAATACTGCAACTAATGAAAGAACATCTTTTTTTACCTGTGTTTATTTTTCAGGTCTGGGATGCAACTGCTGCAGATCCTAAGTTGCTGGTATTTTTAAAGGCATATCGAAATACTGTTCCAGTGCCAAGGCATTGGTGTCAGAAAAGGAAATATTTGCAGGTTACTAGTTCTTGCTCCATAACAAGTAATATGGTTCAAATATGTGTGCATGGTTGGTAGGCATTATCTTGATATGTGATTTAGGGAAGAGGGTGTGGGAAGATCAAGTCGATAAGGTTTCTCTTATATGCATATATGTGCTTCTTGCAGGGGAGCGGCTGTGACAACCTTGGAGCCTGGACTTGTAGGTGTTTTGCAAAGAGGACTCTTGATTGATTTCTCTTTTAATATAATTGTTTTATGGGTTGGGATATAGATATTTCTGAGATTTTCTGGTAGCATAGCATAACTTTGCATGCTAGAGGTTGGGGGGTATTTGTTCATTGTTAAGGTGCTAATTAATCTGTTTTGGATTTTCAGATGCCTTTCCATTGTGCTAAATGCTCGGGCTAGATCCATCTAAGATTTATTTATTTACTTTAAGTGACCTGAGTCAGTTGCGGAAGTTCCTAGTTTTTTTTTTTTTATTATTTTTTTGGCTTTGTTATCTTCTGCTATCTCATTGGCTTTTGTATCTTTTCTGTAGGGAAAGCGTGGTATTGAGAAGCAACCTTTTCAGCTTCCTGATTTCATTGCTGCGACAGGAATTGAGAAAATTAGACAGGTAAATTTATTTTCATTACAATAGAAAATTGTGTAGTGTCCTCCAATTTATGTCAATAAAATCATCTGCAAGGATGCCCTTTCCAAAAGTTATATATTTCTGTAAAATGATTTATAGATTTTTAATGGAGATTATCATTCTTGATTTGAACTCAAGAATTCACTTATGTTCTTTTTTCTAGTTCAGGCTTACATTGAAAAAGAGGACAGTAAGAAGTTGAAGCAAAAGCAACGTGAGCGTATGCAGCCCAAGATGGGGAAAATGGACATCGACTATCAGGTTCTTAGTTTCTTGCTTCATGGATTCAATTTTTTTTGAATATTTGAATTTTGCCTTAGCTGTCATGGGAGGTTTCTTCTAAAATGATGTTGTCTTGCTCTTTTCACTAATGATATTCTGGCTTCTTTTTCTTAGGTTCTCCATGATGCATTCTTTAAATATCAGACAAAGCCAAAGCTGACAACTCATGGAGATCTTTATCATGAAGGGAAAGAATTTGAGGTCCTGTTCTGCTATTTCCACATGGATATTAGGCTGCCTCTTACACTCTATCAATACATGTGTCAATTGATTTTAAAATGATATGCAATTATCCAAACATCTTAAGGCTTAAGTTGAATCGTTAAGATTATAGGGACATTATGGGATAGCAATTTTCTTAAATTTTGCAGATGATAGGATCATATTCTGGGTCCTAAGGGGGACTGGGTGGTTTTGTGGTTACTGCAAAGTGCAAGCAGATATAGTCTAACTTAACTAGTGAAATGAGGAAATTTTGTTTCATAAATCCTAGTGCCTTTTGTGGGTTATAGAAACTGGACTTCACAGCAGACTTATTTTGGCTTGAGATTTTTGTGGAGTAAGTGCATGAGAACTCAGACTTTTTATACTTTTATAAAGTCTTCTGTTGCTATTTAAACCATTTGTGAATTCAATGGTGTCTAGTTGTTATGGGGATTTGCTGGATGTCTGAAACATTCAATCTTGAGGTATATTATGTGTTGCAACTGGCTATTGTGATATATCTGAATGAAATGATATTGACACTTTTGTGGTAATCTTGAATGAAAAAAATGAATGACTGATGATACATGTCGTTTGGTAGATTTTCCAATTCCTTTAAATTAGTACCGTTCATTTGGAATCCAGGTAAAGCTGAGAGAGATGAAGCCAGGCTCTCTATCACATGAATTGAAAGAAGCTCTTGGTATGCCAGACGGTGCTCCACCCCCATGGCTTATAAATATGCAGGTTAGTTTGGTCAATATCCTGAGTTTTTTTCTGCATCTGATTTCTTGTTGGTATTATTTAAACTGGTAATTTGTCCTTTCAGAGGTATGGTCCTCCACCATCGTACCCGCATTTGAAAATACCTGGGCTAAATGCACCCATTCCTCCTGGAGCAAGCTTTGGTTATCACCCTGGTGGCTGGGGCAAACCTCCTGTGGATGAGGTAAGCCTCTTAGAAGTTGTCTACTTTGTGTTCTAGTAAGATTGAAAGCTATCTTTAGATGAGGTAATCTTTTTAATGTATCTCTTTGTCTAATGTTCTTGGTTTTTCCTACTTATTTTCAATAGTATGGACGACCTTTGTACGGAGATGTTTTTGGAGTTCAGCAACAAGAACAACCTAACTATGAGGTACTTCCAAGATTTTTACAAATTTTTTATTTTGGATTTTCAATTTTAATGCTCTTGACGAATATGTTAGTGTCTTGTTCCTTGTATTGCTATTGGCCTTCATATGATAAAAATTGACTTGAGTAAAAGAACGAAGTAACAAGGGTGAAGTAGAGTCTTAACATTAAAGGATCCACACAAGTGTCTCCACCATTATTTTCTCTCTCTAGGAGTAGAACAGCTTAATTTAGATTATAATATTGTATTCTGCACGGCAATATGTAAACTTTTGTCAAATTCCTTTAACCAATTGGATTTTATTGGATAATATCCTACTAGAAACGTTGATCCAAACCTTGTCTTGGTGTGGGGGATGTGCTTGGCTATAGGTGTGATTTGTATCAGAATGAATATTAGTGTCAAGTATTAACAGCTTCAATGTTTTTGGATTAAATTTTCATTTCTGTGAATGATTTAGTTGGCAACAGGTTCAATTTGGTATCAAAATGAAGATTAGTATTAATAGTTTCAATTTTTTGGATGAAATTTCATTTTCTTGACCTATGATTTAATTTCACAATATGTTACTTTTTTGTATCAAATGATAAAATCCAGGAGGAGCCTGTTGATAAGTCAAAGCACTGGGGTGATTTGGAGGAAGAGGAAGAGGAAGAAGAAGAGGAAGAAGAGGAAGAAGAGATTGAGGAAGAGGAGTTAGAGGATGGAATTCAATCTGTCGATAGCCTTTCGAGGTATTATTCCTTCAGTGTTTTATTTCTGTTTAGGGTTGTAATCTGTTGTACTGCCCAAAATTATCGGGCCAGGTGCTTTGTTAATTTGGTTTTTGTATGCTAAATAGCCATTATGATTTTCGTGTTGTATGTAGAGTGGTAATTTTTTTATTGTTAACTTTTTCCTTTTGAGTCAGTACTCCTACTGGTGTTGAGACGCCTGATGTCATTGACCTTCGTAAACAGCAGAGAAAGGAGCCTGACAGGCCCCTTTACCAAGTGAGATTATATTTTAAACTTTTCTCTCTACATTTTTGTGTGTATATTCATCGTATTTTCTTCTCATTGCTTCTTGTTTGTCCTGTTTCTTTGAAGGTACTTGAAGAAAAAGAAGAGAGGATTGCCCCTGGAACTTTACTTGGTACAACTCACACGTAAGAATCTGCTCTGTTGTTTTTTATTTTGGTTCCTATAGCTTCAAATCTTCAAATGATGTCGGGAAACCTTTTTTTTTTTTTTTATGTGCAGGTATGTGGTTAACACTGGTACCCAAGACAAATCAGCTGCCAAAAGGGTAAGAGAGATGACAGTATTTTATTTGTTTTGGAATTGTTTCCTACCTGGTTATTGGACTACAATTGTGCTTGGCTTTAGAAGTATATCCTGAGTTTGCTACTTTAGGCTTTTTATCTTGTTTGAAAAACCTTTTGGACCATTTGCAAACATTATATATGGTGTATATTCCCTGCTGCAACTCCACTGGACATTTTCTGGAGTTTCACCACATGACTTGGAGATAAACTAGGCCTGGTAAGGGGGTTTTCAACTCCCAAGCCCTTGGGTCAATGGCGTGCTATTAAATGCTGTAAATCGGATTTTATATATGTCTTGAAGTTGTTGAAATCATTGTGACTAAATTGATGATTATAAATTTTCTTTCTCTTTTTTCAGGTTGATCTTCTAAAGGGTCAAAAATCTGACAGGGTGGAAGTCAGTCTACAGCCAGAGGAGTTGGAAGTCATGGACAATGTGTTGCCTGCAAAGTAAGTTGGAGTCTTGTAACTTTTACCATATAAGTATATGTAGTCCCCAAAGTTAAATTAACTTTACTCACTTGGCTTGATTTCACAGGTACGAAGAAGCTAGGGAAGAGGAGAAGCTACGAAGTCAACATGAGGACTTCAGTGATATGGTGGCTGAGGTAAGCCTTGGTGATTCTTTTTGATGAAATATTGGATGGGGTTCTCCACCACAGAGTTGACTGTTTTCTAAATGCCTCCTAAAGCTAAAATAATAATAATAAAAAATATGAGTAAAGAAGGCCTGCTCAATACAATTGCTTTAAAATTAGCTTACAATCATAAAATTGCTTTAAAATTAGCTTACGATTGTTGGCAAACTATTTGCAACCTTCTCAGTCATATTATATCTCTTAATAAGTCTTTCTATTCGACTCTTTGTTGGATGGTTAGGCCTAGCTAAATTTAGTTAGGTATTGTAAACATTTGCTCACATGTTTGTGAATGATATGTGATGTTTTTGTTATTAAAATTAGCAGAATATTTTCAACAGTACTCTGTACAAACCATCTGGCATGAAAGATTTTCTTTACTAAAATACTAATAATTTTGGAGTGGATTTGGGTCAAGACTTGGTTTTTAACTTTAGGTAAATGTATTATATGAGTTGATGCATTCATGTTTAGGGACTAGAATTGGTTGGTGATTCCATGTCTGGTTATTATGGTTGTAATGATGAGATATGTATTTGATGCAGAATGAGAAGAAAAGGAAGCGAAAGATGCAGGAGAAAGAGGGGAAATCGAAGAAAAAGGATTTCAAATTCTGAGTAGGCCATGAATTTGTTCCTGGTGTTAGGAGAAGAAGCTGGCGTCTTAATGATGTTCTGGGAATGCTGGCCTGGATTATCCACGTTATTGGATACTGACTTGCTTCTTCCTCCACTTCTGTGCTAGAAGATGTTGTACTCAAAATCGTATTTACATCAAATGTATGCTGCGTAGGCGTTGCGTTCTATAATATAGATTTATATGTCCCAAAGCGTTTCCAAGACTAGCAGTTTTGCCCAGCGGATTGAAAACAGAGTATCTTAACTCATTGAAGGCGTTGGGTTGCACTTTCATCTGAAGAATGAGTGCCTTTTTATTTTTTAGTTTTTGAATTACTAGCTCTTGTAAGTTAGACGGGGAAAGTAATTTCAACCTCAGTATAATAATCATTAATAATCTTTACCCCACTTCAATCGCACCATGCTAGCGTAATCATCAATAAGCAGACTGATTTGATAAAAAGCATATGATTTGCATGTATGCCATCCTGCTGCTGGGTGAGTATGTGAGCATGCAAATGTAAAATAACAGTTTCTGATTTTCCCTTTTCGAGTGCACAAAGGTTAAAGCCCTAAAGGAAATAATTGGAATCGTAACCAAAAGGGTTAGGCTTTTGCAAATTGATACATGCAAAGAAAATTCACTTGTGGAGAGAGTAGGTTAGGTACGCATTCCAAGTTTTTCATCCACACCAATGCCACGAGTAGTGGTGAATGAAGAAAAAAAATAAAAAAGAAAAAACAACCTATCATTGTCAATTGTCTGAAGATCTGTGTTATGGATATTGCATGTGGGCAGAATTGTAGCATGAACCACGTCTTTTACCATCATTGAGTCCGTAAAGAGGAAGAGGCTGAGTTGGGATTCGACTTTGAGTCGTGTAGAGTGTAGGCATGAGAATTAACCCAAAAGTGGTCTTGATTATATAAAGATTCGAAAGTGGATCCTCGTCATCAACTATGACAACCATTTACTAGTACTACTATTAATTTTTTAAAATGCCTAGCTAGGCTATCATTAACGAACGGGATTAGCAGCAAGTGCCGGGCCAGGCCGACCAGGGGCAAACTTGGGGCCCTCATAACCGTAAGTGGTGATGGCAGATGGCTGATGGATGTTTTCAAACCTCACCGCCGACCTTGACCTTTTAGTCTCTTGAGGTTTATTCTATTAACTGGAATCCAAGTCGGCAAGTGGTATTATTTTACAGTACTTGAGCCTGACATGACACTTCCTTTTTATTCGGCCAACAGTCGATGCCGCAGCTTGACAACACTTTACATACATACATGTGTATATGTACACACACCTAATCCATATTGACCAACCACCATTACCATGTCCGAACAGTGACTTGCTGATTGGTTTTTAAATGAAACGAATTGTTGATTGGAAAGGCTATGCTCAAAGCACTTTTCTTTTTCAGCTGTCTAATTTTTCATTGGGGTCATGTTAAAGCTGATTCATCATTGTTTCAATATTATCAGGTGTTTGTCCATGAACACATGGGTTTTAATCATGATAAATGTCGCCAACTTGTTATGGAGTCAAAATTAGACCTAAAGTAATTCATGCAAGCAATCTTGCAATAATGGTCCTAAGAGCTGATCTCAAATGTCTCATTCTTGAATTTTTTTGTTGTCTAAGCCAAAGTAATTCATGCAAGCAATCAATACAATATACATTTTGTTCAATACCCGAGTTGAATCCAATCAAAATAATATACATTTTGTTCAATAACCTGTTCAGCTTTATAAATTACCGTAATAAATATTAGGAGTCTAAACCAAATTCAATAACCTGTTTAGTTTTGACTAGCTAATCTTGTTAGATGGGTTAAATCATTGATTAACATGTTGTCAAGCGTCAATTAGACAGCTTGGATTTCGATTTTGGCCTTCTCTGCCGCCAAATTTGAAAATTTTGGGACCTTGGATCCCATCAGTGAACGAAATTTTATTGTGAACTCCGTTTATTACGATGTCACTGGTCAGCTTGGCATCTAGTCTTCTGTCAAAAACGTTCTCAGGATTTCCAAATTTCAATCTCAAGACAAATAGTAGGCCAAAACGTTCTCAGGAAGTTGGTTTCTCTGCAAATTTTGCTTGCTCAGAAACAAAGAAAAGGAACCTGAACTTCACTTTTTTTTGTTATGAATGGAAATTTATCACCATAGACTTCCTCTTTTAGGCTATGCTCTTGCATGAAAACTGGCTCAAGTTTTTCTTAATGTGGATAGTGGACAGGTTCTTTTGACTAAAACTATTTCCAACAAGCCTTATCCTAGCCAATTTTAGCTGCCGCCATGCATAAAAATAAATGCAAGAATTTAGGCATTTCATAAGAACCAAGAGAGAGCAAACAGAAAAGAGGGGATGGAGAGTAGTGAAAATGACAACAGAAAGGCTTGGAAAGATGGGCTATTGATGATTCAGGCATTTTTTTTAAAAGTTTCAAGGAAAATATTTCTATATTATCATATGACAAATAATCTGCCATAAACTTCATGATTCTCGATCCTGCATCAGTTTCCATCTGTTTCCTGATATTGGACAACACCATTTCTTGATTTAAACCGCACGATAATAAAAAATTTCCACGCAGGGGTTCAAATTTTGGCCTTTAAGGCTACCAATTAAGTGTTTAACTTCTTTGTTCATGATTGACACGGCTGCTGATGGGTCATTGTTCCATCATGCTTCAGCATCTTGTTTTTCATTTTTTCCACTCAATGTCCTAATTTAATTCAATTCTCAACAAATTTGCACCAACCTTTGAACACCATATTCATGTTCCAACCAGGATTTCATCATCAATTGCTCTAGTGGTCCAGAAAGGAGGCCCCATCATTCATGATGTTCCGACACGTGTCCTCGATGTCCCCAGGATCATTTTATCTCACATTAACATTAATCACTAATGTTAATGATACCATAAACATGGGCTGCTGCAACTACTTGTTAATATGTCAAGCTTTTTTTGGAAAAGAACTTTTAATGTGAAGTATCAAAGTTGGTATGAAGAGCTATTAACCTGTGAGGTGGACAAGTTAGACTCAGTGATTAAATTAGTAATTAATTTAAGTTTGATCATGAAGCTAAACATGCTTTAGTGGCTTTCTGAATTGTGCGACTGACATTCTATTTTGTCTTTTTGAAAGTGTTGAAAATGCCCATACAATCAACTTTACCTAACCAACCGACCAAAGTTTGATTTCCATTCACATCCCCTCAGATTAACATGAAAGAAAGATACTAAATTTTTTTAAAGTCAAACTTATGCTTCACTCGTGGATTAATTATTTGCATGTGGCTTTCATGGTCTAATTTTGTGCAACGGCCAACTTGCACCAATTATTCTTTCATATTCTGAGTCTTTTATGGAGGCTAGCTATGAACTTTTTAACATGTCTTATTTATTCGAATAATTTGATGTAATTCGCATACAATTATACCATATTTTGATTCTCAAACGTTTTGAATATTTGCTATTAGTTCCAAGATTTTCCGAATGTTTTTTTTTCATTATATTTGAAATTGTCAGAATTAAAATTTTAATATTTTATTAACAAATAACAACGATTCCTAACAAAAAATATTTTCACATTTACGATTGTATTATTTCATCAAAATAACACACACATACGTACTTATATATATAGTTAAAAATTATTCTTTCAAATTAGCATCGATCATTTAATCAGAAAACGTTAAAAAAAAAAAATTCAAAAGCCATTTTAGAGTGATTTTGGAATCAGAAAACCTTAGAAGATTTTGCTGTCTGTGACTGTGCATGTCTTTATTGGATGATTTTCATCATATACGGAACAGAAATGAAATGAGTGATTGATTTCAGATTTCTTGCTTCTCCTGCGCCATGTTAAGAGAAAAGAAACAAATTATGTCAATTTCATGGCCGATGACTGCGCTCATTTGACACAAAATGGACCCTTATATCTATATAGCAATAACAACGGATTTCTACATCATTTCTTTTTTTGAAAAAGATCACAGAAAGGGTTGTTGCCATAGTTCATGCATTGCATGCTGCTCTTGCTATAGCCATAATTTACCCTATTTCTAAACCCAACTTCGAGCCGATCATTCACACATGTGGCCGAGCCCACACCTTCATGAGTGGCATGCAATCTCTCCGGAGGACAACTCTTGTAACATGTAATCACATGTGCATAGGGCCATAGGATCATCACAACCTCTTGTGTATCACCTACCAAACTATCATTTGATGCCAACTCTTTTATAGTTCCAAAATTCAATGTCCCACAAGACCTCATTAATTCCTCTATCATCATTTTTTTTAAAGAGAAATTTAAAATTTGATTTGACAATAAATATATATATTTTATGTAAAAATTTGAATTCGAATCAATTTTAATAAGAATAATTACTATATATATATATATATATATTAGATATGCATGAAATGCTAACATTCCATAGTGCAACTTTTTATATTCATATTCATAGCTTATTAGTTTACTGTTACTTATTATAGTAGCGTTAGCTATATACGTCCCCTTTACAGCTCATACAATCACTCCAATATCTACGGTCCAGATGATTCCACGTGTCACCGACCCACCATCACCTTCAAGGCTAAGGAATTCCCTCTCGTCTTCCCTTCCCTTTGATCTCTTCTACATCTTCATTTTTAGCACTATAAAAAATTCTTTGAAATGCAAGAGGATTAATGCTTCTGTATATCAGATTCAGCAGTTTACCAAAGTTAAAAGAAACCCCAACCCCACATATATATCTACAGCAAAGCTTTCTTACCATACAAAGATAGAGAGGCTCAAAGCATGCTCACTTCTTATCACCTTCCAGGGAATTTCCTAGCACTTCACACTCTCCAATATCCCATTTCTTCAAAACATCGCACTGTTTGGATAAGGAAGAATCTTATCATCCCGCTTTTATTCAGGTTGATCTCTCTTCTTGCACCTCGATCCAAAGGCTAGAATTGTACAGGGTTTTGACCTGATCAATCATCATAGAAGACCTTATCACTCTTGTTTGCTGTAGTTAAGAGTTTCTGAAGTGGATATAGAGATATGGGATTGAGTTCAAAACAGGTTTCTAGTGATGGTCTTGGGTGGAGCCAATCTTTGTTGGAGGCTCAAACTCTGGAGCTACCAAAAGCTTTACCAATGAAGAGGCAACATCCACAAAACCAGAAGCAGCAAACAGAGCCACTGAAGTGTCCGAGGTGTGATTCTACAAACACAAAGTTTTGTTACTACAACAACTACAATAAGTCACAGCCTAGGTATCTCTGCAAGACTTGTAAAAGGCACTGGACTGAAGGCGGTACTCTCCGCAATGTTCCTGTTGGTGGAGGTCGCAAAAACAAGCGGCTTAAGACATCAAATAGCAACACAGCCGCCACCACCCCTGCTAGCACTAGCACAACCAGCACTGCCATCAAAAGCCCCACTACCTCTGGTGTTAACAATAGGCTCGATACCTTCATGACAATTCAGCTTCAGCAACAAAGGCAGGATCTTCAGCGTCGACTTGCTGATCAAAAGAGCATATCGAATATGCAATTTCAGGCGCTGAGTCATCCACCATCTTCATTGTTGCAGCAGAAATTTATCAATTGCAGCAACTTTGACAGTAAAAGTTTCAGGACAAGCAATGGAGTGTTCCTAGGTTCAACCCTGTCTTTGCCTCAAACTCAAGGCTTACAATTTCCATTTTCAAGTTCAAGTTCTTTTGACACAATCCCATCTTCAATATCAACCTCATTTCAATCTTCAAGTATCTATAATTATACTGGAGAGACAATGGAGGATCCAACTATCACCAGCATCATCATGCCCACCACAAGTGGCACTGTTTCACAACCATGGCAAGTACCTATTACAAGCAGTGGCATGGACATGGCAAACTACTGGAATTGGGATGATATTGATGCACTTGTTTCTACTGATCTAAACATGCCATGGGATGATTCTGAGATCAAACCATGAAGGTCTTTTAACCATATATATATATATATATATATCCGTTGTCCATAGCTCTCTTTTTTTTTTTTTTTTTTGATTTGGGTGTTCCTATTAAATGGAGGGTTCAATTTTTTTTTTCTCTCTTTAAATATTTTTCAGTCTTTATTAAGAATCTCCCCCTTATTGTTATTTTTTCCCTTTCTTAGATTGATTATTAATATGTAAAGTCTCCCCTTTCAACTTTTAACTGTTAAAAAAGAGATGTAGACTGTTAGAAGCTGTCATTTTTCCGATTCAGCTTCAGGGTGAAGGTGTACATTTTGTACTCTACCTCTTATATGATGCAAGAACATGAATGTGTATGTCAGGTTAGGCTTGTTCTTCATTCTATGAATGGAATAAAGGGAGAGATATATATGATGGGATATATCGAAGAATTCAGAAATGGGGTCTCTTCCAAGCTATCCTGGGCAAGCTAGATGTCATGGAAGATTCTTGTGGATATGCATATTTCCGGATATCTGAAATGTGGATTCATTATTTCATAATTTATGACCAGTTGTTGAGAATCATTCTCTTTTCCTTGTCCTGACAGCATTCTGGTTGTAAAGTAGTTTTTATGAATTAGTTTTTTTTCTCTTCCGGATGGTCTAAACTGCGTGCTTCTAGATTTCATTGATGTTTATTAGTAGTTTGTTAGGCACCAAAATCTTTGTTACAACATGGTCTGCTTACATCTTGTCAGTTCAGATCCATAGCATGTGCACATTGGGGCCACACTTTCCTGGCTTGTTTCCAAATTTATTTTATAGTATACCATCAGCTTCCTTAAATTGAGTTTATATATGGGTTTAGCAAATAGCTTAGTCATGTACAATGACGGTTGATTACCTAAATTGTCACATTTCTTCAATTAAAAAGATTCTTCGGTTTGCCTTCTCTGTTTTTTGGGTACAAAATTTCATGATGGGAATGCTTGAATAATTGTAGTCTACTTGTGGAAGGCCTGTCGTTTCATAGGGTAACAAATGCATCAAATAACTGATCATATGGCCGTTGGATTGTGTAGCTTCCATTGAAATGATAAGATTGAACCGACTGATGTTACAAAAAGAAATAGAGACTGATTTAGTTTGTTCCCTCAAAAAACCTTTAAACATTTATAGGAAATTCAAGCACCTCTTACGGCTTAAAACACTAGGGAAAAATTGGTACTGCTCTGCCTCTGGCACTGGCAGGGACCTTTGAATTGCATGTGGGGACATGCAGTAGCAGCCAAAGAAACAGAGAAATTAATTCACTCTTTCTTGCATATGTTTTGCATGATTTATTGTCACATTCTTCAATTTGGTTCTGAAGAGGAATCTTACATCACACTCAAGAGGAAGCTTGAACTACACTGGAGAAGCTATTGGCTTATTAACTATGGTGAAATTAAAAACAGTAATAAAAAATTATTGTAATTACGATTGAAAAAAATATTGTAATTGTAATTAAAAAAAAATTTAATAAAAAATTTATACTGACTTAATCTCTTAATCTCTTTGGAATTGATATTTGGATTCAACTAGTAGTACAATGAGCTTAATCACATCGCACATCAATGTAGGAGCAAATTTGCACCCAAAAAGGGAAAAAGAAACAACAATAGTAGTATATGAAAACTGTGTAAAGATACACACAAGTACATGTCCATGGTTAAGATAATCGTATATTAAATCATACACCCAAGTTGTCTGCGGTCAATTAACAACGAAATACAAATTAGAATATTTCTCTTGACAATCTCTTACCATTCTCATCTATAGGTTGCCCATCCTCACTCCTGTGTCTCTGCTGTAGTTAGCCTGTTCATTATTAGCCTTGGAGTAACAAACGTAGTAAAGCTCAGAGACTATGGCTGTTAGGAACACAAATGCGGCCCCAGCCCCAAAGACACCCTTTCTCAATGTTGCACATGACGGAGGATCATTTAAGGGATTCTTGTCCTTAGTGTGATAAGCGTTCCGCACTGACACCACTCCGCAATGAAAAAGAACACCCTGAAATACCAATGCAACATATCATTTAGATGATAGAAAAACTAACAGAGGGCATTGAAAAGCAGTCGTCGACTCGGTTGCTCAAAGACACTTCCTGACCATGAAGATAAGATCATTTAAATTGTTGTTTAAACTAAAAACATACCACCAAGTGATAAATAGGACAATTGCCCATGCTCTAGACCCACTCGGTCTCATGGCCTTTCCACAACATAAGAATCGGCTTGCCACCATTATTAGTATCTGACTAAGCAGAAGGAATAGGAATGAACCCACACCCAAGCCAGTAGCAATGTCTTATCATAAACACAATAGCTTTCTTTCCCGTCATTGCCAACAATGGCCTGCAAAAAGAGAACAATGTATAATGCCACGTTAGACTATAATAAACCAGTTTCTCCCATATACAGCAGGAAATTGTTACACTCAAGCTTCATGGAGGTAGAACGTCACATTGATTCTAGAATCTTTTCCTTCAAACAAAAAACTATGCAATTCTAATATCCTTTCCTTTTACAAACTCCGAAAGCAACACAGGGAATAAGCGTGCAAATTTAATCATTAAAGATTACCCAACAAAAGAGGTACTAATTTATCCAGATATAAGCGAGATGTTTACAACAATATCATTGTAAGATACGCCATTTGTAACTTTACCAAACATTTATGCAGCTGCTGAAAGAAGCATAGTCTATGATATTACCACCAGGAGCTACCCAACCCAAATCTCATCTATAAAGAAAAGCAACAATGAGATTTCCTCAACGCAATCACCTATTTCCTTGACACTAAAAGAACGCAAGTGTACTAAATATGGGATCAAAATGTACTGAGTCCTTTCTGCCCTCAGCTTGAAGTTCTAATTAAAACATTCTTGCAGTAACATAGCATCTAAAATGATAGTAAAGATCATTGTTCTCAGCGTTGTTTTTCTCTAGTGTTTTCCTACATATTTTTTGGATATTCCTTTATCATGAATCCAACAAGCTTGTCCATAACAACTGCTGCAAAACAAAGTTCCCCTCTTTAGTAATTCAGATATAAGACTGCTTAAACTTACAGCTAAATCTCGTTTTCACAAGATATAACAAAGAATTATAGCAAATATTTGTTTTTCACAAAGCAAGGAACCAAAAGGATAAAACTTTTCACTTGCAATAAGAAAAGGCCTAAACTTTTCAACATGAAATAAAAAACCCAATTTAGAAAAAAACAAAATAAACTAAACCAAACTTCTGGAAATTAGAATATCGAAGAATGTTAAAAAAAAAAAAGGACATCCCATGACAAAGAAACAAAATTGAAACAGCAAAAGAGTATACTTAAAACAGAAAGAAACAAAAGGACAGTTTAGTAAATATAAAGAGAAGAAAGCTCACAGTACTTCTCCTTCGCTCAGCAGCAACAGCAAGTCCAAAGGCAATCAGATCAATCACAAAAACCAGAGCCAGTAACAAAGTTGAAGCCATAGTTCAAACAAACGAAAAAAACCCACAAAGCAGAAACAAAAACCTGGAAATGTGAGGAAGGATTTTGAAACGCTCTTCGTAAAGGGTTCACTGTGTGGTCGCGTGGTTTTGACTCTGGAGAACGCAATTAGTGCATAAATAAATTACTAATTAATTAGGCAAAGGTATACAACAATACAAGGAACAAGGCCCCTAGATTCTGTCTTTATTAAAATTTTGACGCTGTATACATAAAAGTATCGATGAATGACATGTGATTATCATGTTATAGTTATATGATTATACGTTACAGTTACGTGATTATCATGTTATGAGTATATGATTATTACATGTTATAATTTTTTTAAAAAAAATTAAAATAAAATATTTTCAATAAAATGAAATAAAAGAGGAGAAAATTAATTTTTTAAATAATTATAAAAGTCCAAAAATAAAAAAATACAGAAAACTGAATCTTTTAAAAATATCTGAAAAAAAATTTAAAAATCAAAATTATGACCACTAAATAAATTGGTACATCTCATTTAGAAGAATTGAAATGGGATGTATCAAAGAAATTATGAATACCAACTTGTTAAGACAAATATATTTTACAGTATTGCCTCATATTTCGCAGTTTCTGCAGTATTGCTGCCGGCTGTTCAATAGCTTAATCTCGAGTATCTGCCTGATAATTTGTTGCTTCATTTAATATTTTAGACTAAAAATCTTCAAATGAGAAACAACATGCATTAATATAAGAATTAGTTTTCCAAAAGATATTGACAATCACTCACTCATGATGATTTGGTAGAGCATTAAACAGTGAAAAGAAAAGGGATATAAGCTCATAGCAAACGACATGAATATAATTTAATGATATCAGTACAAGGGGTGAGCATAAGGTGAAGAAAGATGTTAGAAATTGCAAAACGATAAAGAATGCCGCAAAGGAAGAAGCAATAAGATATAGAACAAGGAAGCAAAGACAAACAAGGTTGTGACATGTTGCAATGGATAATCATCGATGCAGCGGCTTGTCTTGTTTAATTTTAATGGCTTTACAGCACACAGCTTCTCTTTGCTGATGCTCTTGCTTGAGGACCTTGAATTTAGTTACTAATTCATCATAGTCAGGGAGTTTCGGGTGCACATGTCTGTATGTTGATGAATTATTGCCTTTTGGGTTCTGAAATTGGTTATAAGAATCTGATTGCAAACTATAGTCATTGATTGTTCTCTTTACCCTTTCTGGAGCAATAGTCATGCTCATTGGATAAGATTGATGTGGAACTATGTTGGGCTCTGTACAAGGACTAGATCCACTAGAAGAGACACAGCAGCCTGGAAATTCTGATACTTCTGCTTCTCCCAATTTCCTGCTATTTTTAATCAAAATATCATTCTGAAATTCCCCAACACTATATTTAGTAGGCTTCTTGTAATTTATTTTCCTCCACACTTCTTTCGATGCTTCTTGTTTAAAGCTGTGCGCGACAGATAAGCCCATCAACGGATCTTTGGAAGGGATATTTCTTAAATGCCTATCCTGGGGACAATTTCCATGATATGTATGTTTTTTATATGATGACAAGTTGCCTGACTTACCATAGTCTAGCTCACAATTGGTGTCATTTACGCTTGAATGTGGTGATAGACAAGAATGGCACAGCTGGCCTTCCTTAAAATTGGAAATTCCTGTCAACGTCATGCTGTTTGAGCTTTTCCTCTTGCAAGAGTCCAAGTATGTTCTCCAATTCCATAATCCAGCTTTACCAGTGTAACGATCATTATAACAGTGAGATGAAACCAATAAGCTTGCTCCGCTAAATCCATGATTGTTTATTTCTGAAAGCAGAGTTGAATTAAATAAAAATATTGCTTTGTCCGCAGTATAATTGTCCTCTAGAGTGTTAATGTGAATCTCCTCTACTTCATCAAGTTTGAAAGATATTTTGTTAAACTGGACTAGAATCTGAGAGTGAGAACCTGTCCTGGTTTCCATTTTGTTTTCAAAAGCGGCTGCGGAAGGGTGGTTTGAGCCAAAACTTTCTAAACTACCCTGGCCTGATAATTTATTGTGGACCATTTCGGATTCATATCCATCTTCAACTTGAACACAGTTCCCAACTTCAACATTCTGACCTGGTAATTTGGTTCGTATGTCCTTATCATTTGTAGGTAGCCTCTCTGCAAGCCAACAGCTACCATAATCACCTTTAGTCATTCCCTCAAAATGAAATGCTTCCAAATGAAGATTATCATTCCCGCATATCTGCAATTGGATGTGCAAAATTGATCAAGTTCTAGATTTATGACACATTCAGGACTAGATTTAATGAAGTGAAAAAAAAAAGATATGGAGTGGCGATTATAGCTCAGAGATACCAGCGGGAGATTTGATCCAAGCTTCTTGTTGCCCCCAGGGTGCTGTGCCTGGAGGGCATGATCCTTAGCTAGTTCAACAATCAAACTCAGCTTCATATTGTTTGGAATAGACTTTAAACAGAGTTTTTCCTTAACCTGAAACATAAATATAATGATTGCTATAAAGTAACAGGCACAAAAAGGAAATTGGAAAACCCAAAGTATATCTTAAGGTCAAAAAAGGCATTATAGTTATAGTTTAAAACCAACAGTTTACAACCTGACTATTCACATGGTTTCCTGTATGTAATTCAGTTATTGCTTTAATGAATTTGCTCCCATGTCTCTCTTTAAATAGCATCCTGATTGTTTGCAACTCCGGCAGATCTCCACACCATGCAGCAGCAAAGATTAAAGTTGAAACAGCTTCATTGATCTCATTGGAATAGCTCCTGGAAGAGACATGTAAAAGTAGATGAAGCATAATTCTCTAGACAATAAATTGAAGAAAACACTGTCATGAGGTGGATCAAACCAGTTATTATTATCAACGTCCTGGAAAAAGGAAAAAAAAAAAAAAGAAAAATGGCAGCAGTTAAAAGATTTCTGTTAAAATTTCTTGTATCAAAGTAAAATAGGGAATTGGTTGGATGTGGAATCTCAGAGGAAAAAAGAATTTCCAATGGCTTGGGAATGAAAAGGTTACTAATAAACTTAAAATTACTTGAATGTAGAACCTTACTTTTGCACAAATTGACTAGTTATATTTATATTACAGGACTCGTACTTGTGCTTTCTAATGTAAGGGAAGTGAAGTACTAAGAATTCACAAAAATGCTCCAGCAGATCATAGACACTCAATAAATTCTGGTCCTTTAAAAGCTCCTCAGCCTGAAATAATAGCACTCATAGAAGTTCAAATAACACCCAAAGTTTCAAAGGACTGAAAATGATCAATTAAATAAATACTATAAGAAAAAAGAAAAGTTAATGGTAGTTCTTTGTTAGAGTAATGGTACATGGGAAAAGGCAGCTTCAGGTTTGCCATTCCTGAGCAGCTCAACAATGTCCTCACCCAATTGCTTTATGATCGAGCGTCTCTTAATCTTGAGAAACTTAAGACGGCACTGGACACGCCTGATCAATTCCTTGCTGCAAAGAGCATGTAAAAATCCCTTAAACTGCAGCTAGTTGAACAAAGATTGTACTGCTTTCATATTGATTTGAGGTTTACCATGTAGAAGCTTTTCTCCATCCAAAAGGAATACCACACATATTTCAGTCACAATTTAGAAAAAAAAATCAATGACAATGACAAGAGAGTTATCTAATGTATATTTGCTAGTTAGGCGGCAGTGATCCTGTTCTGCTTGGAGCAGTTAAGAATTGACACAGATAGCAGACCCTTAAGGGAGTTATCATCTTGGTGATTCACTGATGTTTGCGAATTGTGACGGTTTCCAAGAGTACTGCTCCACATTCTAGCGGTTAACAGGCACTAACATGTAATAGATTCTCGATTTCTTTGTTTGCTCACAGGAGAGATTGTCCTGTAACAAGCTTGAATCAAAATATTATCAAAAGACAAAGAAATTTTGTGAAAAATTCTATTACCAAAATAAATTAAACAACCCTGGAATGATCCAGTGAAGCCCAAACCAAAGAAAAAGAAGTTCGAGCTAATGGGCCAGAATGGTGGAACTGAAGTTTGGTGGGACACTAGGCTAGAATGATTCTTATAGATGACTAAATTAGTGGGTTGCTTTGAGGTAGTCAGAGCCCAAAGCCCAGTTTTATAATTTACATGACAAAACTTTAGTTCATCCTTTTCCTGGAATTAGAGTTTGGTTTTGGGTCAATGTTTGGTTTGTGACTTTGCATGACACTACTTTAGTTCATCGTTTGTAACAATGAGTCCCTAAAGTAGTATCATGCAAAGCCACAAACCCACCATTTTTTTGCCTCAGTTTATCAGATATTGCTGTTAATGAATGTTTTCTAGCTTTAATTTTTGCAAAAATGTGAACAAAAATTGATGCTTTCTTATTTGGAAAGCCCAAACTTTTGATATGGCATCCCAATCCAAGCTCTGATGTTTGCTCCTTTGAAAAACTCTTCAGCAGCCTGGAAATCACTGTAGCAACTAAACTTATTCTGCAAACAAAAGCATTGGCAACAAATTCAGGTTTGTAGTAACATTAACCAATATATTCTGCAAAAGAGTAAGTCAAAGCGAGATTGAAATACAAATCTCTAAAAGTTAACTAAAGAAGAGAGAAAAAAACAATATTAAAAAGCTCTAAGGTAGGCAAAATTGCAAAAAAAAAAATAAAAAAATCAAGAAGGTTATTTGATAGGAAGGCAAAACAAGAGATCTAAACTTGTGAAATGGGAACAGCATCCAAATATTTTTATATATATTAGGTGTATAAAACATTGAAATTCCATAAAGATCCTTATTGGGTAATACAATTTAAATTCCATAAAGATCCTTATTGGGTAATACAATTTAAGTACAAATTGTACTATAATTGTCACGAAAGATAAAATTGTAGTACAGTCTGACCATAAGGGTTTTATTATAAGAAAAAACAATGGAGCTTTATAATCATATCATACTTTTATCCCATCTGAAGAGCATGGAGCTGGGTTTTGAATTCTTGTTATGGGCCCAGAAGGGCTTTAAGTCTCGAGGGGATTTTGGGCTAATTGGCTCAAATTGGGCCCAATAAGTTGTTGATTTACGATTTTGAGCTATTTGCTGGAATCTACATCAGGTAAGGTTTTTTCTGCTATACTTTGCTCGCAACCTCTTTGATCTCATTCCGAAATATTCATGCATCGATATTAAGTTTTATTTTTATATAAATTAAATATAAGCATTTTTTATTTTGAGAGAAAAAATAATTCAAACTTAATTTATTATAAAATACGTGTACTAATTTAAAATTTAAATTAATTGATTCATACTATTATTTTTAAAAAGTAAAAATCTAATAAATTTGATATTAAAATTTCAATATTTATAAATTTTTTTTTTTATTTTCAAATTATCATCAACCAACTATGGAATTACCCACAGATTATCACCCATTACTATCACTTAGACCGGAAATGCACTCAAGAACTGGTTATGTGCTTGCTCAAAGGAAAAAGAAAAAAACATATAAAAAATTGGTAGAAGGAAATATCATATATTTTGATTTATTGATCTCTTTGTTAATTGATTTGAGTGTTTATATTATAATTAATATTTACTTTTACACATATTTTCTAAAAAAAAAAATCTCTGAATTTATTTTTATACATACTATTCCTCCCATGTCATAGATCCTTTGGCCTTGTTTGATTGGTAACGAAGTTAAATAAAAAAGAGTGATAAATGAATAAAAGGTGAATGATTAAAAAAATCAAGTAAAAACTTTTTGAGTTTTCAAATAATTAGTTGCCTTTTATGATGTAATTTGATTTTGACGTGAGATCTGATAATTTGTGGATTAGTATTATATAAAATATTAATAATTCATGTATTCGTATTATTAACATGAATTATAATATAAAAATTTTTATATTTTTAATATATTTAACACGAAATATACATAGCACATATGTTTCGTGTGAACATGTATATAATAGAAGAAAGATAAGTATCAAAGTTGTTTTATGTATTTAACAACTATTTTTTTAAAACTTCATTTTAAAATGTTGTTGTTTTTAAAATTTTAAATTATCTTAAATATTTAAAAAAATCATTTTTTTTGTTTTCTTAATTATAACTTTTCACTTTTTTTTAAAAAAATAGAAGGATAATTCAAATTAAAAACTTTATCATCAATAAAAAAAAAATTTAACTTAATATATAAAACAAAAAGAGTAATAATTAATTTAGTTTCTCAAAAAAATCTGAGTTATATCACAATATTATCCCAAACCCACAAGAAACCTAGTTCACTATTTGTTAGCTTTTCATATAAAAGGAAGGAAAAGCTCAATGACAGGCAATAGCTAGTAACATAAGATTTTTTTTTTTTTTGAATAATCTTAAAAAAATAAGAGTGGAAAAAAAGAAATACTCAAGGGAAGTAAGGAAGTAACGCCCAACATGAAGGGCTGTACGGCCTACTAAAAATAGGCTAATTGGGTCCAATATGCAGGCAGAGTGATGGTTCATCATGAAGGTCTTGGACTCCGACCAGGCTTGGTTAATTGCGGATGGTAGAACCAAAACAAAAGTTTAGTCAGATAACAGTTGATTTCTTACTAAAATCTGGTTCAGATTTTCCCTAATGCAAACGATTACCAGCCTCCTGAACTTGTTGATCTTAATTAAAATGGCACTGAATATGTATTTATAATTCAAACAAGTTAATATAGAAAATCGTGCGATCTTAGAGCCATGTACGGGGAAATGGAACGCAATCCGAGAAACTATTTGGGTTTCGTTGAAAACATTCCTGATCATGGACCAACTCATTGATTTGCGAGGGACGAAACGATAAACAATGATGGGGAATTTCTTTCGTCATGCCAATGTACACAGGATGTGATATTTTAATTTGAAAGACCTTACCAGGAAAAGAACAGAAAAGGACAGCTTCGATACTGAACCGGATTGGCTTTGATTCTTCAGTTATTTTGAGAGATATAGAATAATCGATCGCACCCTCTTCATCTCCTTTTCTCCTGTAACCATCATTTCTTACAAAAGAGAAGAGAAAAACTAAAAGGTTAAGCCAACCATGATACTATTGCATTAAAGCATGATCAATCAGCACTTGCTTAAAAGCAACAAAAAAAAAAAATCTTAGTATTTCACGATCTCAAGCTGGGGAGTTTGCTGGTTTCTTTAAAGCCTGTTTCAAACTCCTGAAGCAGTTTTAATTTCCTATTTCATCAAAATCACAGCTCGAACAAAAGTAGTGTTAATTTACAATGCCCTTCGAAACTTTGATTCCTCAAGTTTCTCATGCAATATATATTATTGGTATCTACTACACTATACTTTCACATTGTGATTATATATTATTATATGAATTTGGTATGTACTACACTATACTTCACATTGTGATTATAATTACTGTTGTTGTTGATCAATCTCGATTTCGTGAGCCAGTTCTCGGGTCAGCCTGTCTGCACGATCATCATGTCCTCCGGCAAATGTATAAACCCGGAAAGCGAATTGGAAAGCCCTCCATAGCATTTTAGCGCACTCCTTCTTTTGTGCTTCAGCTTTGGCTTTGGACCCTTCATTCTCTGCCAACTTTACTTCTCTTCTTTCCTGGAAATCCAATTATAATGTGCCAGGAAAATAACAAAAAGCTTCAAATTGATTGAGATTTGAGAAGTAGTTATGTATATGACACATATTTTGAACCGAGTTACCTTCAGTGCCAACTCCATGCAGTTGGAGGAAACATCAACCGTAGCTTCTTTGATTCGTACAAGAATGTGGAAGTCAAAATCCATATTGTGGCTCTTAAATTTCTTGGATTCTTCATCTTTGGTTCTCTCCAGGGCGTCTATTTCCCCTTTGATCTGTAAGTAATTAGTATTAATTTACTCATTTGGTTTATTTGTGGAGAATGCCTGCGAAGGTGATGATCAGAATGATATTATCATCTTATGTTTATGATCAAGAGCCAAATCATACCTTGTTGAAATAACGCTCAACCTTGTCAAGAAGCTGTGCCAAAGGAGGCTCCATCTTCCAGTTTTGTAGTTCAGTAATCATTGATTCTAACTTCGAGTAAAGTGCTGAAGCTGTCCTTAATGCTTCCAACTTTTTTGCAGGGAAGCCTTCAAATCTTGCTAGAACCTGCAATCCAAAACATTTGGAGGTTAAACAACGATTCATCAAGTAATGGAATCATCAGTATAGGGCAATAAAAGTAGATAATTAGCTAAATAAACAAGGTCAGATTAACCTGAGTTTCATCTGTTAGGTTCTCGAGAATGGATTCCACATGTTTGTGGAACTCGAGCAGCTCACTCATGTCCTTTGTATTGAATCTGCTGATGGCAGTTTTGAGCTCTGTGATTGATTTTGCATATTTCTCTGCATCTCCTTCGATTTGTTGGAAGTAAGCAGATCTGAGACCAAAAAAGAATAAAGAATATGATAAGTCACTTATTTCACAAAATTCCCTTTGTTCTTAAAACAAAATATTCACTAGAATAAGCTTCAGGTGCCTATTATTTATTACAGTGCTGTAGGAAACATACCTCTTTGTCATCTCTGCTAATGCATCAGCCATCCCTTGTTTCCCATTGGAGCTGCTTCCAACCCCACTCTTTTTTCCATTAGATGATTTTCCTTGCACAGGACATCCTTCTACTTTGCCCTTAAGAACCCGATACAGATTACCCATATGACTTGATCTCTTCAATTTAGTATTTGCTTTCGTGGGGCGCAAGGATTTTGCTGAACAAGGTGGAGGAGGTGGTGGACCAGCTCCATTCGCCAGTGACATGGGTGGTGGTGGTGGACCTGGTGTTGGCAATGGTCTTGATCCATTTGGAAGCATCATGGGTGGTAGGGGTGGTGGAATTCTTAATGCACTTCCAGGAGGAGGTGGTGGTGGAAGTGGTTGCCCTGCTGCCACTACTTTTGACTGCAATGGGGCTGGAGGTGGTGGTGGAAGGGTTGTTCGTGTCGCCACTACTTTTGACTGCAATGGATCTGGAGGTGGTGGTGGAAAGGTTGATCCTGTCGCCGCTACATTTGACTTCCATGGGGTTGGAGGTGGTGGTGGCCGCGGCAATGGTATTCCAGTTGCTGCTGTATTTGTCAGCGTTGAAAGTGGTAAGTGCAACTGTGGTTCTGCTGATACTAATGTTGATTGTGCATGTTCTACATTTAGTTGCAACATTGGGGGTGGGGGTGGATGGGGTGGATGAAATGGTGGTCTTCTTGATACTACATTTGGCTGCAAGAATGGTGGTGGTGGCGGTGGTGGTGGAAGGGATCTTTTATCTATTTCCATATCTGTAGACAGCTTTGTTGGCTGTGATGGTGGGGATGGTACTGCTGGTGGTGGTGGAAGTAGTCTTATATCTGTCTGACTCTCCATATCTGTAGACAACTTTGCTTGCGGTGATGGTGGGGGTGGCGATAAAACTTCTGCTGGTAGTGATGGTGGTGATGCTGATTTTTCTGCAGCTACTTCTATGTCTCTGGACAACTCAGGAGGTTGCATCTGTGACGGTGATGGTGGTGGTGTTGGTGCTACATTTGCTGAGAACTTTGGTGGTGCTGTATTGCTTCCATCGGTAGTTCTTTCACCAGATGCATTGTCTGAATTAGAAAGTGAATCCTCTAATGTCTCATTCTGAGAGATGGAATCTTCTCTGGTTTCATCAACAGTTGATGCTTCTATCACTGACGCATTAACCTTTGCTTCTTCCTTTTGATCCTCAATCATAATCTTCTTTTGTTTCAAAGAGCTTGGAACTTGGACTTCAACTTTTGAAAGCGTGTGTAATGCCAGCCGTTTCACATCAATGGGATTCAATTTCCCCACTGATTGAACCCTGAGAGACAACAGAAGAGATGAGGAATAAGGAGATTTTGGGGAGCCATTAATCAACTCAGGAAGGACTGAAGTTGGTGACGCTGGAGAAGGGCAGCTGGAGCTGTTATCTGAATAAGAATCCTTTAAGACCTTTCCAAATGTGTTAGCCTTTGGACTGAAATCTTTGTTTTCGTCATCTTCATCCATCATATCAAATTTCTCTCTCGCTATTTTAATCAAGCCATTGAGTGTGGCCACAGCAATTTCAACTGCCAAAGGTAAATGGGGAAAAATATTATCAACTTCAATCAAGAATAAGTTCCCATACCACAGGAAAGGAAAAGGATAAACACAAATGAAGATTCACTCAAAAGTTCTTGCAAGTACTTCCTTTTTTCAAAGCCTTCAAATCAAATTTTCTTTGCTTTTTATCTGATTCAAACAAAGACATAATGTAGAGTAATAGTGATTGCCAACAGGTAACTTCTTTGAGAAAATTTACTACATACCGAGTTTATCAACTTTTTTGCATTTGTCATTATCATATATATCATATTTATATTTGTCTATCCACTCATCGCCCATCTTTGATGTGTCTCCAAGGTCTTGCAATGCCTTGCAAAAGCAAATCAGCACCTGTTTATGCATTTCATGCAGATTGTTAGCATAGCGTTTATCTGGAAGTAATACTAGAATCCAAAGAGCTACTTTTAGCTATTTTTATGAAAACTGGCAAACCTTATCGAGAGCTAATCCTTTCAATTCTGACCCACGGAAACGGGGTACGCTTTCAGGGTAGAACTCATGAAGATCTTTCATTGTCCCTAGCAGCAGCTGCAGAAAGATATATAGGAAGATAAAACTATTGAGACAAACTTGAGTGAAGGTATTTCTGCCGCTTCGAGAGAGTTGCTAAAGGAGGAGGCAATACTACCTGATATATGGAAACAGAGTTACTACAAGGTGGTAGGTCAATGATGTCTCTAAAGGTTATAATTTTTTTCCTAAGCTCCATCATCATAATGAAGTTGCATGCTGGTTGAGATGAACTATCCTTCCTGGAGCCTTTCGCTTCCTTTTGTTTCTTGGATGCCTTAGATGTCTGAGGGGTTTTGAGTCCCTGCGGAAGTTCAAATTTTCTTTCAGGATTGCTAAAAAATTAGAGCTAATTAACCAACATTCCTGATGGACTAATCTTTCAAAATGATGCATTATTCATGAAGCATATTATACCATTAGAATTTTAATTCAACATGACTCACACATGCGGATATTGCCCTAAAAGGATGATTCTTTATCAGTCAGAAGCTTACATGGAATTGCATTTCCTACTGCAGTTTGTAGGTTCCTATTTATGCCTTATAAAATGGCATGCAGTTCTTAATATGCTTCAACTCATGCGATCGTTCAACAAAAGAATGTACAGCAAAGGAAAAGATGTAGAAATTTAATTATATAAAATTCATAAGAGAAATCAAGGAAAATTGAAAAGGGAACTTCATTAAAACAGGAAATGGAATGTTATCAGAAACCCCAGAGGCAGGTGGAAAATGCTACTCTTAAAATGGCCTTTTAACAAGAAAATATTTTCTTGGCAATGCCAAAATGCTGAATGGAAGCCTAATAGCAGAAAAACTCTAGGTTAGATTCAATGTTCTTACTGACTTATGCATCAACATAATAGTTTTGCAGATTCAACAATAATATTTATTTCCATTCAAATTAGAAAAAGAATAATTGAGAAAATGCAAGAAAGAAATTTTAAATATTACCTGGACGATTTTTAATGGTTTGCGACCAAACAACATTGGTGCCAAACCACAGAAAATTGCTGGCATGATCACCAAAACGCCGACCAAAATTTTATAAAGGCTTCAATGGAACAATGATGATGATAACTGATGTTGGATAACCATTAAAAAATATATATACTTACAGGAGATAAACAAGAGACGTAGTATATACTAAGATTTTGTAAAAAATAAACAAAAAAGAAAGATTCAAAAACCCAGTTGGGAGGTGCATAAAAAAATTTTTGATTTCGTGCAGCGCATTAGGCAGCAGCCTGAATTTGTGGCCTGAAACAAAAATCCTTAACGGACAAAGACATACAATTTTGTCCGGAGCTTTCTCTAAAAAGAGAAGTCAAAGGACAGAAAAGTAAGAAATATAGGCTTATTTTTGGAGTTGTTTAAGGAATCTGTGTCTCGTAAGCCTAGCTTGTTTTTTTTTGACATTCCGGTTTAGTGTCTGTGCTTTTAGAGTTAGTTTTCTAGCTCTAACAAGATCTTGAGAATGGGTTTAAATTTGGATGGTCGCCATCTAAACTACAAAAGCTCCTCACTTCTGTAAGATTATGAGTTGGTGTTCTGATCTTTCATTTCAAAAGTAACAAGATTTCACCTTTAACCTTTTGAACAGAATAAGGTCAATTGTTGATTAGCTAGTGAATTTTAGGTTATGGTTATGTTAAATATAGTAAACTATGGAGCATGCAGCTGGCAAATCTTGTAGTCCAAGAAATCATGGAATGACAACCTATGATTTATGTTCTCTAAATTGACTATAACATTTTTAGATATAACTGTTTTGAAGAATTTTGGCATCCATATCGAATCTTGTTTGAAATTAGTTCTTCAAAATTCAGTTTGTTTTACTAATCTAATAATCATGGCAATATAATAGTAAAAATGATAGTCAATGATTCATGTCCTATAGTGAAAATCTATTTGTCCAGCGTTGGCGTTTGTTCACGTGGAATTTGATGATTTCTATGAAACAATAGATTCTTCAATTTGGCAGTTGCTTGAGGACAAGGACGACCAATTATGACAATTTTCGTCTTGACTTTCATTAGAACTCTTTTGAATCTTTCTGCAAAAGTACTAATTTTAGGTTTTGATAGTGTTAGTGGTTGAAGCAATTAAGTATGATGTCTTTACTGTAATTTTTATAGCATATTTTGTTATTTTATCAGTTTAGGTAGTATGATAAATTTGTGTATGGTGATTTATATTATTAAGTAAATAATTTTTGTAGTAGTTAAATAAATTTTTATATTTTTGAAGCCTATAAATTAATAAAATAAAGCTCATAATCTGATAGAGTCAATTTATTGCAACTACCAAATTAGTTTCTTCATTTTTTTCTTTTGTTCTTTCTTTGCTCTAGATTCTTCAATTGGTATCAAAGCTTCTTTAAGGTCTTATAGGATTTGTGAGTTTTTGAAATTGAGTGAAAAGCTTTTGTCAACCTTAAATGGCCTAAAGTAGTTGCTCTTTACCTCAATCTCTTATTTTTTTCTGATGAGAACTGTCAAATATGAGCTGTCAAAATATATAGATTCGTAAATATATAGTTAGACTTAATAAAATAGAGTCGCTACCAACCTTTTTTAACTAGGTGTGATTGATCACCTAATGAATCTATCCATTAAAAGAGCTTCTAAGCTTGACAAAGAGTCCCTAAAAGAATAGGTTCGGGTCTATAAACCAGAACATGGTTCAAGAGTTCGGTTACATGTGAGAAAGGTTATAGCACCTCCACATGCCCATCCGAAGGATGGTACTAATGGTTTCAAATTTTTATGTCGAAATGTTGGAACTAATTTATAAGATTCTTCCATCAATCTGGTAGAATTCTTAAAAATATTTTCTCACTTCAAGAGTATTCAAGAATCTCATTTGTTTTCTTGAAGATGCTCCGTCATCAGAAAAAAAGTTTAATTATTGTTTTTTCTTTTTTTTTTATAAAAAATATATCTAATTATTCCATCATTTGGGTCAAACTAAAAATATTTTTTCTTTTTTCTTTTTAAATTTTTTATCATTTGGGTTTATTTAGAAAATTTTTTTCTTTGGTTTTGAAAAGAAAATAATATAACAATTATTTTTATTGAAATTTCATTTAAATTATTTGATAATTTGGGATAAATTTAAAGAAAATTTCTCACATAGATATTTTTTAGAAATTTACCATTTAAAATTTCTAAGAATCTCATCATTAGATAATTATCAAATATTTTTAACCCAAATTTTATTTTTTAATTTTTTAATTTTTTTGTTTGAAAATAAATATTAATTATTGTTATTGAAACTTTATCTAAATTATTCCACAATTTGGGACAAATTTAGACAAAATTTCTCACATAGGAATTTTATAAAAATTTACTATTTAAAATTTTTATAAATTCCATCATTAGATAATTAATATTTATTCAAAAAACTATTTTTATTTTTTATTTTATAATTTATTTTTCTTAAATTAAATCATGCAAAAATACTAAAAAACACATAAATAAATAAATAAAATACCAAAAAAAAATACAAAAAAAATGAAACGGCTCGGCTGGAGCGACTAAAGTGGTTCGGCTTGAGGCACAAAAAAATGGCTCGAAGGCATGGCTCGGCTCAGTTCGACTGAAGGTTAGCTAGAATGCAGGTCTGGCAAGAGTGGGTTGCGCTCGGGTAGGGTTGGTTCGAATAGAAATACACGTATCTTAGGGGTTTCTTAATGCCAAAACGATGTCGTTTTGTAGTTGTATAAAAGGCTAATTTTGACCTTTTTTACCAGAGTTTCTTTTTTCCTCCTCTCTCTTCTCCCCATTCTCTCTCTCTCTCTCTATGATTCAAGAGCATCGATTGAATCCTTCACCGGATTCTGGAATTGTTGTCGAAATTTGGATAGAGTCATCGAAAATCTATCGGAAAGTTTAACAGTTTTTAGAGTGTGACATCGAAAACTGGGGAACTAGTCAAAAACTAGAGAGTTCGTCGAAATCTAGCTGAAAAATTTAAACGGCATTGGAAAATTGATCGAAATCTGAGAAAATTTTAAGAAATTTTTTTTAAAAAAAAGCCAATAATTCAAAAAAAAATCCTAAAAATTCTAGAACTACCTTTGCTCTTATAAACACTTTTTTTGCTTTTGTTTTCTATCTGTTTGCTCTCTTTATGTCCTCTTTACTTCTAATCTATAGGTATTTATAGGGATCAATCATAGAGTTTGTGACTAATCTGGATTCTTTTTTTGATTAGGTTTCTGGATTATCAGATTAATCATTGAATCTATTCTATACTGGTTAAATCTATGTATGACTCTACCAGCCTTATTCACGACATGATTCATTCTCATTTTTTATTATTTTTAATTATTATGATCTTTATCATTATCTCTTGATATCAATTGAAAATTAATCAGAAACAAATAAAATATAAAAAAAACAAAAATAAAATAAATAACATAATAAATAAATAAATAACTATTTAATTAAACCCAATCATTGGGCTTAACTGACCCCATTAGACAAGGTCAAATTGATTCGAGTCTGGACCAAATTGGGTGTCTATAGTTGCCCCTCTTTGTGCATTTCTTGTGCAACAAGAATTGTACAAAAACGTAGACACCCTGCTTTTGCTAACACATTCATTTTTTAATCAGACACCCAAATTTGCTAAATGACCTGAAACTCTTCTAAGCAGAGGTTTGTAAACAAAGTTCCTCTAAATAGAGGTTCAACAACTTTTAAAAAATAAATAAAGCTCCTCTAATAAGATGTTTAATGACTTTTGGAAAATAAACAAAGCTCTTTTAATCAGAGGCTTAACGATTTTGAAAAATAAACGAAGCTCCTCTAAATAGAGGCTCAACAACTTTTGAAAAATAAATAAAGCTCATCTAATTAGAGGCTCAATGACTTTGGAAAAAATAAACAAAGCTCCTCTAATCAAAGGCTTAATGACTTTGAAAAAAATAAACAAAGCTCCTCTAATTAGAGGATCAACGACTTTGAAAAAATAAACAAAGCTCCTCTAATCAGAGGTTAACGACTTTGAAAAAAATAAACAAAGCTCCTCTAATCAGAGACTCAACGACTTTGAAAAAATAAACAAGCTCATCGACAATCACATCCAAAGGAGTCATATATTATGTTTGAAGGAATTTTAGGAGATTATGCTCGGAGGTTTTACAAATCATTCATAATATTGAGAAATATCCTCTTTCAAAAATTAAAATCTTACCTCATAAGCTTCTTCTCAAACGAGAATTTGAAACTCTTACATTGAAAAGTCTTCATGTTTGTTTTCTATATGTGGGATCCTAGAATATCCTTACTTCCTAAACTTATGCACTAGATCTTCTCACATGCAGCATATGCTATACGTTTGACATTTAAAAATGCAATGCATGCTATGTAAATGCTGGTCAATTAATTTCCATTCAATTATGCTACTCAAGTTTTTCAAGCTCTTTTCTTGAGCTTCGAACCTTTTAATCTTTAAAGACCAAATCAACGTAACTCTCAATCATCTCTGTCATTTAATTCTTATATTCTCTTTGCAAGAAATCTCTTTTTAAATTCAATGTCCTTATTAGTAACTGAACATTTCAAATTTGCCTTTATCACTCTTAACCTTTCCAATGTAATGTAAAAATCTTTCATGCTATTATTCATTTATCAATCATTATTTTAATCTCAAAAAGTAAGAATGCATTCACATATTTCTTCCATTTTAAGGTATTAAAGAGAAAAGAATAGGAATGGCTAGAAAATAATCAATAAAAAGAGAAACACAAAAAATGAAGTGGAATATCTTTTATTAGCAAAAATGATAACAAACTTTGGCCAGTGAGAAAAGAAAGAATTACAAAAATAGGTATGGAGAGATAATGCCCAAAAATAAACAATCAGACAATCATGATAACATATCTTGAAGTCTTTTTCAAAAACTCAACAACCCAATGCACTTAACAACTTAGAGCTTATCAGAACATGTCAGCCTCCATGCTAATGAATTTTTAAATTTAATGCTATATTTTCCTTATCTAAGCTACCTTTTAAAGTTTTCAACTTAGATAAACCCCCTTTGACTTAAATCGTTCCTTTAAGGTTTTCGACTTGAGTCATCTTTTTTTTTTCTTTTTTATTTTTTTTTCAAGCATAGTATTTCTTCACTGCATCAAAATTTATAGGATGAGGCCAATAATCTCCATCCATCTCAGCTAA